AACCTTGATGGGCAAGGTAAGGACAGTGTCTGAACAAACCATCTTCTTTTGGATACACAAGTTAGGTTTCTTAATGTGGATTCCAAAAGTCAGCCTCAGCAATATGTAGTAGAAAGACTCTTAAGGCATAGGTTAAGATTAATTGGAATGCAGTAGATGACTTTCAAAGTCTCGTTAATATAAATCTTGTGTTCTGTGTCCACAAGATGAGATAGAACATAGCTACGAATGGATTTTGTTCGTCCCTTACTTAGCCACTGTCTAGGCTAGTGTTCAGAAATATGACGAGAAACACGCCTATTTGTACGTCCTGTAACTACGCATACAAGAGGCAAAATTAGGCAGATTATCTTTGACTTCCAAACGCAAAATAACCGTGGTTTTTCTAAATGTTTGAATAAATATTTCCACTGTATTGTTCAAATAAATGTTTCCTCCAAATTTTATACCTAGTGAGTTTACATTTGAAATAAGCATTCAATCCTCTTATCAAAATTTTGATTGCATAGCACAATAGTCATCTTACAATGCAAATAGGAAGTTGCACAACTAGTTGGTGGATAGTTGTCTTCATAAGAACAGGCAAGCTACTGAATACTCCTTGATTTTAAGGCTACTGTGCAGAAGAGTACACTTGAGTGAATAATTTGGAAACCTCACTACTGTCTTCTACATTACTTACAATCAGAACCTCTAGGTGAGGGAACAGCTGAGCTGAGTTCATCAGAGAGTGAACATATGCTATCATCCTTCCTATCACCAGTTTTAACCTTCTTTTTAAAATCAACTAGTGAATCAATAGGTGTGTAACTCTTTAGGGAAGCATAATAATCTCTTTTGCACTTGAATACTTACCATTCATTGCTCCAAATATGAACATTAACTTCCCATCCAGATAATACTGGCACCTAAATAAGTTTAACACTGTAGCGTCAGCTACATATGGACAGATATAAGTAATATACTGAGTAAGGTAGTCAGAGAGGCAGTGATAATTTGTGTGTCGTCAGAAAAGCCATTGAGAAAGAGGTGCAGAGAAATTATGACAAAACAAAGAAGAATGCAATTAAGGGCAGACACCAAATGGTGTAAAACATGATGGTTGTAAAATCAATATGAGTTTTGTGGTTTGTTCAGTACGCCTGAAAGTCATTTCGTCAGTCACCAGTCTTGTCTTTTGTTCATTATCGTATTCCTTATCATGTTAATAATTCTCTACTCGATATTGATCATGTACTGACTTTATCAATGTAGCTATTGAGAAGCCAAGATTGCGGAAAATCAGCTCCATACTGCTTCAAGACTCTTTGGCAATACGCCCCGGCAACAACTCCGTGGAGCTAATTAAGCATTTTGATGTCTTGAGGCAAGACGCTTGACCATTCTGACTCTGAGAAAGAATTCAATGAATTGTGAGTTCCAACTTCCGTCAAATCACCCTCGATGGGATCAACATTGTTACTCTGTGGTAAAGAGTCTCAAACAGCTTCTTAGACAGGTCAATGCGACTAAAACAATGGGATGCGGTTTAGCTGGTTTATGGTCGATCTTGTCAGGATTCGATCGATCCGAATAGACGAATCACTTCAGTACACCTAGCCTCCGGCTGGGAACTCTGATGAACTGATGAAGCGTAGAAAAAGAATCCGCATTTGCGAATTTCATTGATCGAGAAGAGGAATTCTTCAGAAAGCGAAGAAATATTTCGATCACAAAGTATTATCTGCATTCTCAATAAAACTAGAAAAATAGCATTATACAATATACTACTTATTGAATAGTATGAGTAGTAAGAAATTAATCTTTGCAAATAGTTGCTCACGTATTTTACATTTGATCGACAGGACACAGAACGACTCATTAGTATGTAGATACCCGGGCGTAATGTTTTGCAAGTGTAGTCGAACTCTTATACCCTGGGCACAGAGACAAATGAACTCTTATATGAATCGCTTGCTTTTCGACTGAATATATTCGATATGTCGAATTACTTTAGCTTTTCTAGTTATCTCATCGTACTACTAACCATATCTGATTTCAGTACAATAACTTAGTAAAGCGTAAATGTCTTGTAAGTGTTTAGTGTACAAAATGCCTGTCAGGCTACTCGAATACCATTGGTTCCCTGACTAGCAAAGTCTCAAATCACTGGTGTCTAGAATCTCTGCCACGTCACACCGCGCCGCCCACAGATGTTATACAGACCAATGATTGCTAACGGGACACAACTATCTCAGCACACCCTTCTATTGGTTCTGCACCATCTCTATCCAGTCAAATAGAATCTCATGCAATTTTTACTCCATGTTGCCTATCATTAACATCCTAGGATAGTATCGGTTATTGAAAGATGATTAGCACATTCTATTACTGCCCCTCAGAATTACCTCAAACGGTGGCATCTCCTGTTGCGAGCAGTGAAAGGCATGTTCAAGACATGAAAATTTGTCACAAATCCTGAGCTTGTAGAGACGACCTCATGCATTCAATAGTGATCCACTCATATGCATTTGCAGGATGACATCTATGTTAAGTGAGTTATAGATGGCGAAAACAGACAACGGTTTACACTGGCACTTATATTCTCAAAAGTTGTTGTGGGAAACTGTATATATACTCTCTCTGTTGGAGATGACTTTGTATGGAGCTCTCAAAATTTTCAACGATTGTGTTTATGACGATTTTCTGTCAATCAATCAATGACCAAAGACGGTACACAAGAGGAATAAATCCAAAAGACAATTTAAAAATTCAGAAAATTACACTTTATCCTAGTTTGAAGAAGAATTATGGTTTGCCGAATTTAAATGTATACAGGGAGTTGATTTGTTTTAAAACTGTTTTGACTAATTGAACAGAACGTTTATTCTATCTCCATCGCAAACTTTTCATCAAGACATACTGATGACTGAATGAAGGAGTGAAGCGAAAAATGACAAACGCTTTACTATTCTGGTATGTAATCAAAGTGCCCGTGTACAGTGACAATCATCCAATTCGGCTAGCTAGTGCTGTTTGCTCTTACATCGAACTAAATTTTCACTTAGTCTGCCTGAATGCAAAGCAGTGCCATATAAGCTCTAGATGACACGAACTGAGTCTTTGGTCACAAACTGGTTGCATTCCTATTTCTCAAACATAATGCAGTACAAATATTGAAAGGTAAATCCTCCTCTGCTGCGCTCACTGAAACTGGTGTCCCCCAAGGTGCTGCACTCTCCTCACTTCACTTTTCTTTTATTCTACATGACTTACCATCTTCAAGTGACATTAATTTTGTTAAATATGCTGACGACCTGACTGTATCTTTGCCTGTCAAATGTCAAAGTGACTGCTCCAAACTAAATGGCTTTTTATCAGAAATCAGCCAATGGTCCTAGGAAAACGGTCTTACCTGAAACCCCTTAAATGTCAAACAGTCGGTTTCACCTTTACGCATAAATCTGACCTAAACAAACTGGTTAGAACTCACGAGGTGTGCAACATAGATGGCACTGAAATAGACACCAGGTCGGAAATTAAATATTTTGGTGTCATTCTATCTGCTGATCTTTCCAGTCGTCTCATATTTTGATGATTTCTAAGAAAATATTCCGTCTTACCTTCTACATCAGGAAGTTAAGACATTCTGGAATAACCCAACCCTTACTCTACAATTCGTTAACTCTCGCATTCTGCCTATTATTTCTTATTAATCCCCCTTAGTTTTTCCTGGGCTACTGAAGAAAGACTATACCTTATTGCGCAGGATGTTAATGGGTGTCAGCAGGGTAAGCTACGTGTCACTTAACCAGCTTGTTAATATTCTAGTTGACAGGCACGTGGACTCATGTGAAAAATGGGCTAAATCCATTCTATTCAACTCACACCACCCTCTTCATTCACAACTCTCCCCTTGTATCTCATCAGGCAGGACCAGAAGCCTATATCGAAAATTATATGCTCGCACTAGTAAGTAGAAAAACTCAACCATACCCTACTTAGCTCGTGTTCTGTGCGATAAAGAAAGTATTAGGCGTGATATCTATAACTTATTAAATAGTCAGTAGAACAACTGGATCTTGTCTTTCATTTATAGGTACAACGTTTTTCTTTCTCTCTTTTCCTTTTCTCTCTCTTTTTTTGTTATGTGCTGTTTTATTTCTCTCTTGCTTACAAACTCTGTTTAAAACATTGTTCTTCGTTCTTTCACACTCTCTATATCTCGACCTTTTGTTACCGCTTACGACAGTAAATATGCTACCATCTATTTTTCTAACACCTTCAAGCACTCTGTTCAATTTTGACTTCACTACCGATATGCTAATATGTCGTTGTCAAAACTAACTAAGATTACCTTTAATCTATGTAGAATTTTATTTTATTGTTAACGTACTAACTGGATGCAATACTGTAGTGAAATGCTGAGAATTCCATTCTGTATCACAAGTACTGTTTTGGAATAAAGCAAATTATTATTATTACTATTTATAAATCCTGCATTAAAGCTGAAATGAAGTATTTGTGAAATCATGACTAATCTGAGAGTAATTGTTAAAATTTAGCAGCAATTTCAAGTTACTTGTTCAACAACTTCATCGCACTGATTGTAACATCACAATGTATTCAAGCGAAAGCATATTAAAAAACTGCCAAGGCATGTCTCTCTCATTAAGTACTCAATATATTTCGATTTATCTCAACCAAAAACAGATTTTACTGACGATTTATACTATGCGCTGTAGTGGGTAGATAGATGTACACCAAAAGAGTTAAAAGCTTATGTCACAAAAATTCAAACATTTATTAAAGTGATTCTAACAGGAATAAATTGCAGTAGACTATTAAAACAAACACCGTTTTTGAAAGAGAAAAACAGGTATAAACTGACAAAAGGTGGTTAAATGACAACTGACTGAATCTGCCTATCAATCACGCATTAAGCGCAGTCAAAAATAACTCATATTACTCGATAGAAAAGACAGGAAATGTAAGTAGATGTTCCATGTCAAAGAAATTACTCATTGCATATCATTGACTCCATCTTCATTAATATACCTAGTTGAGTGTAAAGAAATAGAAATCACCTTTAAATTATTCAATATTCAATGGTGAGTTACTTTCTTATTACTTCTCTTCGTTAAAATGTGTACACTTTGTTTTGATGAAAGTAGAATGATTTAGAACTAATTAAGAAGATTTGTAGTTCAGGTAGATGATTTTGGCGTAGTTATTTCCTTTGAACTGGATGCTTCAATTGCGAAGCTCTCAGTATCTTTCTAAAGAACATTTACAACACAGTGAATAGTATTATTCTTATTCCTTGGGTTCAGGGTGGAACACACTGCTCCGAAACAGCACATTCTCGATTCATTCCGGTAATCTGCAGTCTTCTCTTTAGCTGGCCCCACGGATGCCCATAGGCTTGCATTTCCTCCTGAAGCAAGAGCCTGGCATGCGATGTCTTTGAGCAGTCTCCCCAACGTGTGTCCGATCCACATCAATTTTCTTCGTGATACTTGTTCTGCAAAAGCCTGTCAGTTAGTTGTTAGCTAGAATTTCTGTTACTAATCCACTCTGGTTGTCTGCCCTTCAGTATGGAGAGAAGGCATCTGTTGGTAAAACCCTAAAACCTGTTCGAAATGCTCCTGGAAATTCTAATTCCGTTCTCCATAATGGGTAAAGAGGATTTCGAAATTGATTCAAGTGATGAACTTTTGTGTTACCTTCCCGACCTGACTGGTTTTGAAATCCCCATCTGTGTTCCACCTGTAGCTAAAACGATACTTCCTGGATAAATGAAGGAAGCATATTATTATTATTGCTCCCTTGGGTTCCTAGTGGAACATAGGGCTTCAACTGCACGTCTCCATTTTCTTCTGTCTTCTGCTATACTTTTCGCCTGCATCCATGTTAATCCATATTCTTTCAACTCCTCTTCACACGATCTCCTCCATGTCACCCTTGGACGTCCCACACGCCGCTTCCCTTTCGGGTTCCACTCGAGGGCTTGGCGCGCGATGTCACCCAGCGGTCTCCTCAGCGAGTGTCCGATCCATCTCCACTTTCTCCTGCATATTTGTTGGGCGATTGGTTCTTGCTTTGTTTGTTCCCATAATTCCTTGTTGGTGATTCTTTCCGGCCATCTGATCTTCAGTATTGAGCGAAGACAGTTGTTAATAAAGGTCTGCAGCCTTTTGGAAATATTCTTTGTGACCCGCCAAGTTTCTGATCCGTATAGAAGAACTGACTTTACGTTTGTATTGAAAATCCGAATTTTGTTGGTGATGCTGAGTGACGAAGATTTCCAGATTGATTTCAGGCTGATGAATGTGTTTCTCGCCTTCCCGATTCTCGCTCGATTTGACATCCTCGTCCGCTCCTCCTGTAGTTGAGACAATGCTCCCTAGATAAGTGAATGAAGTAACCTCTTTCAAATCCCTCCCGTTGATGGTGATTGACGTTGGATGTTGTTGCTGTTGTTGGTTGGTTATTTTCATAACCTCCGTCTTGTCTATGTTTACCTGGAGTCCTGTCTTCGCCGGCTGCTTCTTCGACCAGTTTGTCGGTTTTCGCTTGTAAGTCTTCGATTGTGTGTGACATCAAGTCATCCGCGAAATCCAGGTCTTCTAGGTTCTTCACGTCGGTCCAGGATATTCCTGTCTTCTCGTTTCCCACAGTCTGACGCATAATCCAGTCCACCACAATTAGGAATATCATTGGTGATAGTAAGCACCCTTGTCTGACTCCTGTGTTTACTCCAAACGCCTCGCTGAGTTTTCCGTTGTGGATCACTTGGCAGGTGCCGTTGTCGTACAGCTGTTGAATAAGGTTGATGAATATTTGGGGTACGCCATAGTACTCGAGTAATTTCCAAATTACTTCACGATCAACGCTGTCGAAGGCCTTCTCAAAGTCTATAAAGTTGAGGTAGAGGTTTGATTGCCATTCCATGCTTTGTTCGATGATGATGCGTAGAGTTGCAATTTGGTCAGTACATGATTTGCCTTTCCTGAATCCAGCTTGTTCTGGTCGGAGTTCTGTCTCCAGTGCGTCCTTTAATCTCTCCAGGATGATGCGACTCAGGATTTTACTTGGCGTCGATAGGAGCATGATTCCTCGCCAGTTCTTGCAGAGTCCTAAGTCGCCCTTCTTTGGTAGTTTCACGAGGTAACCTTTCCTCCAGTCAGTAGGCACCTTTCCCTCCTTCCAGACCTTTTGCAATAATGGAGTCAGCATGTCTGCTGTCGTCTCTGGGTCTGCTTTCAGTGCTTCAGGGGGTATTCCATCTGGTCCGGCTGTTTTTCCAGCTTTCAGAAGTTTGATTGCGTTCAAGACTTCAGCTCTCGTTGGAGGATTGGTGTCAACTTGCAGTTGTGTGCGCGCTGTTGTTGGTATTTCTGGACGGGTTGCAGGTGATGGTCGGTTCAAGAGTCCTTTGAAGTGATCCGCCCATTGTTTAATCTGTTTTTCTTCCTTGGTAATGGGCTTCCCTTGGCTGTCTTTTATAGGTTTCGCTTGTGTTGGTCTCTTCCCGGATAGAGATTTGGTTATCTGATATAGTGTCCTCAGGTCCCTTTTGCCTGCTGCCTTTTCAGCTTCAGTAGCTAGATTGTCGTAGAATCGTCTTTTGTCCTTCCTAGCACTTTTCTTCACTTCTTTGTCCAATGCTTTGTAAGTTGAGCTCATCGTCTCCTTCTCCTGTCCGTCCTTGCATTGAATCATTTTCTCTTTCACCATTCTCCTCTCTTCTATTAATTTCCAAGTTTCCAAGTGAAGGAAGTGACCTCTTTCAAATGTTTTCCTTGGATAGTGAGTGATTGGTGCTTGTTGTTGGTGGTCATCTTTATCACGTTTATCTTCTCTGTGTTCACTTGAAGTCCTGTGTTTGGTGCCCAACTCTTCTGATACTTGTTTTTTTTTAAATTCACGTATAATCCAAGCATAAGTCGTCCGCTAAGTTCATATTCCATAAACTGTCCTTATCGGCGCGTCATATTCCTGTCTTCTTTCTCCTCGCAGTCTGGCTCATAATCCACTCCACCGAATTTACGAATATCATCTGTGATAGAAGGTGGCAGCTTTTTCTTACTCGCTTCTTTACTTCAAAGGCTTCTCCACTGGGGATCACTCGATATGTGGCATTGTCACTGTGGCTGATGAAAAAAATTGATAAAGATTCGGGGCATTCCATAGTGTTAGAGTGGCTTCCAAATTACTTCTCGGTCGACACTACCATCAAAGGCCTTTTCAAACTCTGTGAAACTGAGGTAGATGTTCGACTTCCATTTTATGTGACTCGTCTTGCAGATGTACTCAGATGTAATCTCATTGAATGATAGCATATCATAATTCTAGCTGTAAGGAACTGTAGACTTTTCTGTCTACATGGAGATTGAAACGTGTCAGTGATGCCTTCTATTGCAAAAATTTCTATATAGTTGTAAGATGAAGGGATAAAAGAATTCACCACTCCATAATGTTTAACAATTATCACAGCTGCTCATTTTAAAATATAAACGTAAAAATATGTTACAGAGTAATGAGGTATATGCGCTTTACCTATGTGTGTAGAGAAAATGTGACCATTGTTCATTACATAATGAGTGGACATTTCACTATTTCAATAAAAACACCAACCCTGGTACTAGTTGAAATCCAATCACCTTCTGAATGTATTATTCTGTCAATTTACAGTATCTCATGTGGTATAACGAGTAACTAAGGCTTCGTTTTCAAGTGGATATTCGCTGAACGATTTGTATCGTGGTCATATATGTATATACACGTTTTCATAGGAAGCAAACTTAAACGCCACACAACAAGAGTTCTGCCTTCCACCGAGTTCCACTCGAGGGCCTATAGCAGAGTGCCATTCACCAGTCTCCTGAGGGCTAATTCAAACCATTTCCATTTCTTTTGCGTATTTGCTGGTCAATAGTTTCTCGGTTAGTTTGTTGCCAGAGTTCCGTGTTAATTATCCTCCTTGCCGATCTAAATCTCAGTCCGATAAACTGATGTTGCCTGATGTTGATGAAATTCTACAGGAGGTTATTGAAATTGTTATTCGTGATGCGTACTCAATATATGAGTACCGACTGATTTGATATTACTGCAGAACTTCGGATGTTGTTCCCCATGGATCGCTACAGTAGTTTCAGAGGAGTCAACATCTGTCTTACTTTCTTTATTCTGCCCGGTTTGCAAGCCAGGTAAGTGGAAGAGGGACTTCCTTTGAATTTCTTTTATTGTTGACATTTGATGGCATCGTTATTCTCATTGGTTGGGTATCTTCATCGTATGTGTATTCTCTTCGAAAGCTTCACTGAGCATTCCGTTATGATTTAATTGGTAAGTGACCTCATCATATTGTTGCTGAATGAGGTTTACAAAGGTTTGGAAGACACCAGTCCGTGGCGTTAGAAGAGCCTCCAAATTACTAATCGGTATCATTTCTACCAAAGTCGTTTTCAGAGTCAATGAAGTTGAGGTGGAGAGTTGACTGCCAGTCTATGCACTGTGAGGGGCGTTGCCTAGCATTACGATCTGATCAGAATATGATTTGCTTCTCTAAAATCCGGCTTGATTCAGGAGAAGTTTGTCACCAGAGTATCTTTAATTCTCTCTAGAATGAGGTGATCTAATCTTTTGCTCACTGTGGACAGGAACAATATTTAACCCAGTTCTCTGAAAGGATTAAATTACCCTTCTTTGGGAGTTTGAAAAGGCACCACTTCCTTCTCAAGATTCTGCAATAGTGGCATGAGGCCGAATCGTTTCACAACTTCTGTACAATTAATTTGACAGGCCACAGTGGAGACTTTCCTTTATTTTTACAGTTTCTCTGCAGTTAGCAGTCATCACGTGAATACTTACTTCTTGAAACGTACTTTTCAACTCACTTACTTTATGAAGTGATTGAACCAATTACTTGAAATTTTCTTTAATGTTTCTGCACACTGAAAAAGTAATCACAAAGATAATCGTTATGAAACTAAAGCAGACAATCTAGTCGGAAGTATAAAGCTAAAGTCTACAGAAGAACATTTATGAATACAAAACAACAACGACAACAACAAGTTAACTGACATTTATTTAAGTAAAATAATTCACTACTACTTACATGGTTTATATCGGTAGCATGATTTGTGCAGATATCATCGATTTTCTCATGAATAAATGTATTGAAGTGCACTTGTAATTGTTCATCATTTTCATCTGAATAAAAAGTGAAGAAAATTGCTGGAATTTGTTTTTTGAGAAGCGGTTTTCATTTCAAAGTATTCGCAATAATAATAAAACATTAGGAACATACTGACATCCCTAAATTGTTGTAACATTCGTAACAGAAACTTATTGGTAGGGAATAGAGTGATAAACTCACTGTGGTATACTGTCAAGTCGACATGACAGTCAATATAAGGTAACTCAATGGTTTTCGGTTACTTGTGTAACCACCAGTAGTCAAATAAACAAGATAATACTGAGTGATGTTGTGTCGTTGGAGTCAATCAACATGAAGTTATTACATCATAAGAATAAAAAGATGGTTTATCACTGACACTTAAAAGTAGGTATCGAAGAGTTTGCGGTTCAGAAGTTCAGGTGTATTCAGGGATGCCACAGCATGTTAGTTAAATGGTATGGGATCTCTAGTAGATATATACAAGTTTTTCATAGGTGTTAGAATAACAATGAGTATAAACTACAGAAACTATTGTTTTAATAATTCAAAATGAAACGACCACAAATTTATTACCAACTTGATAATTGCTGGCTTCTTTTCTCTACCACTCTAATTAGTTCTCGTTGTGTTTTGAATTTACTAAAGCGTCAGTGGTTCAGGGGTAGAATAAGTGCCAGCTACTCTCAGGGGTTGGGTTAAGTTCCTGACCGACGCATCTCACAACCTCATCTAGCCAGTGGTAACAGGCCGAGAAAAGAAGGAAAGTAGGGTGGGAGGATGACAATCACACCATCTAAAAACATAAACACTACTGCAACTTCCTTCGAACTGTAAAAGAGTGAATGCTATTACAGTATGTCACACGGATAGAGGCTGTCGACATTATTCCTTGTTTCATCATGACTTAGTGCCATTTCTTTCAAATATTCAATCAGTCTTCAGTAGAGAAGTGTGGAACAGCCAACTATAGTGCATACTTTAGTAAATCATTAAATTGTTTATTTTATTTAACCCTACTGAATTCCACGAAGGACTTCCACGAGGAGATAGTATGATGAAGAAGAAGTGAACATGACACTTGAAGACTTCAGCAAAATTATTATCTGTTAAGTACAGTGTCTTTTATCTACACATTTGGTGCACGCGTCACCAAAGGCATTTCAAACAGACTGCACACACTCTGATTAACATCTGCTTTCACTGCCTCGATACTGAAGACCAGATGACCTGTCAGAGAGGATTTTCACCAAAGAATTCTGTTCAGCAGCGAACTAACCATGAAACTGTTGCCTAAGAAATACGCGAAAATAAGTGGAGATGGATTGGACATACAGTCGGGTGACCGTAACATCACGGACTAGACTGTCAGGTGGAGCCCGAGTGGGAAATGACGAGTTGGGCGTCTGGAGGTGACATGGACGAGATCGCATGCTGAGGAAATGAAACCACATGGGTTGTCAATCGTGCAGCTAGCCATGGAAGACTGTAGATAATGGGATGAAATGTAAGTGTGCCAGTGACCATCTATATTTCACTTGGAACTTAAGGAAGTAGTTAAAACTGCAATAATAGTAATTATTATTATTGTTGAGTCTTTTATTTTAAGTATTGGTTTTTGTAGGGATTTTGTTTGATTGCATGGAGGATTTAATCATGAGCTGACATCAGTTAGAGAACCACTAGTGACTGGCCCTATTCAGGCAGTTAACCTGGGTGGACCGGGAGAAATAGAGATATAACTGGGCCGAGCTACAGCGGTACCGGGGCCAAGAACCCGTTTCGTATAACATCTTTTATTTTAGTTGGTGGAGCACTGAGTCAGAATAATACAAGCAGCAGACTGGAATCACCAGACTACATATTTAAATATCTTTAGAAATCACTCTTTTATATCTCTTTAGATACCGTCTGGATTTGTGTTTGTTAAATAATGTAGAAAGTAGTAAGAATGTCTTCTATGACAGTGATATAGTGCATGAAAGGAGACATTCCAATCACAAATGGACATCTGCCCTCCTTCACTGACACACATCTGAAGAGAAAGACTGATGCTCCATGAAACCTGGTTGCATTGAAGAAACGAATAACTATGGATCTAAAATTCAAGAGAGATATAATTAGTGAAGTTCTCCAAAGTCGCCTGCAAAGACCATTACAAATAACGTTCTTTACTGCATCTCTACGCCTTGTCTTCTTTATGCATGCTCTTGTCAAACAAAATGTCACAGACAAGATCCCATTTGTTACAACTTCAGTATGTATTTACCAAAACACCTGCTCCTGTGGAGCTAAGTACATAGGCCGTGCCAGCAGGACATTCTCCTGACGAGTCAATTGAAACTTACCAGCATGGTTATCTAAGGGAAAAAGTAGAACAGTCAACAGCTGAATTCCGGAGCACATTATTACTTCAGGTCATGAAGCACCAACAAAGGTCCAATTCACAGCCACATATAATATAGGATCAAGCCAGTCAGTAGGATTTCGTTCACATCTTCTGCATGCAGTCGAGGTTTTATCGGTCTGTGAGGAGAAACCCGGACTTACAAATTAGTTGTCATCCGTTAGATTTATGAATGGCTGTTCACTATTTTTTGCACATTATTAATTCTCACATACTTTGACATATTTTGCTACTAACAGACCATATTCTCTGAGCTTCGTTATCAATTAACACTGTATGTACAAACCCTAAATAACTGTACAGACTTGAACTATAGTTACGAAAAGAGGTCTCTTTCCTGGTGTGGGAAGACATAGATGGCGGAGTTAAGAACTTGATTTTCATGGAGGTTAGTGAATTAACTTGGTAGATGGTGACTAGCGATGAATTCTAGGATGCACATTAGGTTCTATTCCGGACCCACCAGCTGGATGTAACTGTATTCCCCAGTCGGTTATGTAGTTTCCACTGAGTCTTAAAACCGATACCCGCATTTTCAAAAGCCAAAGCGTTATCCACTGGGCCACCTGGATCACAAGAGCTGCCGCGTTTTGTGCAGCGGATATCAGTTTTTATTTAATTTAACTTGGACGTTCTCGTTGATTTATTGGACTGAAGTGTTCGGCTTCTGGATACCACTTTAGCGTTTGAAACGACGGGTGCTGGGTTCCAGACTAAGTAGGAACGCCATCACTTACTGGGAAATGCAGATGATGACCATCAACCTAATTATTTCCAGTCAAATCCCCAAACATCGTCTGAGCATTCGACATGTCAATCCGAGGCCGAACACTGCAGTCCATTCAATCAACAAGAAGGTTCAAATAAATTCAGATAAGAAGTCAGTGAGTGTTAGCTGCATATTTAAGATCAAGAGTCTATCAGCCTAACTATCATGAAATTCATCCCCAGGACTCATTGGTGGCTTAACTTCTGTGCTTGACTTAAAATTTAATAAATCTTGAGGAGGTTTTTCAGTCCAGCAGTCAGAAGATTTAAAAAATTGAAAGGTCTGTTAAAATCATGGATATAGATGCTTACAAGTTCCATGAAATCGATCCGATTTACCACACATTGAAATAGCCTAAAACAAAAATTAAAAAATAATTGGTACATTTTCGAAAACACTATTTTATAAGGCAAATCCATCAGAGCTAATATCTCCACTCATTAATATTTCTTTCTCTGAATAAACGATTCATCTGTTGGGCTTACCCACTAAACTGAAGCATACCACTTTAGATATTATCAGGTGTAAACATCGATTCTGTTTAATCTTTCGATTCAGACATGTACGAATGCAAATGTTTCACTCAGGATTGGCTCTTTATGCTTAATTGTTGACACAAATTTTTTTTGCGTATGGCTTCTAATGCTTACTACGGTTTGTTCTCCTTATTTTATAATCACACCCTATTGAGGAAACATTTTCAAAAAACAAAATATGCCGCCAATTTGGAGGTTAATTTAAACAACTAGAATAAGTTTAAAATCATAAAAAAGCAGAAAACAGTTGATTTTGCTAAACATAAGCCTTTCCTTAATTCTTCAATAATGGTCAGTTAGTAGATATAACTACTGATTAATGAGGTTAATTGGTCCACTGAAGACAGTTTCTCTAATCAGCGCGCTTACTACATTAACAAGAGTGTAGAATTTGGGCACTGTGGTGGAATGTAATTACATTTTATATGAATTTATTTGATAAGACACTCCATGGCATAGTACGAATAACTGGATGACGTTTCGGGCACAGTTTATTGCTCGTAATCACATGAGTTTAGCTACATGGCTTCATAATTTGTCTTGTACATATATACTTCTCCCTCTCCCTCTCTTCCCCTTGCTGTCCATATCTCCGGTACATGTGTTGCATCATTTTGATTGCACGTGTGCTGTATCGAATCGATAAACAAAGATTCAGTGATTAATTATTCTCTCTACCTGACTATATTACTTTTTAACACATTAGTAAGCAGGAAGATTTAAATAATAAAGTCAAACAGATAAGGTAAATATGACTAGTGAATGATAACCCATCAGAATTTTTTTCAGAAATGTATGAAGAAACATTGGAAAAAATAATATTACTGATCAAAATGACAAAAAGCTTCTGTAGTACTGTCACATAAAGAAGGAACGTCAGAGGCCTTACGTTGAATTCTCAATGAGGCTGAAATTGTAGTGATATTTAAACCAGCCACCTCTCTCAGAGATAAATTCTGTTGCCTTAAGAACCTCACTGACTCAATTAAGGTTGCAGCAGGTCGGGCGTGAGGACAAATACTCGCCGAAGACATTGACTAGGGGTCGCGCTATGTCGTGAATTGGTAGAAATTAGAATTCATGGGCTGGCCATTGGATCAGGTCCCAGTGGCTTAATGGTATACGAGCTCACCTTGTAACCAGAAGGTCCTGGTTTCGAATCCTGGCGGTATGTGTACTGCTGAAGAGTCCCAAACTAGGATGAAGCAGCGGTCCAGTACTCCCTGCATATTTTCCAATGGTTCTCTAACTAATGTCAGCTCATGATGAAATTCTGAAACCAATCAAATCCCTACAAACCAACACTTGGATATGAAAAATATTATAATTTACTAAATACTAGACTTCTTATTTTATTCCGGTCAACTGATCTAGTTTTTGCTAGGTTTTTATGCTTCGCTAGTCTGACTGCATTTATTCTATTACTTTGACATATGTATATGACCTGACAAAAACCTAGCAAAATCTAGATTAGTTGATCCGAATAAGATAAGAAATCTAGAGAATAGTTCAGCCATACCACTCACCACATACAATTGCACGCAACCATACAATAGGCTGGATGGGATAAGATGACACTTTTAAAATCTTATGTCATAGGGTGAAGGAAGAGATTGATAACAGAAGCTTTGTTTATCGAATCAACTGCAAACACGTGTAGTAGGAATAATTCAACACCTGTCCACCCAGTTATCTGGGAAATCCTACTACCACTACGACAAAAAGGAGAGAACAAAATTGTGTGATTATAATTGATGAAATGATTATGACTAATAAATTATGTTCCAAACGTCATCCAGTAAATAATACCGTTTCACTGTGTGATATATCTAATAAACGAACTAATATGGAATAAGATATAAAATGATTGACCTGGTAAGTTAAATAACCTGACTAGGACAGGGTGATAGTATAAAAAAGTAACATAGTTAGACGGAGTGAAGGAAAGGTTAGTCACTGAAGCTTTGTTTATCGATTCAGCACTGCACAGATGTACAGTCGGAATGCAACAACGCCTATACTGGGGATATGAAAAGTGGCAACAAACAACAAAGAGGAGTTGGAGAGACAGAAAGGGAGAAAATATATATAAGGCGAATTGTGAAACTGTGACTAAAATTGCTATGATTACGATCAATAATTTGTGCCCGAAAACATCATCCAGTCGTTAATACTGCATCACTGTGTAATATTTAAAATGAACTTATCTAATATGGAATTACGCTCACTACACATTTAAAAATAGCACATATAGTCCATTTTCCTTCATAAAACAAATCTTCCTGTTTTCTGATATAAGAACAGAACTTTGACACTTTAATAGAGAATTATTCTATTATAGAGTAAATCTATTTCATATAACCAAAGTGTTCTACAGTTTTATTCACTGATGTCGTTTCGAGCAGAATTTATTACTGCTCATAATCATCATATCAAGGTAACTCGCATAACTTTCAGACTTCATCAATTCATTCCAATACTTCTTATCCCTTGATTTGATTAGTAGTAATATTTCCCATATCTCTGTTAGTAGTGATGAGTCATTGCTACTGAGCGTGTCAGGTGTAGATTCGATGAAGAAAGTGATTATTCCCCACCAGCCCTCACTTGACTAAATTACTTTTTAGAACCGTAACTCTGTTTCTCAATGCATGCACTGCAATTGCTGAGTTTCCACCCAAACTCTGCATCTTTGTGGAGTCAATCATTCTGCAGATTTAACACTCGTAACTAATCTCACAGTCATTACAAGGTATTCTGGAAATTACATTATTTTGTCTAATTGGGTCAATAGGGCTTTCTTTAACTTAGAGGAATTTTCTCTGAGTGAGTTTGTAGGTCTTAATGCCACCTTAATTCCTGCTCTGTTAGGGACTCCTTCGTGTTCGCTACAGCCATCCTGAGGCAATAACTTAGAATATAACAAAAAGAATAACAGTTTTTATTGTTCAATAAAATCGCTTCAGGAGAGGCGGAGTAAATAATAACAACACTAGACATAGAGTTTTATATGAAAAAAAGTACACAGATTAATGAACTTGTCATGCGTCATCACTTAAAATGAATGAGACTTTTGACAAGCCACTCCCTTCGTTGACCAACAATCTTAACTAAATTAAGATAAGATGACTAAACTAGAGTGTTCATTTCATGAATATTCCCCATCCAGGCAATAAGGAGTGCGATAACTGAACACCTGGTTAACACTAATCATTCCATTTCAATAAACGCCTCCTTCGAAGTAATCTACAGAGTCAAGAATAACCTATTAAAGGCAATAATGTTTCGTCTTCTTTGTATCGCTGAAGCTCTGGCCATTCACATAGAAAAACCTGAGCTTTGCCTACAAAAGAAGATTACACAACCACTTCTCCTGTCATGGTAACAACTTTTTTTTATTGAATTTGAGTATTTTTATTTTGATGACTTAATTTTGTTTCTTTGCCTGTTTCTTTAATTGCTTATAATTCTTGCATTCATTTAGAACTCTCACGTAGTTTCGTATTATCTACTTTGTTTCTATGTGCATTCTGAGTAAAGCTCACTCATTAAACTATTCATATTATTACATAACTTCTTTTGACAACTGTTTGTGACAACTCATCACCTTTGTTACTATCCTAATTTCATTAACATCTAATTTTCTTGGCTAGTATTACCAATCTTCACCTGTTTAGTTAAAATAACCATAACCAATTGTATTGTTGTTTGACAAACTTAATGTACACATACATATAAAACAACACTTATATATTTGCGATTGTACAGCTAAGAAAATGAATTCGCCGAAAAGAGGCTCTTCGCTATTTTTTTCCTTGACGTTCCCAGTGGAACATAGAGCTTCAAGCTAGAGGCTTGAAGTTTCTGTAGCAGTGTTTATTTTTACAGGATGAGGTTGCTAGCCTCATGACCAACCTTTTCTCTCACCAGCTTTTTATTCCTGTTTTGGCGAGGTAAAGGAGTACGACGGTCGGAGATCCAATCCCGGATCATGTGCATCGTCGACGAGTGTCCTAACCACTGTGCCGCCGACGCACAGACTCTTCGCTGATCTACGTGTTTTGTTTTCACTAAACTAGAGTACTCACCTGTTCAAAATTCAATTATAAGTGGCCCATAATGCTATGTCGCAAAATCTTTTGTAACGATTGAGGTGTATTCACTCTTTGTAAACTTTCAGAGTCTGGAAATCTTTACTCATTTTCACATAATCAAGATTTTCCCTAATATTGAATTTCTGCTGTGGTGTCATCAGTCTTATGCTTCTTCATTTTGTCTTTTTTCTTTGAAGTAAGGCGAAGTGAAGTAAAAGGAAGTCATTTTTAGTAGCCAACATTCTCCACCTTCAGCAGTCTTTTATAAATGTCTCTCACAAAATAATTTTTGAAAAATTCAATAAGTCCCATGACGCTATGATCGTTTTGATTGAGTTGTGTTCTCTGAGCTGGATGGCTGGTTTATTTGCGAAGCTTTCAATGCTCCCTATTCGGCAATATCTTCAGCCTTTTGAAGTGAGCTTCTAGATTTCTCCATGGGTTATTATTCACCTATTCTGATGACCTGATGTCTAACCTCACTTCAAATTGAAGTATGCGCTGAAGATTTTGCCTAGTAAGTAAGGCAATGAAACCTTCGTAAATAGAGCGTCCAGCTCAGAGAATACAACCACATCAAAGTCATCCGCCTGAGCTGCTGCGCCTGAAGTGATGCGTCCTCTACACCTTCAGCTCTGGTAACTTCTAATAATATCAAAACGAAAACAGATCCCAGTATTACAAATGAATACGGTCAAGTCACCTTTAAATGGAAAAGTTTCCATTAAATATGATAACTTACACAACATAAAGTTGATGCTTTCATTTGATTCAATTCAACTGTAACCATTCTGGCCAATTCACCAGATAGCAAATATTCGCACTAAAATAAAATATTTAGGAAAAAAATTAAAACAAGCACTCATTAACTGCTAAATACATCGACCTTACACAGCAAGCAGATCATTTTCCAAAACCATAAAACGAAACGTTTGTCAATAGTTCACTTTCAAAATATGAAACATGTTTGCCATCTTTGAGACTGACAATCTTTTGATGAAAATATTGTTATTAACCACAATAATACCGTTTTAAATTACATTGAATCAATATTGTCAGCAGATTACATTTCAAGATCATCAGTAAGGGGGTAATATGCACTAATGTAATACAGAATTGTTGGATTTACAAATTCGACAGCCGACAGTGGTGGCTAGACCTTTTTCTTCGGTTGGTTTCAGGGAATTGAAATGGCCTCTGATACTTGGTGTGTTCATTATCCAGATGTCTTTGATAGTTTATTCGCTATCCAAGATCATGGCGAAATATTCTTCAGTGCTGGCCTATTTGCACTAGATGGTTCATCATAAAAACTGTTAATGGTTTTGACAACACCTTTATTCAGCCACATTGGTAGGTGTTCTCCAGCAAGGAAAATTAAGTCCTCAGAGTAACGGCCAATATAAATGGCTCCATAGGAACGGTTAAACTGATAGATACAATTAGAGACGAGCAGCCTGAGTACTTCATCTTTCAGTTTCGGAATCACAACTAGTTGTATCGAAGACATAATCCTGCAATTTATCGACATTAAAAGTTCTTTGAGTCGATTTCTTCAACCTGTTTGGTAATTATTTCACTAGCCTAAGGTGGACTAATTTTCTGTTCAGTAGCAACCTATAACAAAGTACTTGTTGAAGCAGAGGAGAAAAGGCATCTTCAGAGGCGAAACAAAATGTCATTTCAGTATGATCGGACTTGAAAGGTAACAAGATTGCCAGCAGAACAAACCGAATATCTAAGATGTCTACAGCTGTGACAAAACAATCTAAATTTTCAGATTCAATAGGAAAATAACAGCTTTCCTGTCTTCACTCACCAATTCATGATAATTTTCGTCAGGCATTAGGTAACAAGTCGGCGACAAAATTTTGAAAAAAGCTCTCCAAAGAAATTCTTTTCGCATAATACCTAGTGCCACATTTGCAGCTGACATACACATTTTACATACTGTAAAAACAAAGAAGGATCCAAACAACAGGGATAAGTAAACATTACAAAACAATAAAAAGACTTGAAATAAGTTTAATTCAGCCTTCGCTTTCCCATCGACTTACTAACACGTAATCTCTGGCTTCTGTTGACATGCTGGCCCCTAGTATGAACGCTGTGGTAGTGACTGAAGATTATTATTGATGTTATTTACTGGGGAGATCTAGGACCCGACATTCGTCCTGTTTGGGACACGTCATCTAGGTGTACCTCCAGTCCCGATTGAGTAATGTTGTTCCTACTGAGACTCGAACCCGGTAACCTCAGTTTCAAACGCCACAATGTTATTTACTACACCACTTTGGCTAATAGTAGTCACCATTTACCAGATAATATTGATTTGAAAAATTAGTGTAGAAAACTGGTTTAGATTTGAAGAAAAATGGGCTTCAGATAAGTGATTAATTCTCCCTTTGATCATGAGTGTCTGCATTCTTTGCAATATTAAGGTTATGCTTCGGTCGAGTGCTAGGTAAGGATGGGAAATGAGCTACTAAAGGGGATATTGCTGATCATATGAGATGATAAGGAGGAAAAATCAATCGACGAGGTTGTGAAGCTACACCGATTGAGATGGTTAGGACATATTTTACGCGTGCATGCCTAGCCATCGCCTTCCTCTAAGGTTAATGTTAGCTGACATAGGATGTGTCAGGTTGGAGACGATATAATGGTAGTCAAACTAAAACATGGCATTAATCAATGAAATCCACAACAATTAAAGTCATGTAGGAAAGTGTGAACTGCCTGGTTGGGGTCCTCGGGATGGTAGAAACCAATGGCGGCTGGAGACAATTGGTGGTATGGCTCAAAATCGCTCTCAGTCACAGCGCAGATGCATTCACTCTTTGTGATTTATCATATCCGATCAAACTCTATTTTTTTTCCATATTACTATCCTCTTTCCCTCATACTTCTATGCAATATCTCTCTTTACTCTCTTCCCTTGCTTTGTGTGCTACATGGGGTGTGGCGACTCTAACTGCTGCACATCTATGCAAAGTTCTGCACTGAATCCAGTCAGTCATTCGTTGATCGATTTGGACATATCAATCGGTCACTGAGGGTTAATGGTGATCTGAATAACTTGATGTCAAAGTCATTATCGTTTGTACTGGATGATACAAGTTACGATTTCACAGACAGAATTACATATACACCTTATCACAGCGGTAGAATGCTTGTAAACCACGTATATGGTTCGAATCCCTGGCCAACGCACTCCTCTACCTCCGTAAGCTAGTAATAAAACTGGTACAGACAGAAGGTTGGACATGAGGCTAGCAACCCCATCCCGTAAAAATAAACACCACTGCTGCCGAAACTTCGAAGATCTAGCTCGAACGTGCCCTATGTTCCACTGGGAACGTAAAGGAATAAAATAATAAAAGTAATAATAATCTCCCTAGAGCTATTTAACTACTGTGCAATAGAAGAATCTTGAAGTGATACTGACAGAAATAGATAGATGTAAGCTAAGGTATTATCCATAAGCTGACAGATATAGACCTCACAAGGAAAGAAATCATTATAATTTATTTTCTCTAACCAGCTATTATACCCTCATCGATTGTTTTTTTCGTAATCAACTTTATCCTACTTAATGCTTACAAGTAGCATTGTTTGTTTGTGTTTTTTTACAGTGCTGTAACTCATTATTGACTTCCATAAATATGTATCCCATTGTAGTTTGTACCCAGTAATGGTTCGACTGTAGAATGCACACGAACAAACCCTCAGTCCGGGATTCAATTACCCGCCGACCCGTTCCCAAGCTTCACCTAACCAGTAGCAAGCCCAAGAAAGACGGATGATTAACAATCTCACTCTCTGTAAAAACCAACACTAGAGCTACTGAAACATCAAAAGAAAATGTACTCCGCTTGTCTTTACTTCCCAGTATTGAACTGTACTTGATGTTCTTGCGTTTTTCTATGTTTCAGTACCTCTTGAACATAGTTTATGCTATCCCTTTTTTCATTACTGTGCGTATTTGTACTATCGTCATTTCTTTTCATGGAGAGTTTTGAAAAAATCTCTGTTGTTCATCTTATTAATGTTCTTTGGTGAAAATGCTTTAAACAGTGGTCAACACAGAGACTTCATAATGTGAAGTTTGTAATTTGCTCCTCATTATAGCTATCCAATAGTTATTACAATACGGTAACTTAGACAAATTCTACCTTCTGGATTTCATCCATTAGTCTAACTTTTGGTTTACATGATCGATAGTTCAACTGACCGTTTTCGTTTCAAATTTAAAAGAGACGATTTTCACTTTTGACAACAAAGGTGCATACTAGTGGTCGGGCTCTTTTTCATGCAGTCTAAGCTAGTAAAATTGTTATCACAGAAAGTGGGTTAAGAATTTCTTAGTCTCATAAAACAAACGAAAAACCAGATTCAATTGGTGGATGGTGACTAGCAGTGGAATCCAGGATGCGCATTTCCTCCTATATGGGAATCGTCAGCTGGATGTACTTGCATTTCTCAGTGAGTGGGTTGGAGCCTCGGTAGGAACATCATCACTCACCGAGAAATGCAGGTACATCAGATGATGAGTCCTGAACAGGACGAAATGCGCATCCTGGATTCCACTGATAGTCACCATCCACAAATTAAATACTAACTAAGTGCCCAGACATTTTCGAAGCATCCCCACAAGAAGTCGACATGTTAACCTGAGACCGAGCACTTCGGTCCAATCAATCGAAGGGGAAAATGTCAAATTCAATTAAACAAAACCAGATTCGTTAATCAGCAATTTTCTAAACTGAATAAACACGGTCGTCATTGAATGTTTGTTCATACTGTGCTGTCTAAATACTGTTTTTCTTCCTTGAGTTTATTCAGTTATAAGAATTTAAGTAGAAAATAAAAAAGTGGTTTAAGACACCTAAGGAGTTTGAAAAACGCTTTACTTCTTCTATTGAGCTGGTAGTTATCATTTTTTGATGTAATTCACGCATTAGGCACACAATGATATTCAGTCAAAACTTACCGATTCCATTCTGAACATGTTTATCAGTGTTGGACACCTTAAAGCGAAAAAGGGAAAGAAAATACTGGAAATATATTGACAGTTATATTTTCGTTTATAGGTGATCAAAATACAATGTGACATATTATTTATAAACCCAAACATTTCTATGACAGCGAATAAAAATGTTAAAAGTACTTGTCCTACTGGGAGGAATGTTTGTTGTAGTGATAGTTTCATGCCCAGATAAAAAGTATCTCAGGTGTTGATTTGCAGAGGTTTGATTAGCTTCAGGTTTGACTACGAGTAGTTGACATTGGTGAGAAAAGCAATGGAAAACTTGTGAGTACTCGACAGCTATTTCGTCTTCATCACTAATCACCCACCAGGGTTTGAGCTTAGGACTTTCTAGTCACAAGGTAGACCTCGTAGACCATTCAGCCAATGGAACCCATCTGAAACAGAATAATCTGTCTAGACTTAATGCTGAGCTTTGATGAACAGGGTTTCTTTTTCCTGACTCTTACATATTTACAATTCAGTGTTAAGGAGTGGAAATAGTATTTCTACCATCAATAAAATGATGCGTTCACTTGCTTAGGGGTTTTTATTACTTTATGTCTCATCACCTTAATTTCAATCTACTTTGCGTCACTGGCTAACTTCAGAATGATTTCCGTGGAAATTCCAGGCGAATCTACCAAGTCGAAAATGAAGGTTGACACTTATTGATGGTAAGCAGTAGCCGAGAAATTCTGTTATGAAATACCAGAACTTACTAGCAGCATACCACTTTATTCCTACATGTTCACCTTACTAATAAGCACTCCCATCTCGATCCCTAAACAACAGCGTGGGTTTGAGTTGTTGAAGAGTCATCTGTGAATGATGTTATCACCTCGTTATCTACTAACCAGAAACATCTCTCAGTGAGAAAAAATTGCCGATATATAAATGATATCTTTATTCTTAGTGATAATGGTTCTGATAAGAGTACAATAATTACTGAACTCAATGAAGTACATTCGGCTATGAAATTCACATGCGAAGAGGAATCACAAGACAGAATTGCCTTCCTGTATGTTCTACTTACAAGAAAACCAGATGGTAGCATAAAAAGAAATTTGCATAGAAAAAGCACTTGGACAGGACAATATATACATTTTCACAGCTTCGCTCCTATCAAGTATAAAAGAAATTTAGTGAAGACCCTCAGCCACAGAGTTAGAGCTATATGCTCAGAAGAAGTAATTGAAGATCAATTAAGCATTGTATATGATACTTTGATCGAAAATGGCTATCCCGAAAAATTTATCAAGAAACACATGACAAAGAAAACGGAAAAGGACTACTCACTATCTGTAAAAAAGAAGCCTCTTTATATACGACTACAATTCATGGGCGATATACTAAGTGAGATAATTACGAGGAAATTAAGAAAATCAGTTCAAAGAACTTTTAATGCTGGCGAACTACACGTATTCTACTCTACACGACCGATGACGATTCCTCGACTGAAAGGTGAAGTATCTAGACTACCCACTTCTAATTGCATCTATCAATTCAACTGCGCTTGTGGAGCGAGTTATATTGGCCGTTGCTCTAGGAACTTAATTTTTCGTGCTCGCTTGAGAACATCTCCCAGTATGGCTAAGTAAAGGTGTAGTGAAAACTATTAACAGCTCGACATCGGAACATCTGGTGCAAACAGGCCACAAAGCCAGCGTAGAAGAATCCTTCTCTATAATATACTGGGTGCCAAATAAATTATTAAAAACATCGAAGCACCGCAGAGAATATTGCGATTCGCCTGAAACAACCAGCGCTTTGTGTTCAAAAGAAGCAAGTCCAGCCAGCTACTACTACTGCCCTGGCCGCCCTTCAGTAGAAACTATAAACTCATGAATTTGTAATATTATCCTTCCTAATTTTTGTGATATTCATCTTATTTTATGTTGATGCAGTTCAGCTGTAATCTATCAGAATTATTGATTTGATGTTATTTAAACAATAATAATGTTGTTTATAACACTAATTCATTCATTCACTATAATGTATGTATAAATGTGGAACCTGATGATGAATTTATCGAAAATAGTACTCTTTGTTCAGTATCCATTCTTTTGAAAATTTTTGTTGTCATCATAATGTTTCCTACCAGTTTTCTTTTAAATTCAGAATAAAAATCCTCTCTTCTAAACTGTATTGCGTAGTAGCAGCATAGATACTCAAGGGAACTGAATAGTATTCATTACAGTATACAGTATATAGTAAACCCTGAAATAAGTAGTATGAAGTATGATACTTTCTAAAAAAAGGTAAAAGTTTATATATAACTTATAAAAACTGTTGAAAAAGAAGAAGAAAAAGAGGAAAAATCTTTAAATATTATGAGAAATCTAAGAACGGACAATTAACAAGTTTCTACAGCTGGGTACCAATCAGTCGGAAAAGAAACCTAATTAAATCCCTTGCCACTCGCGTCAGACGCATCTGCAGCTCCGACACCATGGAAGAAGAACTAAACTTCCTGAAAGAAATCTTCATACAAAATGGCTACCCACCAAGATTTGTAGAGAAAAACATCAAACAGAAAAACCAAAAGCAAGAGACACCATCCGTGCCAAAAAAGATACTTTATATGAACCTAGACTTCAAAGGAGACCTATTTAGTGACATCCTCAGAAGGAGAATTTCCACCTCTTTAGGAAGAACTTTCCCTGCGGCAACACTAAGAATAGTGTTCTCCAGTCGCCCGCTGATCTGCAGAAACCCAAAGGACAAGATTCCGCACATGACCACTTCTATGTGTATATATCAGTTCACCTGTTGCTGTGGAGCCAGGTACATCGGTCGTTCAACGCGCATCCTGTCTAAAAGGGTAAAAGAACACTATCCAGCGTGGCTACAGAAAGGAAATAATGGCCATATAAGGAGTGCAATAATCGAACATCTCCTCAATACTGGTCATTCCATCTCAACGAACGCCTCCTTCAAAGTAATCTACAAAGTGAAGAACAACCTTCCAAAGACAGTACGATTCCGTCTTCTTTGCATCGCAGAAGCCCTAGCCATCCAGTCGGAGGAACCAGAACTATGCATACAAAAGAAAATTATCCAACCACTTCTACTCGCATGGTAACTACTCCTTTGATTTGACCTAACTTTTCTTTGTTTGTTTGATTTGACCTTACTTCTGTTTGTATGCTTATTTTTCTAACTTAAAACCCTTGTGTAATTCTGTATATTATTTTGTTTCCATGTACACCCTTTGAGCACAACTCATTCATCAAACTATTCATGCCATTACGTAACTCTTATTAATTAATTCACTATTATCACTCTCATATGCTCCTTCTGTACATTTTCACACCCTCTTCACACTTGTTAACACTTGGACACTCAAATACCTTCATTCTCACTCAAGAGCAATTTTAACCTTATCAAATTTCTATCTTTGTTCCGTTGGGTAACACGTAATTTACAACTTTTAATATTTTTGCTTAGTTATAAATTCAAACAAATATATATGTATTTTAGTGAAGCTTCAGTGTGTGCCATTGTTTAAATGGTGGAATCCTCGTCAACGGCGCCAAAATTTGTTCGGCTCAATTCCCCAACTGGCCAATACGTAAACTTTGCTTAGCCATTAGTAAGCCCGGTAAAGAAAGAAGGTCAGGCGTGAGGTTAGCAACCCTACCCATGTAAAGACTTCACTATGACTGGAACTCAGAATATCAAAGTTTGAATCCCTATGTTTCACACGCAAAAAAAACCTATCTAAATGACAATCTTTCAGCTATAACTGAACACTGTATTACATCATAAAATTGACAAAAACTGATTAAAAATTATAAAAAACAATTTACCTCCACAACACCTCCATGAACCAAATTTTTAGAATTTAAATCAAAGCATCCTAGGAGTAAGATTACATAACACAATTATTCATTACCCAACAAAGCGATAACAATACACGTTAGTTTAAGCATCTTTTCCTGGAGTTCAAAACAATTCACGCTCCTGTAAATAACGAATTATTTCAATGAAGGATTAATTTATACGGAAATAATTCGATACACACACTTTTTGTTTTTTTTTACATTTCTGGTCTGACCATGTCCTGAACTTTGATCAGTATACTAATTCAGGAATGTAATTTATATTTTTCTGAAGTTTTTAGCAGAGAATTTCGTTGGTTTTTTCCATACGCGACACTGTTGCTATAACAGCAACAATCATATCAGAACACAAATGACCAGATTTCCGAAAGGATGATTATCAAAGGTTGAAGTAGTAGTATCGAAACAGATTTCAGCGTACAAAGTTCTTTGATTGTAAACCACGCATCATAGTTAGTAGTTAATTCAGAGAAGGATTAAATTAGTGTTTATTTCATAAGTGCACAAAACAATTATACTACTGATTCATCGAGATGAGTAGTATCGCATACCACTGACAACAAACAGCAGTACCTGCTATTTTTTATGTTTAATTATAGCTTGATTCCACACCATAATTTTTGTACAAGTATGGATTTTTCAGCATGTGATATCGGTAGCCCAAAATTTAGCGGCCCTACTACAGATATCAGGTATGCGTCCGCAGAAGATCGAACCCCGGACCATGTGCATGTTCGGAGAGAGTCATAGCCACTGTGCCACCGATTCAAAAGTTTGTACTAGCTAGCTATATTGAAGTGATTTAAACAATGGACAGCTGTTTCATTCGCTTGAGACAGAGATCATTAGCAAGTAGAATGCTTGGTTTGACTGGATTCAAGAAGCCAAATTATTTCAAACCATGAAGTAAACTTCACCCAACTGAAGTCTTCAGCTCTCGAATACAATGACAATAATCGCTTTTCAAGTGATTCGAAAATGTTACATAACCTCTGATGTAGATTAGCAACTAAAAATGGTTATGCTTTGTAAATAATCGTGCGTTCATCTCACTTCTTGTATTTCCCAGTTTTTCTGGTTTCTGGACATTGATTGATTGTTAACTCATATGACTTATGACGTTGAATTTAGTGTATGTAAGCGTCATTTAATGCCTATGCACTCGACTATCCTCGTGGTGGAATAACGTTTCGGAAAATCTCTCCTAAAGCCACCTATTTACAATATTAATACTTGTTTGAATATTTCAACCAACTTTTAATTATTTTCCTTTTTTCTTCTAGGATGTATATCACTGCCCTAATGTTTGCAATATCATCTGTTGACTTAATCCTTATTCAAGTATTGGTTTGTAAGATTTGACTGATTTGTTACAGGATTCCATCATGATCTGAAAGTGGTTGGAGAACCATTGGAAGACCAGCTGGGAGTACTGAACAGTTGTTTCGTCCTATTTCGGGACTCTTCAGTAGTACGCATCCATCGCCACGGTTCGAACCCCCTGGACTTTATGATTACAAGGTGAGCTCGTAGAAGGCCAAGGGTCCAGAAGGTTCTGGGTTTCAACCTCTTGTTACAAAGGCAGTGGGAGATTGATAACACTCTCTTTCTGTATGTAGAAGTTCTGTTTGAAATGTTTGATTGCACTTGTTTAAGCAAATCATAGTGACTTTGCTGTCCTTTTTACATTTAATATCTTGAAAGATTTGGAAATCTCAAAGAAATGACTCACATTAACAAGGTGTCTGGTAATTTCAGTTTGGGAATATCTGCTTCCCTGTAGGCATTTTTCTTCGGATATGGTCAGAAAAAGAGATAGACACGTTTCCTTCTGTCCTTCCAGTGTACTTCCGCCAAATTTATAGAAATGCAGTTAGAGGTGACATTAGCAAGGTACAGACCTACCCAGTTTAAATTGGCTTATTGAGCATACGATGATGCACAGTGTTACAGGCATAGCTTCAGGGAAGCATCTTTTTATTGCTGCTTTTATTCTTCAGTCAATTCTTTATGATATTACTTCTTCTTTTGAATGGAAGACCAAGAAACACTTTCTTCTTTTCAACAGTTGGGTGTTTTATTTGTATTTCTATAGAATGATATCACTTTATGCTGTCAATTTCGACTCCTTTTTTTGCTTTATCGAAGTTTATCAACCAAATCAAGTGTATGGAACGACATTGCTTCAAATGAAGCATTATGGATCCCTATATTACTAGATGATCTTGAAAAAGGAGTAAATACTTTGCAATAAAACAAGCTGAACATTCTGTATACCATGTTTAAAATGAGATTTACACTATAAAGCTGTCATTACTGTTAAGAATATACGTTTTCTTTAATTCTATCAGGCTGAAGTATGGCATGCAGATTGTAATTTCAGTTAAACAAACATAAGTTGAATATGGACTCCGTAACTAATCATAAACAACATGAAAATAAAGTAGCTATTACTCATAGGATTTAATAGTGTAAAATATTCTCTCATATCATGAATTAAATGTCAATCTGAACAAAGAATATTCTTTAACTGGTGGATGGTGAATAGCAGTGGAATCCAGGATGCGCATTTCGTCCTATTTGGACTCTTCATCTGGATGTACCTGCATTTCTCAGTGAGTGATGACGTTCCCACCGAGGCTCGAACCCTGTACCCATAGTTTCAAACGCCAGAGCGTTATCCACTAGACCACTTGGGCCGCGAAAGCCACCACTTGTGCAACGGGTCATATTATTAATGGATTGAGCCGACATGTCAACCTGAGACCGAGAACTTCGGTCCAATCAATCGACGGGAAAATCAAAAATTCAATCCATTAAAGAATATTCTTCTCAATAATTTCCCCTCTTCATGTTCTTACAATTATAAAATATAATGCATTTGTTGTCGTTACAATAATGATAGCCAGTTATGCAGCGGATACATTTTTTACGTAGAATAACAGATTAGTTATGGGTTTTCAAAATAAATAGTCGTATTTGTGTGACATACGTGCTAGGCTGAAATCGATTACCAAAATATTGTAAAACGGGAGACAATGGTGGTGATTAATCATAATAGATTTGTAGAGTGTGGGGTAGGAAAATTGACAAGTCATTTCAAGGTTAGAAAAGGTGTCAGGGGAGTGATTGGCTGGTACAAAGTAGTATGTATTAAACAGGAGGTAGTACGACTGGAATGAGAGGATCATAGTGAGATAACGAATATGTTAAATGAAACAGGTGGAGACATATATTGAGAAAACAGATAATATCACTAATAATAAGTCCGGATAGTATAAATGAAAAATTCGATAGTATTGGGAGCATGTTTGCATAAATTATGACGAATAATAATAACAAAAAGCAAAGGGTAAAAGCCACGAGGATTAAGTGGAAAAATCACTCTTGGTGAGAAGAAGAATCATCAGTTCAAGTTTGACCACGGTAGGAACAGCGTCTGGACGTGTTCTCTTTGGATACAAAGTTCCGGTTTACTCGATCTTCTTGCAACAGCTTCAGCTATGTGTAGGAGACGTAAGCGAACTGTACATGATAACGACTTTGGAATTCGGTATGTAACCCTGAAAGCTGTGTTGACATCGATACAATGTCTAGTATCGACCAAGTGTGACAGGATCGAGATTTCTATGCATTTAATTTCCCCCTACTGAACCAAGCTGATAAATGTTCACGAACCTGCCTAATCGTGCGCCCTATATAAATTGAACCACAGGAACAGTTGAAATGGCATATGCATGTATATGTATATGCACCACTGTCACCTATTTTACAATATTTTGGTAATCGATTTCAGCCTAGAACGTTTGTCACACAAATACGACTATTTATTTTGAAACCCCATAACTAATCTGTTATTCTACGTAAAAAATGTATCCGCTGCATAACTGGCTATCATTATGTAACGACAACAAATGCATTATATTTTATAATTGTAAGAACATGAAGACGGGGGAAATTTTTGAAAAGAATATTACTCATGGGTTTAGAAGGAGACGCAAGAGGTTTAGGAAGTTGGCTCGACAATAATGTCGATAATAACGGCAACAGCTTTGTTTCATTCCGCTGAATCTGGTGCTATCAATCACCTCTAACACAAACTGAGTATACATAAAGAAATTGGGGTTATTCTCAGTCTACCTATCTAATACTTTTTGTTCACTTATTACTTAATTATTTAGCTGATATTTCATTTTTTTAACTATCTTTTCTGGTCTTCTGATATCATGGTAGTTTTCAGAAAGATATTTCTTTTGACGTACTACGTAAGGAAGTTGAAACGATCTGGTATTATTCCGTCTCTGCTGTCACTGTTTGTTAAATCTTGAATTCTGCTTATATTTCTTTACTGTCCCCTCTTCATCCTGCCTAGACTACTTAAGAAAGACTTTGTTATACTGCGTAGGGCACTAAAAGCGGTTAGTAGAGTGAGTGGGGTATCGCTGAACCAACTTGTTAATATTAATGCAGAAAGACACTTGGATTCCTGCAAGAGACATAGTAGGTTTTTTTTAGAAAACACCGTCGACTTACATCATAATATTGTCTCTAGTTTAAACAGAGGTGGCAAATGTGTTTGGCTTGCCTTCCTTGATCACACACATCTACCTTCGACATTGCTGTGTCTAAGCTTATTTTGTTAGAGAAGCTTGCTGTTTCTCAAGCACAGTGCTGGATTACCAATTGGTTGCATTTCTATCTTTCTGATAGGAAGCAGTACACTGTTTACAATGGGAAGTTCTTCACTGCTTCACTTGCTCTAGCTGGTCTTCCTCAGGATGTTGTTCTTCCTTCTTTTCTGTCTTCTCTATTCTTACGTGACTTGCCTCTCATTCTCACGAAGATGATTTTGTTAATTATGCCAATGATCTGACTGTTTCTATGTAGATGGTTACTTATCAGTTAAACCGTTCCAAAATGAATGAATTTTCATCAGAAATTATTCAGTGGTCCTTGACAAACAGTCTTAAGCTTGATCTCTCCATCGAAATGTCGGGTGGTTATTTAACTTTAAGATGCAGGAGCGACTTACGTGAACTGGTTAGTTCGCACGGTTCTACTATCATAGGTGGGGCCGAAGTTGGAACTAAATCTAATGTTGAATACCTTGGAATGGGTATTTCCTCTTATCACCTTTCCTGCTCTTCCCACATTATGTTAGTTTGTAGAAACACATCTCGTTTGAGGTTCTGTGCAAGGAAATTAAGACAATCTACTATCGCCGTTTGTTAATTATTGTTTTCTGCCGACGCTTCACTGTTTTGGCTTAGTTTTTACCGGGCTACTTAACAAAAACTTTGTTATATTTACTGCGTAGAGCACTAAAAGCCGTCACTAGGTCCAGTGGGGGTGTTGCTAAACCAATTCGTTAATTCTGTTGTAAGTAAACACTTGGATTTCTGCAAGAAATCAGCAAATATTATCTTGTCAGACTCTGAACATCTTCTCTATACACAACTCTCTTCTTGCATCTCATAAGGTAGAGTTAGAAGCACCTACAGAAGACTGTATACTCGGATGACCAAGTACAAAAACTCTACAATGTCTCAATTAACCGGGACACATTTTATGTGATGAGAAAAGTGTAAGACACGAAAGGTGTTACCAGCTTACTGAGGAACTCTAAGTAAACGGTATTTTTGTGTGTTCTCATTATCACATTGTCGCTATTTACTTTCCCTTGATTTAATTTCATATTTTTTTCTTATTGAAAAGTAATAACTATGTAACTTAGTATTATTAATGGAAATGCCCTATTTTGATTATTGCCCCTGCAAATGAGGAATTATATGCAATACAGTATTGCATGCTGAATTTTCCATATTTGTACTAAAAGTACTGTTTGCAATAAAGCTGTCATTATCAATAATATCACTCTCCTCCCAGTGATCATAAGTCTTTGAAATCATTCCAAATCCCTCACATATATTATGGCACAATCTCTATCCCTGTTTAGTTGTGAAATCCGACTACCAAAATTTCTGGAATCTTCATTTAAACGTATGATGAATAACTACTTTCTTTTCGTATCATTTACACCTTGCTTAAACTAATACGACCTTCGTGCCAAACTTCTCCTGAATAGATGTGCTTACGCCAACCTTAGACCCTTCAGCAGGATGCACCCACCGGGGTTTGAACCCAAGATCTTTTGGTTACAAGGCGTGCTCGTAGACAATTCGACCACGGGACTTGATCCAATAGCTCAACGAATCCCAACTTCTGAACAATCTTCTTGTGACTGAACGGTCCTGGTTTGGAATTCCTGTGGGTGCCTGTCATTGAAGAGTCTCTAGCTAGAACCAAAATAGCTATTCAATACTCCCTGGTATGCCAATCGTTCTCTAACTGATGTCAGCTAATGATTAACCCGGAACCAATCAAATCCCTTGCTAGACAAATGTTAATTCATTAAAATTGTGTTTATTTTAGACTGTTTGTACGTGACGCAGGACAAGCCTTGAAGTAAAATGATGTACACATTTCAGGGCTTCAACAAAGACGATCAAAAGAAGACATTGTATGAAATTCAACAAAACTTTGCTCGTGTTTTTTTTATAATTTTAAACAATATCTGTACAATTCTGTATTCATACTGTTGACAATTCTTGTTTAGAGAGAGACAGAGAGAGAAAGGGAGAGAGAGAAGAAGAGACATAATTCCTTGTATCTTTTAGGTCAGTGAATATCATTCTACGGTTTCATTCTCTTGGTGTATGGCAATACGGACAACGACCTTGTTGTAATGAGACCAGTTCATAGTCATCAGTATAAAAAAGCTGAAAAATAGAAATGAGGAAAAACACATTAAAAATAAATGTGACTACATTACTAGATGTACTATTTTTTTTACAAGGACTCATTTTCTGATTCATAATTCTGCAATAAAAGGTGGTATAAATGAACGTGAATATTGGACGTTAGTTCACTGGCCTCGGTGACCATTGGCGGGCCATTCGAAGGCGCGAATGATTCAATCGTGTACAAGTTGGAAGAAGACGAAAGAACACGAATAAAAGTACGATACATTCTTTGCAAAACATTTCTTTACAGACTTTGTACGATAAGAATTTAACTGCCAAACAATACAATTTCTTACAAGCTCTTGTGTTTTGGAGTTAAAGTCGATAATCGTACCTAGTAATTATCGATTCGGAGCGTCTCCGCAAATAATAGGAACTTAGGGTTAAGTTCCATGACAGGTGGCTTTGTATAAAGTATTATTCCCTTGAGTTCTGAAAAGAACATAAGGATTCAAAATCATAGCTCTGTTTCATCCAGTTCCATTCAATCCTCTTCAGTTAGCTCCACGGTTACCCATAGGCTCTCAACTCCTCTCCCTACACCCAACTCTTTATTTCCCATTCAAATTCCACTTAAAAGACTACATAGTGAACGATTTTAATGAACGGTCTCCTTCGTGTGTATCCGAACCATCTTTTCCGGCCATCTGATCTTCAGTATGGAGCCAGCGAAGGTGGTAGCTACTGATGAAAGTCTTAGTTGGGATATATTGGATATGCTTTTTGTTACACTGGCACCAAGGACTGACTAACTGGAAATCAGTGTTGAAAATTCAGATCTTGTTCATATTTGTACGAATACTTGTGAATTCTATTTTTTTTTTTAAAGTCACTTTGTTATGAACTAGCCAACTGTTAAAACTAATCAATGCAGAATTTTGTACACAAGTGCATCCGCTGAAGTTACTGTACTTTGAAAAGACATAGAATGAAGGAACGGAATATAACATGGGGTTGCAAACATTTTTTTCAACACCCAACTTTCTTTCCTTATCAGGCTAAACTAGATGGTTTTACGAGTAAGTCGTCTGAGTATCTAACCGGCATCTTCCGAATAACTGGTGAGTGTTCTACCACTTATCCGACGTTTGGAGTGATATAGTGGTGTAAAGCGTACTTTCGAAATTATAAGTGAAAGTACTCCCGATATTCTTGCGGAGACTTACGCAAAGTATATAAAGTGCAAAACAGCAACACCTACGAATGTTGTGCATGTTTCCAAGCATCGGCGCTTCGGGAATTAGCCTGTTAGACAAGATACTTGGCTCCGAAGGGTACGATTTATAAGTAAATAATCATTTCACCAATCTTGCGTTTGATACTTATTACCACGTCAAAAACTCATCTATCTAAGGTTACTTATGTAACCAGTTTTCTTCTATAAGAAAACGACCATAATATGTTAGTTTTACTTTCTAACTAAACTTCTTTAACCTTCGGTAACTTTATGAATAGTTCTTTTCCCAACTGGAACACAAGACTTCAAGCTTTTAAAGATTCACTCGACATGATGTTATTTGTTCCCAAGAGATCTAACTGTTAGCACAAAAACGACCAACATTCTCTCTTTCTCGAGCTAAACTGGACGAACTTGGTAGTACGTTGTCCTCCAAAGTAACTGGTGAACATGCTGCCACGATGATCATATGGTCGGAAAAACTATTGCTACATGGCAAATAAAAGAAGCTCACTGAAGCCTATCAGAATTCGGAAGAAAGAATATATGTTATGTTACTATGATTGATTTGAAACATGTTACCAATAGTCTACAACTTATAGTTCTTAGCACCAAAAATGAGCAATCTAGACTTGCCAAATACTGACGACTTCGTGTATTGGTTTTTGTTGGGCAACTCCGTCTTTTTTGGAATGCAATCCAATTTCAGCTAACAGTGTTTGTCAGTGAAGATTGAGATTCCGGATACACTGAATATATCTTAACCGTTTCAATCAATAAAGATTGATAAACTTTTCAGTCTAATTTCCCTAGCCCCTTTCCTTTCAAAACATTGAAATTAACCTTATTATTACTAAGCATATTGTTCCCCATAGCGTAGGCAACTAATCGAAGGCAATTACGATGACAGAAAAACTAAGTTCTATATATGTCCTCCTTTCACAGACCACATCTCACAGTCATAAATTAGTTTAGAATAGACGTTCATGCAATAGACATGAACTCTGATGAAATAGTGACCAAAGTTGACACAAGTTGTGAAATTCTAAGCAAATCGTCTGTATTCACACTGAGATTCCATCATCAAAAATATCACACGGCCTAATATGACCTTCCAAAAACGTGAAGTAAGTGATAAACACCGAAGATAAGAGCTAAATTAATGCATAAAGCGCCTTAAAGAAACGTCACTATGCAGAAATTATAAAAATAACCTCACATGGTCTTACAGTCTAGTAGTAGCTGTGGTGTCTTTCAAGCTTCATAGTACTGTGTTAACACTGACTCAAGGGTTTTAGTTATCTTCAACGAGTAATCAAAGTATTCATAACCTGTCACCAAATTTTGCAAAAAAGTATCAAAGCATTAAAAGTTCATATAAAATTACAACTGATGAGGTCAACTCCACTGCGAAGTCAGTCCTACTATATGAATCAGAGACTTGGCGCCACGCCACGTCACGAAGGCCACTCCGAACAAACTAAAGACTTTATCAACAGCTGTCTTCACTCAAAATCAGATGGTCGGCTAGAAAAGATCAGCAACAGGGAGAGATCTCTGGCAATGAGTGAATCAACCCAACAGGAACCGATTGTGCAAGAAATATGCAAGAAAGAAATGGAAGTGGATTGGCCGTACTCTGAGAAAACAAACCATCAAGTGATATCACAAGACAGGCCATCACTCGAGTGGAACCCGAACGGGCAACGGCAAGTTGGTTGTCAGAGGGAGGGTGACTTGGAAGAGGTCATGTGAAGAGGAGATGAAAGCATGTGGACAGATGTGGAACCAGATGAAAATGCTGGCGGAGAACCGAACACAATTGAGACGTGCAGCTGAAACCCTGTGTTCCTCTAGGAACTAAATGAGACAATAATAATATAATATAACTGCCCACATCACTATGACTGGGATTAAATCGTTTAGTGATAGAGGGGCAAAGCAATATCCAAAGTTAAATTAGAATGATATGAGATTTAAGAAAAATTGAGAATATTGTTTAGAGTCTGGCAGAATTATACACCTTTTACTGCAAAATCTACTTCTTAAAGATTCGAAGTGAGTATACTTTATTTAAAGTAATTAAAAGTGACATGCCTATCTGTCTCTTACCTTATGGCAAACTGAACATTGTGTAATACTAACATCAGGTAGAACAGATTTATAGTAGCGTGGTCTTAACGGTGAATTGTCAACAATTATCACTTCATTAAACGGGATCGCTTTCAATGTAGCAATGTCAAGTTGGACTGGTGAATATGTTCCAGAAATAAGCTAAAAAATATATAATAATAATAATATCTATTAAAATGCGATCAGTAGTCAACAATATCTAATATTTGTGAATTCAGATTGCGCATAAAATTAACACAAACAACAACCATAAACTAGGTAACATTTAAAAACACCCCAAAAACAAGGAATACAAAATGACGTAATGACGAGCTGTTGTTATTAGAAAATTGGTAGCAATAAGTAGTACGCCTGGGACTTACTTACTTACTTACTTTACTTCGGCTATCTCCTACGGGAGGATGAACCGGCTTCATGAACATCTCGAATGTTTGTAAGAGAGTTGATGAAGTTTCATGGGAATTGGGTACGAGTGATGTCCCCAGCATCGCTCGGCCTTTTGTTTGAGAGTACAGCTCTAGCCTTTACACAGCCAAGTGTGACCTACAAGGCAGTAGGAGTGGAGTAGGGAGTCCACTATCCATTGGCAGCCGGTGACCGGAGTCCGGTTCATACGCCTTTTTGAATGGGGCCAGACATCCAGGGCATCCAATAAGCTCTTTGTCCATACGTCTGCCGGTGAACTCCGGTGAGCTTCATACGCCAGTCGTTGGAGGTTTGGAATCAGGGTTTAGCCATCTCCCCTAGACTGTCATCCAATGGACAGTCAACCCGGTGAAGAGCGCCGGGCATCCGCTTTTGCCATCTCACTTCGGTGAAAAACACCTCCGCCACGTGAAGGCAGTGAGTAGGACTTCCTCAGGAGAGGCTATGTAAGACGCACGGTCATATGGGAGCATTTCAAGAGGTGTACGGAGGGGTGGCTAGCCCGCAGCGCAAGACACCCACCCCCGACCATCCTGAGGCTTTGGAGGCAAGCCTGGGACCTAGGCTTCGTGCTTGTGAACACTTGTCACAAAAGCATAGCCTCTAAATCTTGAAGCCATTTATGTCTCTTCTGAGATTCGTACCAATGTTACCTAGTTCTGTAGGACTCGCGATTACCCTTCTAGAGGACTATAATATATACTTTGATTCAACACTAGGCAGTAACTAGCGCCTTCTGACTGCAGCTCTGGGCGACACAGGTTCGAATCTCACAAGAAAGATGAGTTCTTTGAAGATTGCGAATATGCCTTGCTGAGTGCCTGGTGAGTGTCAGGAAGTACGAAGCCTAGGCCAAAGGCTTCCTGCAGATTGCCTCCAACCTTCTGCTGAAAACGATTTTAAGTGCATGGTGATGGCGAGCCACCTGTCATGGTGGCTACACTGCAAGCAGAACTGACAGGATTCAGCCTGCATCGAAAGAAGCATTAGACACCCATGACACTAGTTATTATCTAGTTTCTAATGAAAGTACTGGTCAACTATTCTGATCTGTTCAATCCGAAAGACGTTTAGAAGAATTGAATTTAAATCGTTAGTTTTTAGGCATTCGATTGGTGGGGTCATGGTTGGGCGGACGTCTGAAGAATCCCGAAATTATGGTGAAACAGTTGTCCAGTACTCTCTGGTTTATTAGTCATCCTCTAACTGATATTAATCCTTTATCAAAATTTAAACTAATCATATCCTTACAAACTGACTCTTAAAAATTAATCAGATTCTCACTGGTGACAGGCTACAGGAAGAACTTGCCTAGAATTCGGTTAACGATTCGTGATCAGGAGAGTCAACCAGGTCGGATGTGACGACAAATACTCACAGATGACAATGGCTAGTAGTGGTGCTATAAATCGTGAATTGAGAGAAGTTAGAATTCATAAGGCATTAGATTCAATTTCAACCGAATAGTGGTCAACCAGTGCACCTATTAACCTGAAAGTCCTAGTTTAATCACCGGCGAGGTGATGGGTAGGTGCTGCTGAAGAGTCCTAAACTAGAATGGGATTCAGCTTTACCACATACTCCCTCTAATACTTTTATAACCGATGTCAATCTGTGATTACACTACAAGTTTTAATGCGCTAGAAGGCGATCTTACAAGATATGATCATACTCTACCACGTTCGTCTTCTATGTATTGTTAACAGCATCGGATTTTATTCCCCATATTCAAGTAAGATATATACATATACACGTAAAAATCATTTATGATGTATACTTTACGAACATTTGTGCATCTATGACCAGTTGAGATAGTAATTTCAATAGTGTTGTAATTATTTCGTTTTTAAAATACTATTGGTTTTAAAATATATAAAATAAGTTATTCACTTACATCTGAATTTAATAATTTCGCGGTAAAAACATCTTTATTAAGTTTAGTACTATTAGTATTGTTATTATCATCTGGTTCATGCGATATTTTCAGTGTTTGTGAGACTAAAAACAAAAGTAATAAAAGAAATGTATGAATAAAGATATGAATGGATTTAGTTAACTTTAGATATGATGGAGAAGGTTTGTAGCTCAGGTGGATGATTTTCATGTGGTTGTGTTCCCTGAGCTGGATGGCTGGTTTATTTGCTAAGCTTTCATTGTCCTACTTACTAGGCTTTTAGATTTCTCCACGAGTTTATTAGTCATCTCTCCTGGTAACATAACTTGAAGGTGATTGGTTATTTTTTTTTCTGTATTCACACTCTCTAGGCGACTTGTATTGGTACTGATTGTTTCCTTGACTTGAAGTTTGACCCTTTGTGTATGAGGTTTCATTCTCGTCGGGTTGGTAAATTTTTTTGTTATGTTAATACGTCTATTGATTGACGATTCACTGGAATACCAGGTAGGCTTCTAAAAATTCTCTAGCATTCTTGGTGTTCTCCAAGTCAAATTGATGTCCTTGGTTGTCTGTATGCAGTGATATGAGGGAGTGGATATCATGTCTTTTGACGGCTAGTTTATGATCATGGATACGAAGACGAAGGAGACGTCCACTTTGGCCAATGTAGTGTGTTTTTCGCAGTTGTTACAATTTATTTTGTAGATGATGTTGGTTTTATCTTCTTTCGTTGTTGAGTCTTTTGGTTGACACAGGTTGACTGAAGTGATTTTCAAGTATTGGTTTGTAGGGATTTGGTTGGTTACAGGATTGCATCATGAATGACATTGGTTACAGAATTGGCAAAGAGGGAAGGTTTGGCATGAGGCCAGCATCCCTATCATGTCAAGCCTCTGTAGCTTGAAGCCCCATGTGCGTCGGTGGCACAGTGGTTAGGACTCTCGACGACCATGCACATGGTCCGGGGTTCGAGCCCACACCGGCGCACACCAGATATCTTCGGTCGGCCTGCGAAATTTGGGCTACCGATATCCACGCTGAAAATTCCATACTTGTACCAAAAATACAGTGTGGAATCAAGCTGTTACCAAAAAATAAAAAAAATGTTCCAATGGGAACATGAAGGAATAAAAGCCAAACTTTAATTTCACTTACATCCATCATTTGTCTGTAAATTATTTTCATCTTCATTCACTATCTGGTCAGAAAATGGTGATAAAGGTTCACTTTGTAAATAATTGATAACTTCTTCATATGATAAATCATCTTCTGGTATGAATTCAACGACTGGTAATTGTTCTATAGTAAAAATAAATTGATCAACATTGAAAACGATATATATATATGTATGCATAAATTTAATACTGAAGATTAAATCACAAAGACTGTGAAATAAGAAGGAATTCGCATAAGAAAAGCGCTTGCACCGGTCAATATACACATTTTCACAGCTTTCTTCCTATCTAGTATAAAATAAATTTGGTAAAAAGCCTCAGCTATAGTGTCAGATTTATTTGTTCAGAAGATGAGATTGAAGATGAACTCAAGGTTGTGTACGAAACGCTAACTGAAACAGCTACTTTGAAAAATTCACCACTCAACACACACATATGGCCAAGAGAGTAGAAAAGAGTCCTTCTGTGTCTGTTAACCGGAGGCCTCTATGTATATGACTACTAAATAAAATAAATACCTAAAGGTTGAGAAAATCCATTCAAAGAACGTTCAGTGCCGGTATATTGCAGCTTATATTTTCCACACAACCGCTTTTAATCCCGAAACTGAAAGATGAACTACCTAGACTAGCCATCTTTTTAACTGTATCTATCATTTCAACTGTTAGTTAACATGATCATTATTTGGCGGAACCTAAATTCTCGTGCTCAGGAACAGAAATTTATGGGCTGGCCATTGGATCGATCGGGTCCTAGTGGCTTAATGGTCTAAGAGCTCGCCTTTTAACCTAGAACGTTCTGGGTTTGAATCTCAGTGGGTGCGTACTGTAAAGAGTTCAAAACTAAGATGATACAACCGTCCAATACTTCCGCAGGTTTTTCGATAGTCCTCTGACGGATTTCAGTTCATGATGAAATCATGAAATCAATCAAATCCTTGCAACCTAACACTTGAATAACTCTTAAAAAGTTAGAAACTTATTGTACTGGTAATACATACTTTCCATAAATATGAGATAGAAAACTTAAACTATATTATATTGTTTTATACTATTTAGTGTTTTACTCTACAGCCAAATTCGTCAAACCACAGTGTTAAACAGTGAAATAAATCCAAGTAACAGTATAGAAAGCCTACAGAATATGTTTTTGTGTCTTCTGACATCAGTTAGCGAACCATTAGAAGACCTTCGGGTACTGGACAGTTTTTTCGTCGGCCTTACCTGGGACTCTTCGTCAGTACTCATCCACTGAAGTTAAATCCCAGGACTTTTTGGTTACAAGGTGAGCTCATAGACCATTAAGCCACTGAGACCTGATCCAATTGTCCATGAATTCTAACTCCTGTGAAAATAACCTTTCAGTGTCACTACAATGTACACAAACAAAGCGAACGATAAAAAAAAACAACTACTAATTAAACATCTAAAGCCTACACACATTAAACAATCTTCATATTTTAACTTCGTAAGAAAATGATATGAAGTTTCATAGTCGGATCGGATGATCAGTCAAAAGTAAAAATATAATACCATAAGCACTTTATCAATCAAGAACAGGACATAATTGTCACATATATACATAGCAGTTCCTTACCAAGAGTAATGAATGAATAAATAAACGGTTCTTTACAATTGATACATCGATTTCCCAGGCTATTCAAAAGTGGATTTGTAGCTGAACATCTATAGCAGATAGTACTTATCTCCTAGAAAAAAAAATGAAAGGTGAAGAAGATTTGAGCAAGGAAGAAAAGAAATGTGTGAATATAAATTAGTCATCAAATGTTTTTTGTGCAGCGATTGATTTATTACAAGTTTGATTACGTGTTGACACATCAGTCAGAGAACTATTAGAAACCAGCAGAGAGTACTGAACAACTGTTTCGTCCCCTTCTTTGGGACTCTTCAACAGTACGCGTCCACTGGAGTTCAAAGCCAAGACCATACGATTATAAGGTGAGCAGCTTGTAAGCCACTTAACCACTGGGACTCGAACCAAGGACTCATGACTTTGCAAGTCAGGTAAGAGAACAGTTTTTTGCATATGATATTGTCTGGAAGGTGGTTACTCTATGTATATCGTGAAGGGTAGAAGTTGGAATACATGGGCCATTTGATTGGGTCCTAGTGGCTAGATGGTCTGCGAGCTTACTTTGTAACCGGACCTTAATTGGGCGCGTTTCGATGAAGAGCCCCAAGCTAGGATGAAACAGACGTCTAGTACATCCTGGTTTCCTAATGCTTCTCTTACCGATGTCATCTCGTGATCCAATTCTTAAAAAAAAATACCTTTCATTGTAATGTTTAAACACATCTCTGTGCTTTTCGTACTAGTAGTTATCTATTGAATATATATACAGTTATCGGCATCATTCCCTCAACTGAAAGGCAGTTTGTAATCAAGTAATCACAATTAGTTTTCCTTGATTATTTAAAAATGAGTTAATATTAATACCAACGAAATTAAACATTTTTTTTCCTTTCAAATTAACTATAATTTGGAATGTGATGAGGCGACCTATCCCGGTAGATGAGTGGATAACGTTAAAACCCACATCAAGGGATTTCTCATCTTTTGGATTATTGGGAATATTAAACCTGTTTAATTGGCATATTTCATGGTTCAGTCGATAAAGTGAATTGCCACTGAGATCTGCCCTCCTTATATGGTAAAGCTGTAGATTCCTTATATTCTTTTAATGATGAAACTAATAATGATAACATAAATGACAAAGAATATAAGGCATCTACAGTGTCACCAAATAAGGAGGGAACATATGAAACCCTACATGGGATTCTTAATAAAGCAAGCATTAGAGTGGCATTTAAATCCAAAAACTCACTAAGGGACAAGCTGTGTAGGTTGAAGGATCCAGTTGATTCAATTAAACAAAATAATATAATTTACAAAATACCTTGTAATGACTGTGAGTTAAGTCAACTACACAAGTCAGAACAGTAGACAGGGGATAATCAGACCGCCGAAACATGGGAATTTAGCTAAAGTTAGAATCATTAACCCCACGAAGATGAGTAATTTTGAAAAAAGCTCAGCAATTGCATTGCTTGCATTAACAAACAACCACATAATGGGGTGGGAGAGGGTTAAAATTGTGATAAGTTATATAGATAGATGGAGTGAGAGAGAGAGAGAGAGTTCGATTACTGAATCTTCTTTCATCAAATCTACACCCAACACATGCAATAGGAATGACTCATCACTTATGTCAGAAATCTGAAAAATACTACAACCAATGAAAACAAAAGATGGAGAAAAGTGGAATTATGCTCGAAACTTTATCAGTAAATATTACTATATAACACTATGTGACTTAACCAGAATAAATTTGACTCACGATGGAAATACTACAAAGAACAGATTAAAATGAAGATATATGCTGAGGGGATTTTGCTGCACTCAGAACCTAGAGGAATAATTATACTCCTTATTGCTACATGAAATTTTTGAAGAGCTAATATTATTGAATTTTCTGGTAATTGGAAGTTGTTAATATACAATCAAAATCAATTCAGTAGGTGAACAGGATGATAGAAATGACAATAACTTTATTGAAGGTGGTTGTATAATAACCATGTTTATTGCACACAGCTGAAATGATGATAAATTAGGGTCTTATTCTCTGGGTCGATTGGGTATTCAATAAAATCCCGATAATTTCTTAAGCCATATAGTCTTATTGAAAGACCTCTATTTTTTAATCATTTACGTTACCTGTGAAAAATAGGCCTTCAAGCTATAGACTTGAAGCTTCGGTAGCAGTGATATTTAATTTTACGGGATGGGGTTGGTAGCCTAATGCCCGACCTTCCCTCTTTACCAGTTTTAGTACTGGCTTAGCCAGGTAAAGGAGTGCGTTGGCCGGGGATAGAACCCCGAAACACATGCGTGGTCGGCGAGTATTCTACCGTTGAAGCACCGATGGACAAGACCTCTATATATTTTTTAATGCTCATATATGTATAAATCCTAGCGAAAAGGAAATAAATAATTCCAGCGTTTCGTAAAGCAAGCTGGTCCAAAGGTCTGCAGAGAAATAATCAAAATTAAAAATTACAATATCAAAGGTAAATTTTCAAAAGGTACATCCTATCCTTAAAATTCTTGTTCAAACATGTCTCAGTCATGAATAGTCATCACAAAAGTAAACCTTGATCAATTTTGATCAAGGAGTGATCAGAATAAAACAATTCCAACAGTGGTGTGAACACGGGCAGTAATTTTGCTCGAAATAGTAACAATAACAAAACTTATCATTGTATGTAAACTATTGAAATATAATTATACTTTATTTGATGTGATCGGATATTTGCACAAACTGTAACAAAAGAAGACAAGGGCCAGGCAAGAGATCGTTTATTAAGGAAATCAGCATGTATTTATATATGTTTCATGTACATTATTATAGCTTATTCAAGCAGACAAACACAGTCTTCTGATTGGTTGTTTCTTGCTCAAGGTTATTCTGTACTGCTTGTAGATAGTTAAGTCATATATCTGCGAATCGTATTTGCCCACGTTAAGTCTGCTGTGATTGGTTGTTGAATCAGTCTTGTTCATATTTTCTCACGGCCAATATCAGCGACATAGACAATGACGTAAATTAATGTCTACCGATTGGCTTGCAGCCTGCTCTCACCATAAAACTATTAATATTAGTTTATTTTGTTATACACTAAACACTATGTACATTTTATATCAGTCTTAAGCGACAGTACTCGAAAAAAGGTCACGATGTCCTCGCACTTTATTTCGTATACGTAATTCTGTCGCTTCTTGTGCAAAAAATACACTCTTATATCATAATTATTAGAAATGCTCTTCATTTCGTCCAACGTTTCTTTACAACAATGAATCACCACCGTACTGATCCAATTCTTAGCACCCGGATCTCAATTAGTGTAGAACTATTCGATCAAATCTTAATCAGATTTCATGCAAATCACATATATAATTTGTCCCAGAAATGCTTTAGGTAGAATAACATACTTTAACAACGTGAATATAGTAATTTGTGGTCGATCTGTTCCCCAAATTATGCTAAATTAAGCTTTGCATACAGTATTTACTTGGGTCATGTCACATCTGGCAACGCATACTCTTGTTATATTGTCATTTAAACCATCTCACACACAAACGTTTATTAAATATTTCTGAGTCAGACGTTTATAAAAACTGTTCCTCACTTTTTACTTTCTCTTCATGGTTTGGAAGATTAATACACTAACAATAAGAACAAATCACCATCATAAGGCGAGATTTCACAGAGGTTACTTCCCCCAATTATCTAGGGAGCATCATTTCAACTACAGAAGGGCGGAACGAATGAAGATTTTCAAACCAGACAGAATCGCAAAGGCGAGACACGCCTTCATCAACCAGAAACCAGTTTGGAAATTTTATGTACACCACAGAATAAAGAACAAGACTCGAATTCTCAACACAACTGTCAGACGAGTGAGTTCCTGTGTACGGGTCAGAAACTTGCACTGTGCGTCACGAAATGCAGCCAGACTTGCTGGCTGGTTCCATACTGAAGATCATATGGCTGGCCGGCCAGCCTGAGAGAAATAGCACCAAGAAACTCTTCCTGGGTACAAACCGACCAAGAGCTGAACTACTCAAGAAATATTTAGGAAAAAATGGAGATGGATCAGGCATACATTGAGAAGACCATCTAATGACCTCGCGCGCAATGCAGGCCGTCAATCGAGTGGAAATGTGAAGTGACGAGTGGGTCGTCATAGGGTGGCATGGAGGAGATCATGTCGCAAGGAGGTGATGAGAGATTATGGGTAATCGTGGACCCAGACAGCTGAAGAGGACAATAGAAAATAGATCGAAGTGAAGATGTGTTATTGAAACCCTATGTTCCAAACGGAATACTAGCGAATAATAATACAACATTGTAAGTAATTCCTCTTGTTTGGATTGTTTTACTCCATTAAAGCATGACATCTGATGGCATTTCCTACTCTCGGGAGTATTTGAAATGTTGGATAACCTGCTAACTCACAAGTTTCTAATAAACTCGAGAACAAGCAAAACTGTGGGCGACAACGTGTTCCAATATATATGCGATAACTGTCCCCGAAATTTTTTGTACAAACTGTCACTGCTTAAGAAATATAACTGATTACCTGCATTCTTCAATTATTCAGCTATTATTCTGTTTGTGGCTCAGAAAATACACACACCCGCACCTTCCTTAATTAGCTTTCAAGCAGATTTATTCGACGGAGGCAGAGGAAAACATCATAATAGAAGAATTGTCTTTCGTTTCAGATCAGACAACAATGTGTCACACCATCTACTGCCACAGTTAATTATGTTCCGTGAAGACTGTGGACAAAGGGAAACTGTTTTACAATAATTTTCGCTGAAAAATCTGTACATTGAAATTAAGCTATTATTATTATTATTAAAAATTAATCATAACACTGATATCTATAAAGAAAAATCAACTCACTTCAGAATCAATTATTGGTGAAGAATTAATAGTTATACTACTCAATTCAATTTCATCACGCATCTTTGATGACATATGAAGTGTTTGTAGTCGATCATAGATTTGTTTAGTCATCTTGTATGCACCTAATGATCGTCCATGTTTAGCTAAAGTATACAAGACTGCACTGAATGTAGAATTACAAAGTAAATGATCAGAGTTTTATAAGTTAAGGAAGAATGATATAATGGTGATTTGACAATTCAACTAAAGAAATTATACGCAAAATTAAATAGAGCGCTTTTTATAACAGTCAAACCATTTGACGTATTTACTTAGCATTTACATACTTCAATGAACAGATTCGCTAAATTAACCGTTGGGAAAAAATAAACTTGCTAAAGTCTGTTACACTTATTATAGTGAGGGAGATTGTAGCATTGTCGTATTAGTTTGTTTCCACACACACGTGTAAACCGAGCTATATTAATGCTTATGATAGAGCTTATTTTAATCTATAGGTCGGGTTACAAAAGCTATCAGTAATTTGAAACGAGGCAAAGCGGCAGGACCCGACGGAATTATTCCGGAGGTGTTTAAATATGGGGGTGACATACTAGTTTGTAGATTAACTGAGGTACTAGGCAAAGTCTGGGAATCAGAGACAGTGCCATCAGACTGGGGTAAGTCACTTATTATACCGATATTCAAGAAGGGAAACAAGTCCTCGTGTGATAATCATAGGGGGATCAGCCTAACGAACATAGTCTCTAAAATCCTAGGCTCAGTAATCATGCATAGACTAAGCAGAACTCGGGAGGAACAGACAAGGGAAAATCAAGCAGGCTTTAGACCAGGTAGAGGGTGCATAGATCATATCTTCACTCTTCGACAGATTCTAGAACATAGACACACTTTTCGGCGTCCAACAATTGTCATATTTCTTGACTTGAAGGCGGCCTTCGACTCCGTGGATCGAAAGGTACTATGGCAATGTCTGACTGTGAAGGGAGTGCCAAGAAAGTACATTGCACTAATCAAGGCACTCTATTCAAACTCACGTAGTCGTGTAAGGGCTTATGGGGAATTGTCATCTGAATTGGTAACAACCAGTGGTGTCCGACAGGGATGTCCACTTTCCCCATTTCTGTTTAACTTCATCATAGATATGCTAATGGAAGTATCCTTAACTGAACGTAGTGACTTAGGAATCGACTTGTTACCAGGGAATAATCTTATGGACTTAGAATATGCAGATGACATAGTCCTGTTAGGGGAGGATGCTGACAAAATGCAGAGTCTTCTGAACACCTTGAGCAGCAATCTTCGTATGTTTGGCATGCGATTCGCCCCTGCAAAATGTAAGATGCTGCTACAGGACTGGACTACGTCAACCCCTAACTTAGTGATAGGGAGTGAAGTGATAGAACATGTTGACCACTTCACCTACTTGGGAAGTTGTATTAGCACCAACGGACTGATTGGCGATGAAATCTCAGCACGGATCCGAAAAGCTCGAGCTGCTTTCGCTGACTTACACCATCTCTGGCGTAGGCGTGACATCCGGTTATCAACCAAGGGACGTGTGTACTGCTCATCAGTTCGCTCCGTCCTTCTCTATGGCTCTGAAACATGGCCAATACGCGTTGAAGACATGAAAAGGTTGACTGCTTTCGATCATAGATGTCTGCGATCTCTGTCTCACGTTAGGTGGTTTAATAAGGTAAGTAATGTTGACGTTAGGCGTAGAGTGTTGGGCAAAGAGGGAAAATCAATCGACGAGGCTATAAAGTTACATAGACTAAGATGGCTAGGTCACGTGGTGCGCATGCCTAACCACCGCCTCCCCCGACGGGCATTGCTAGCTGATATAGGTTCAGGTTGGAAAAGAGCCAGTGGTGGCCAAACAAAAACATGGCCTCATCAATCCATGAAATCCTTGACAGTTAAACTGAGTCAGGTAGGGAGATGCAGACTCCCGGGTTGGGGCCCTCGGGACTCTAGGAATCAATGGCTGGAGACAATAGGTGACATGGCTCAAAATCGTTGTCAATGGCGCAGATGTATTCAGTCTCTGTAATCTTTCATATTCCTTTCTACCATTACCCATTCTGTTTCACTCTTATACTTGTCAAACTCTATTGATTCTCTTCACTCATCTTCTTGTCTACCTCTGTGTGCTATTTGGAACGTGGCAACTCGAACTGCTGCACTTCGGTGCCAAGTTCTATGTTGAATCCAGACAGACAGACAGACAGACAGAAAGTCTGTTACACTTATTATAGTGAGGGAGATTGTAGCATTGTCGAATTAGTTTGTAGTGACTTGATTTATTGGCTACATCATTTCATCATGAGCTGACATCGGTTAGAGGACTACTGGAAAACCTGGGAGTACTGGACGGCTGCTTCGTCAGTCAAGTTCAAGATTCTTCATCAGTACGCAACCTTCCCAAAAGGCTTCGAACCTAGGGCCTTCTCGTTACAAGGCTAGCGAGCTCGTAGACCATTAAGCTACTGGGACCCGATCCGATGGCCAGCCCATGAATTCCAACTTCTGCAAATTCACGACATAGCGCAACCACTAGCAAATGTCTTCGGCGAGAAATGGATTAAGAGCTTACCTTGTAACCAGAAGGTTTGATGAAGAGTTCCAAACTGGGACGAAGCAGCTGTCCAGTACTCCCAGGTTTTCCAATGGTTCTCTAACCGATGTCAGCTCATGATGAAACCCTGTAACCAATCAATCAAATTCCATCAAATAAGTACTTGAATATCGATGAGATGCTCACCAGAGACTGCCCCTATTCGAGTAGGTAGTTACCTGGGTTCTAGCGGGAAGTCGTGACCAGTGGGGTGCGGCGTGTCGGGTTTGAGGACAAATAATTGCCGAAGACATTGGCTAGCAGTCGCGCTATGTCGTGGAATTATTTATCGGCACCTCGATCAATATGCGAAATATTCCTACCAATATGTATTAGGATCCCAGTTTGCATATATCTTCGGATATTGTGCTTCTTTGTCCTTCTTTCATGTTTTCCATATTGTTTCACAAGCATCCTTCATTAAATTAGTATACAACTGGTGGATGGTGGCTAGCAGTGGAATCCAGGATGCGCATTTCGTCCTATTTAGGACTCGTCATCTGGATGTACCTGCATTTCTCAGTGAGTGATGACGTTCCCACCGAGGCTCGAACCCAGTACCCATAGTTTCAAACGCCAAAGCGGTATCCACTAGACCACTTGGGCCACGAGAGCCACCTCTTGTGCAACGGGTCATATTAATTATTGAATTGAATTTTTGATTTTCCCGTCGATTGTTTGGACCGAAGTGTTTGGTCTCAGGTTGACATGTCGGCTTCTTGTGCAGATGCTTCGACGATGTATGGGCATTTAATTAGTATACGAAAATTCAATTCAATCATCCTTCATTAAATCCATTTGTCTCTTATTCAGTATTTTTGCAGATGATATATCTATTTATATCTCATCTATATACTACTTAAAAATTTTGTCAGTAGCAAACGTCACAACACGATATTTTAAGTTGCCACAGTTAAAATCGTAATAAAAATCCTGTTAAACTTTAAGCAACACTAACTACCAATCAGCGAATGATCTTGAATGAACCAATGAGTTTCATCCACGCGAGTTAAAGGTTTTATTCCGCTTGATTCGAGTCAAATGCCTGCACTAACGCAGTTACGCTTGCAGTTTGGTGAGGATTAGGCTTTCCAGTATTGCTTGGATGAGGCGTTGTTTAGGACGAAAAGGATTTGTTCGTGTGGAGGTTTCATGCGTATATAAAGCTTCAGCAGGTTGACTGATGGGATACGTCTATCGTTGTGCAATTTGTTTGAGACGAGTTAGTGTTAGAGAAGGTAAGCTAATGATTCTAATATTTCGTAGGAGCATTTTTTGCATAGTTCCATCCCTCCTTAACCCAGATTTTGTATATTTGTAATTACTAAGTTTTAAAACAGTTTGTGAAAGTTGAAGCTGCTGAAAGTGAAAATAGTCTCAAATCAAAAGTTCAGTGGTGCCAGCACTGCAGAGATATCGAGTCAAAGAAAATGGAGAGAATCACTTCGTTATTAGGAAGAGGTGTCATCGTACATGTGAATGAAACTGTCTTATTGAATAAAAAGTGCAACCGTGGTCGTGAAAGAGCAAATAATATTTGGGTGATTGGCTTATATAACAGCTTATATAACAGGAAGTATTAGTCAAGAGGATTGCAGACAGAAAGTCAAATACCTTAATACCTGTTTTTGCTCGATTTGTGAAACAAGGATCTATAATACCCACCAATGAATGGAAAGGTTATAGCTCCCTGCCATCCCTTGGATATGTTCACCACAGAGTGAACCATTCTAAAATTTTGTGCACCCCACTACAGGGACACACCAATTCTATAAAAGGCTTTTAAGGAAGGTTAAAAAACAGGATTCAGGCTATAAATAGATCTTAAAAGGATTGCATTTAAAGTCATTTGGATGAATATATGTATGGCATGTGGTGTAACTCCTATACTAAACTTGGAGATGTTTCCATCACATGTCAAAAGAAGATACCCTATGTAACAGTTTTATGCAGTTTTTATGCATTTTATTTTCATAAATATATGCTTTTCATAACCAAAAAATGCCTCTTTCATGTTACTGGTTCGTTGGAGGTCGTTCGTCGATAGGTAGTTAGCGGTGCTTAAAGTTTAACTTTACCAGATAACATCTCAGACAAAAGAAACTACGACACAGTGGATAGCATAACCTGGCACATGATATCAATCAATATTTCTCACTATATTTTCAACCGATCTCCTTTTTCTTCTATGCATTAGATAAGCTCTAGGTTACTGGGTAGTTCTATTCCAGAGCTGCTTGCTCCAATCACATATTGAGTCATAGGTGCGAACTGCTGAGTAGTTACAGCCTAGGACGAGGCAGCTGTCGTCCAGTAATTAGTAGTTTGCATCGCCACCCCCTATATGATGTCAACTCATGACCCAACTTGAAACTAATCTAATCTGCCCATCTGACCTTCAGCCTAGAGGGAATGCATCTGTTTTTGAAAATATGGAGCGAAGACTTCATGCAGAAGTAATCAAGCTAAAATTCATCGAATTAAGAATTTCATGAAAAACCATGACATACTAGACAGTTGTTTCGTCCTAGTTTAGGACCCTTCAGGGGTGAGCAACCATGAACTGATAGAAGTTAGAAGTCACTGGTTATTGGATTTCAACCACCCCTAAGTGGATGAATGTTCGATGAGTTTGCCGTCACAACTTGAAAGTCTTAGCTTCCATCCTTGGTGACTTTGTTAGTAGGTACTACTGAAGAGTTCAGGATTAGGAAGAGACACTTTCCCAATACTCCTTGGTTTTTAATGGTTCTCTAACTGATATGTGTGCAGGATCAAATTTGAAACAAATCTAATCCTTATAGATAAATTCTTGAAAATTTCATGAAAGGTATACACGGATAACATCAGAAGGTTCGGTAATCAACTGGTTTGAATATAAGTATATTTTTTGTCAGTGTTATAATTCAGTTACTTTCAACAGGTTACGAGCCACATGATATTATGATATTATCGATTTACTACGTTGAAGCAGAGTAGAGCATGGTTCGGACCCTGAGCCTATTGAGTGACAGTCAAGTGCACCAGCCAATGAAGCACATTTCGACGAACAGAACTACAGATATTAGTGTTTTCTTCTTTTGGAGAAATATTTTAACTTGAAGATGACAGCCTCGAAGTAAGTAGATCTACTCAGTATTATTGATGAAATGAATTCACTTCATGGAAATTAGCCAACTGGTAATTTAGATAATTTTCTTCACATTAAACATTAAAACAAGAACTAACGAATTTTTCACCTGATTACATTCAAAATTAAAATGCTCACAAAAATCTTTAGAAATACAATTAACTCTTGTCCGTTCTTAAAATATCTCAAGGAGGCGTAGAATAATTTTGAATCCATATTGATATGTATCCACATATATATATATATGTGTGTGTGTGTATGGTGATCTCTTTTTCTGTTTGCTCGCTTAGTCTGTGACCATTTCATTTTGATGAACCTGTCTCCTTTAATAATGTGTATTCTCCTTATATTATATATAATATGAGTGTTTGTTGACAGTCCGTTGCTTGGTGACATATATCCATATATGTGGTTGTTGACATGTCTGCTATATTCGCTATGTATATTGGATCGACACTCCATTATAATTAGCCATTCATGTTAAGACTGTCTACTGATTTGTTCACAAACTTGTCTGATGATTATATATATTTCGCTCTCACAATTTGTGTGACTGACTTACTTCTTTTGGTGTGATACCACTTTTGCATTCTCCTTGTGTTTGGAAATAGAAGTATCATCGCAAACCTAGTGGTCTTCTGATTTCCGTCCTTCTTGCGTCAGGACTATTAAATTCTCGACCAGTACATAATAATAATTTAGCGACGAGTACATAACAATTTGGCGACGGGGAAAACTACTATTAACCACTCAGCAGCAGCAACATAACACATATATAGACAATAACATGAATAGGAGGTGTCTAAAGTAACCACCCTCACGAGAAGATAAAAAGTTTAAAAACGGTATTTCACAAAAGCATTTAGGAACATTAAAGACTGACCTAACTGAATTATGAATCTTTGAGCATCTTATGAATACAAGCCCTTCAAAATATGACTACGTCACTCTTAAAACTGGTGTATGGCTTACCTCAAATAATTATCATGTGGTTGTTTTACCGTAATCTAATTATATATATACACCTCCCTGATGACACTGGTAGGGGGTAGTTTTATATATCACAAACTGGCGAATTTTAGAATTCATGGACAGTTGCATTCCGTCGAAGTGGCTGAACAGTAAACGAGGTTGCTTGATTACTTAAAGGTTTTGAGTTTAATCACATATGGAGTCACGGTGGCATACTGATGAGTAGTTACAGTCTGGGACGAAGCAGCTGTCCAGTAATTTGTAGTTTTGCATCAGCTCTCTCCAAATGATGTCACTTCATGACCCAGTTGGGAATTCATCTAATCCCTTCAAATCAACACTTATAAATAAAAGAATTCTATTGAACAATGAATAAATTATGCATTAAAAAGGATACGCTCTTGAAACTTCTGGAATTTCACCGAATTGTAAAATATGCGCTAAATACCGTGCCATATTGAAATAAGTTTCAGGCATATGTGAAGCAAACGGTTCATGCTAAAAAATAAATAATTAATTAATTAAAACAAATAATTGGAGATAGTAGAATCAAAAATAAATACTCGGCTAGTACGTGAAGGACAAACTGCCGAATCTATTCAAACCAATATAAATATACCAATTGCCTAGCTCCTGAACTAAGCATAAAGAAAGAAATTCGAATTTGCAACACAAATGTGAAGACAATTCTTTATCTGGGTCAGAAACTTGGCGTGCGCGTCAGGAAAAGCATTTCCAACAAGTTACGGACCTTTGTCAACAGCTAACACCTTCACTGGCTGGCTCCATAGGGAATATCAGATGACCGGCCGACCAGAAAGAATTAGCAACAAGAGTGACTGGCTGAGAACAAGCCGACCAGGAGCGGATACCTCAAAAATTTATAGAAGAAAAGAGAGATGAATCAGGCATACGTTGAGGGGCCGTGGAATGACATCGCGCGCCAGGCCGTAGCTCAAGAGGAATCCGGATGAGAATCGACGAGTAGGTCGTCCCAGGGTGACATAGAGGAGGAGATGAGATTTTATGGGCAGTCGTGGGCTCAGGCAGCTATAGAGGACAGCAGAAAACAGAACAAAGCGGAGATGTGCCACTGAAGCACTCCACTGCACTCGAACCTATGGGAGTAATAATAATAATAATAATGTGGAGGTGAGTACTGTTTGTCCGCATGTAAAACTCTCATGAATACTGATCAGATGGCTAACGAAGGCAGAACGTAGGCATGCCTACAGTTCCATAAGAGAACATCTCTTAAACTCAGGACAATCAGCTGCATTTGAGAAATTCTTCAAAGGATTATGCAACATACAACCGAACCTCTCAGATGAAGTGAGATCAAAAAATCTGAGAATAGTTGAAGTGTAAATGATCCAAATATTCAAGCCAATGATATGCATCAAAAGGAAATACGTCCAAACTTTGTCTTTACTACGTTTTTAATCCTTACTTATGAAACATATTTTTCGTCTTGTAATTCGTTATAGTTTAATCTTCAACCTGAAATAGCTCTGGTACATAATAATGTATAGTCTAGTTGATGACTTTGTCGAGAAGAATGATCTTCTTCGCTGCAAGTGTTTTTTTCTATTTTTTTTCTTATGGTCTAACTACTAAAGCAAAGTGTTTCCTCCCTTTAAAATAAGGAAAATATTTCAAATTAACAAAACCAGTATTTAAAAGGGAACGAAATTGAACTCATTAACTTCATGTACCTAACCAAGCGCTGAATAATTCGTTAATCTTACACGTTGCCATAAAACCACTACATGAAGTCGGGACCCGTGTGAAAGCTACGTTTTAAGACTGCTACTGTTTCACTTCTTCTCATCTGTAGCACCTATTAACGTTTCTTTCTTTTTAAGAGTAACAAATAGTGAACCATCTAAACATGATAATTACCAATCTCATTTACTGTCTCGAATACTCTGTGCTATTCATTTTATAGTCTATATATCAGCCTTATAAAAAAGATCAGTTATGCGGTGGAGACATTTTTTACATAGATGAACAGATTATTTCTAGGGTGATAAAATAAAGCGTCTATGTGACAAATGTGCTAGGCTGAACGCAGTTACAAAATTTTGTGAAATGCAAACAGTCTTCCCCAGAAACTGAAGGATGACTTAACCAACCCGCCAGCCCTTATACATGCGTATACTGTTTCATTTATTCCTGTGGTTCAGGGCTTACGATTAAGCAAGTTCATTTAAAGATTCAAGAACATTTACCAAATTGGTTCAGCAGGAAGCTTAGAAAGTTCGATTCTGTCACACTTGTTCGATGCTGGGCATTACGCCATTACATTAACATGTACAGTTGGCCTAAGTCTTCTACACTTACAGCTGTAGCTGTGTACAAAAAGAACACGTCCAGGAGCTGTTCCTACCATGGCCAAACGTGGATTAAAATTCCTTCTCCCATACAAGAAGACTTCTTCATCTTATCATATTTTTCCTCTTGTTTTCCTTAGTAAAATTATTTTTGTTTGTTATATTTGTATACCTCATTCTAGCATTCTTCTGATACTATCGAATTTGCCATTTATACTATCCAGACTTATTATTTGGGATATTATCTCTTTTCTCAACGTATGCCTCCACCTGTTTCATTTCACACATTGGTTATTTCACGATGAAGTGTTCACTCCAGTCTTACTGTCTCCTCTTTAACGCCTACGACTTTGTACTGATCATTTACTTGACATCTTTTATAACCTTGAACTGACTTATCAATCTTCCTTTCCCACACCGTATGAATCTATTATGACTAATCACCATCATTATCATCTCTCATTTCACAACATTTTGTAATCGATTTCAGCCTAGCACTTTTGTCACAAAAATACTATTTATTTTGACATTCCATAACTAATCTGTTATTCAATGTAAAAATGTATCCACCGCATAACTGGCAATTATTGTAACGATAATAAATAGCCCGTTTTGTAGTTGTAAGAACCTGAAGCGAATTTATCAGAAAGAACATTCTTCGTTCAGAATGTTTTAATTCATAACATGTGAATATTTTACACTATTATTATTTATCGTTCCCATGGTTTCCAAGTGGAACATAAGGCTCCGACAACACATCTCCACTTTGTTCTTTTTTCCACTGTTCTCTTGAGCTGGGCTCAAACTCTCTCATATCTACCTCCTACACGATATCCACTATGTCACCCTAGGACGCTTCCCATTCGGATTCCACTCAAACGGTGGCATGTAGTGCGCGTGATGTCATTCGACGGTCTTCTCAATGTATGCCAATCCATCTCCATTTTCGCCTACATATCTGTTGACCTATCGGCTCTTGTTGGTTTGTCGCCATCCAGAGTTTTTTTGTTACTTATTCTTTCGGACAATTGATCTTCAGTTTGGAGCCAGCCAGCGAGGGTGGCAGCTGTTGATGAAAGCCTGCAACTATTGGAAATCCCCTCCGTTAAACACAGTGCAAGTTTCTGACCCGCATAGAAGGACCAACTTGACATTGGTGTTGAGAATTCGAATTTTATTTTTTTTATGTTGAGTGTAGAAGATTTCCAAAGTGGTTTCAGGTCGATGAAGTCTTATAACAGAGAAACAATATTTGCTCTAAGTCGTTAAAAGAAACACAAATGGCGTTTTGCACCGGTATTAAACAACTTTTAACGAAATCAAACTTTTTATTTTATTTTTTATTTCAACGGATAACTTCTCCCCTCTAATAATAAGTAGGATTACTGTTTTACTAAAATGGAAGACACACAAATCATCGAAGTGACATGCAAACACATTCGTTTGAAGCAATAATTCTTATCCTTAGGAAATGCACTCTATCATTACTATTATTATTGCTATTATTCTAAATAAAGTGCTTTACTAAAGAACTTGGTTGAACAGAAAGCCTCTACTTGGGAAACAAAAACTGCCATCAATGAAATGTTCTATCATATGGAATATTGTACGATAAAATAAGAGGAAAACAATGCGACTAATGGTTTCAGATGTATGCAACAGCTTGACGATAATTAATAATATTAACAATATTGTGGGGCCACTTATATTGGCCGTTGCTGTAGGAACTAGATTTTTCGTGTTCACTCGGGAACACCTACCAGTGTGGCTAAGTGAAGGTGTTGTGAAAACCATTAACACTTCGATATTAGACTACCTGGTTGAAACCAGCCACAAAGGCAGTCAGCATTGAAGAATCCTTCTCTGTAATCTACCGGCTGCCTAATAAATTTCCAAAATCATCGGAGCACTGCATGCTGCAAACAGCAGAGGTTATTGCAATTCGCCTCAAACAACCAGTACTCTGTGTTCAAAGAAGCAAGTCCAGCCAGCCACTACTACTACTCTGGCCGGCCTTCAGTAGAGACTATAAATTCATGAATTGGTAATACTATCTTTACTAATTTTTCTGACATTCAGCTTATTATTATGTTGATGTTATTGAGTTGTAATCCATCAATATTATTGATTCGATGTTATTTAAACAACATTAATGTTGTTCATAACACTAATTCATTCATTCACTATAATGTATACATAACTGTAGAACCTGATGATGAAGTTACCGAAAAGAGTACTCTTTGTTCAATATCCATTATTTCGAATATTTGAATCATTTAGAATCTTTAAAACACACCCACTGATCCACTTCAATGGTTATTACGAATTTGAAGGAAATTTATCAAGTATTACTATATACTACTAATAAGTTAAATGGTAGTAGTACTTACCAGAAAACGATATATGTTATTATAAACATAATAAACATCAGCTTTTCTTTGAAAATTATAATATTTCTCTAATAAATCATGATACTTCTTTGTACCTAAATATAAAATCATTAAGTGTGAATAAATTCAATGAAGTTAATTGATTGGGGGAAGGATTTTATGTGTGAAGTATGAAAACAACTGTCAATAAAAGCTTTTAGTATTGTTTTATTCGCTTTGAGCTATGTGCGGTTTAATTACGGACATTTCATTGTCTTTGTAGACATCATCTCCAGTGCTATCTTCTGTGTGAAGTGAGTTTCTGGCATTATCCGTAGTACTCTCTCCTTGTCCTCTAACCAGTCTATACTCAACAGATTAATCAATAAATAGTAAGTCACAAAGTCAAATGCATTGGCGGTTCAGGGATAGAATGCTCGCTAGTTACGCCTCACGTTTTCTAGGGTTCGATTCCCGGCTGACGCACTCACAAATGATGTCAGCTCATGATGAAATCCTCCAACCAATCAAACAAAATCCCTAGAAAACTAATACATGAAAATTACAGAAAATATACGATCAAAAGGTAAAACATTAGGTCAATGACACCATCAGTACCAATACAAATGGCGATAACGACAACAAAATCTCTAGAAACAACCAGTCACAATGAAAGTCATCAGGAGAAACAGTTATAGCAATTTTAAAGAAATTGCAGAAACTCAATTCACACTGAAGTTAGCACTGAAAATGGTGTCTATCAGAAGAACGATGAAAGCTTTGAAATTAAACCACTCAGTTCCTGGAACAACACTAGAAACATCCATATGTACTACAAGTCAGGGTTATTACACTTCTACATCGAAATATGGGCATTTTTATTGGATTTATTTCCCATAGCACAATTTCTTAAGGCATCTTTATTGAGTGGAAATGACAAACAATAATCAGGATCGATGTCTGAAACTTCCAATCACAGGTCACCGTTGTCGAAGTTCACCATGTCTACTGTGAAGCGGATGAGCATCATTGGCACTGGTTGGTGGTTGTGCTATATGGCGAAATGAGAAAATTTAGGATTCTTGGGTAAAAGGATTGCAACTCTGTGACTAAATGTTCCAATGGGCTTGCCTCGTAACTTCGAAGCTCCAGGTCCGATCTCCTATGAGATCGTGGGTCTTAAATTAGGTTGAGACGACTGTCCTGTACCCGTTATCTTTATGACGGTTGTCTAGCTGACGTCAGTTCGTGATAAACCCTACGCTAGAATTATTCGAAATCCCTAAAACATTTGAATATCACTTATTCCCAAATGTTTCACCAACTGTTTGAATTAAGTGCAATTCGATTCAATGTCCACAATAAATTAATCCGCGTGAAATAGTTTATCGTGTAATCCAATCCATAGGTTTTATATTCAACTGCGGATAACACACTTCCATAAGCCGTTTCATGAGTTGATAATGATATTATTACTAGGACCATATGCAGTTATTCAATAGCACTGATTACTCTTTAAATAACGTACAGTAAAAAAGGCATCTAAGTATATAAAATATTTCCAAGAAATAGGCATAACATATTAAAAGTTGATTGGATGGAGTATTTCATCATGCACTGAAGTCAGTTAGAGAAGCACTGGAAAACTTGCAGTGAGTACTGAACTTCTGCTTTGTCAGCCTAGTTTGGGACTGACTCTTAATCAGTACGCACCGATGTTCGCACACAGGACCTTCTGGTTACAAGGCTGGCTAACTCGTAGACCATTAAGCCACTGGGAACCGATTCCATGGTCAGCTCATGAATTCTAACTTCTGCCGATTCATGACATAGCGCAATAATTTCGTAATGTAGGGAACATCAGGTCAAATATGAGACAGTAACTCATTGAAGGAAACATTGCGAAATTGTCACGCTATGCCGTGAATTGGCAGAAGTTAGAATTCATGGGCTGACCATTGAATCGGGTCTCAGTGGCTTAGTGGTCTACGAGCTTGTCCTGTAACTAGAAGGTCCTGGGTTTGGACCTCTATGGTGAGTGCGTACTGATGAAGAGTCCCAAGGAAAGGGGGCGAAACGGTTTTCAGTGGTTCTCTAACGGATGTCAGCTCATGATGAAATTCTCCAAACAATCAAACCAAATACCTACAAAACCAATCTTTGAATATTAAGAGTTGGTAAAGCCAAATGTTTCGGTATCAAAAGTAGTTTTAATCAACAATATTTGACTAGATTTTTTATTCATAAGTTTCAGACCCATTGCCATCACTTCCCCGTTTCTAAAGCTTATGGAAAAACTAGTACTTCTTAAACTTGAACCCTACCTTAAAAGCTTTGAAGACTCCAAACAATTGGCCTATAGACAGGGTAGGAGCACTTTAGACGCTGCAGCAGTCTTACACAACAGCATCGTCTCATCATTAAAATATTCTAGTTGACAGGCACTTGGACTCATGTAGAAAATGGGCTGAATCAATTTTATCCAACTCATACCACCCTCTTCATTCACAACTCTCCCTCGTATCTCATCAGGCAAAACCAGAAGCCCATGTATAAAATTATATGCTCGCACTAGCAAGTACAAAAACTCAACCATACCCTACTTAGCTCGTGTTCTGTGCGATATAGAAAGTATTAGGCGTGAAACATAACTTATTAAATAGTCAGTAGAACAATTGGATCTCGTCTTTCAACTCATATCATTTATAGGTACAACGTTTTCTTTCTTTTCCTTTACTCCCTCTTTTTTCTCTCTTATGTGCAGCTTTGTTTCTTTCTTCTGTTCACGCCAGTAAATATGCTAGTATCCACATTTACAACACCTTCTAACACTCTGTTTAATTTTGGCTTTGCTACCGACATGCCAATATATAAAGCCATGAAACGTAATTTCTATAGACTCAAGATGTAAAATTATTCACCCTGAAATATTAATTGATCGACTCCAAGGGTTACACATTTTCGTCGAAACCTCCAGAAACCCGTTTCAAAGCTAGTCACTCATAAGAAGTATAGTTGACTTTAATGTAAATCTCACCATCGACATTAAGACACCCTAATAGTAAAACTGTAAAGAGACTTCTATCCTATTACTGAAAGAAGAATTGCTGTATTCGTTACAAGCCGTATGTTTTGTGTTAGTAAATTATCACCAGTTTGTTTGGATTCCATTCCTTTACAGTGCTTGATAAGCCGCTGTGCAACATTTCCAGATGACTGCTGTTGAGGAGTCTTAAAGCAGGCCGAAACAGCTGTGCAGCTCTAACTTGTTTTCAATGGTTCTCTAACTCATATCAATCCGTGGTCAAACTTGAAACCAATGGATTCTTAAGGCACTAGCTCTTGAGAATTAATCTTATGCTCAATAATGAATGATTACGGGAAGAACTTTTCAAGACTTCTAGTGGAAATGTGTGAACAGCGGGATCCACCAGGTGAAGTATGAAGACGAATACTCACTAATGACATTAGCTGATGGTGGCGCTAAAATAACAAACTGGTAGAAGTTGGAGTTCACGGGCTGCCATTGAACTGGGTTGCGCTGGTTGAATGGTCTACAAGCTGGCTTGTAGCCAGAAGGTCCTGGGGTTTGAACTGACGAAGAGTCTCAAAGTAGGATGAAGCTGCTATCCACTACTCTCTGATCTGCACTTGTTGTCGGACTGACATATATCCTTGAGCAAGCTTGAAATAAATCAAAGCCCTACAAACTAATTACTCAACTTTTATTTAAAATACCTACTTTTGAGAAATTCAAACCAAAAGTACTCAACTAGTTGTCGAATTATTCTAAGCAGAATAGCATCCATCCATCATCCATCTATTAAATGCGTGGATTTCTTTTTTCTTCAAAACAATAGAATAATATGATCTTAGATAAATCATCAGCTATTTACTCTGAACTTATTGGAAACAGTCGGTCACTTCACTATTCTTAATAGATGTGCATAATAAATATTATTTTAGAAAAAGAAATATAGATACTAGGCATATTTTACTTGTTTCATTTTTCAACATATCCAAGCATAAAGCAGATAATTTCCAATAATAAAATCCGGCATCATCGAAACGTGATTCTTTAGCAGCACAAGTGGCTAATTGTTCCAGTACAGAGATGGCTTCATTCTGTAAACCAGCCTTAATAAATGCTTTTTTCAGTTAGCAGTAAATACAGAGAAAAGTGGAAAAGTTTAGTTTAATATTTCAGCTAAATAAATAAATGAATAACTGCATTAGGCTACTATATAATTCATCAGTAGTATAAATTCAAAATTCCAAAAATGATCGCAGTTAATTAATGCTACATGATTCATGATGAGTTTGGGATTTGTTTTCAGGGTAACATGGAAGACATGGTGTAATGAGGTAATGTTACTTCATGGATGGTTGTGGGGCTAGCTGAAGAGGACCGCAAAGAAATAGGACAAAATTGGGGTGTACTGTTGAAGCCCTGTGTCACACTAGAAATCAAAGGGAAAAATTATTAATAATAATGGGAAGATTCACAGGCGAAACTGTTTAGTTATATCGTTTGCATTTTCATACCACTGAGATCATGATTGTTGTCACAAAAGATACAGTCTATAACAACAACTGAAGAGAATAGGATCTGGGGTTTCACTTAATCATTTAAAAAACAGAATATGGCTACGGTGAAAATAAAAAACTTTTCTCTTTTCAGTAAACTCATCATCAACTTGGCTGTATATTCGTGGATATGTTGTGAAGTTGTCAGAAAATTCTGGAAATGGAAATTCTCAGTAAATGGTCAAAATACAGTAAGTTATGTACTGCCAATAGAGATTGCAATAAATACAGTGATCAAAGAATATACACATTAGATCAGGGGCGACTGCAGTGAAGAAAATCATCCTTTCCTTCGAAGTCATCAGCTACCACCCTGTACATTCATGAGTATATAACAAAAAGAGGTGAGAAAGTTCCAGAAAAATTTCCCATCTAAGGTCATATTATAACGAATGACAAGATGGAATGATTTTGACACAAATAGGGACAAGAAAACTAAACTGCGGCGAGGGGTTGCATCAAAAGCATTATCAGATGATAATTACTGAGAAAATGGACTATTTATAGCAGTCATATTAAGACAAAGGTTAGACGTATTTCCTTTGGATACAAAGAGTGCCTGAGATCTACCGAGATGTCTTTACCTCACTGTCTTTAAGAGGTTTGATCACATCTTATAAATGGGACTTTTAAGGATTTCTCAAATGGAGCTCAATGTCCTAAATACATCAGATGTTCTGCTAATGAGCTATAAACACACCTATGTTAACCGGGATGAATAAGTTTCCCGAGGGTGTTTTACAACCGGACGCATTTTACAGCTAATGTACTCAGCTGAACTGGTATGTATGCACGCAGATGTGACCCAGCCTGTCTTTCATATGCTGTTCGAATAGTTTTATGCAAGAAAATGGTACTGGTTGACTAGCGGCGACGAATATTTTATTTAATTCGGTTTGGATTTCTCCGTCGATTGACTGGATTGAAGTGTTTGGTTTCAGGTTGAAACATCGGCTCCCTGTGAAGATGCTTCGACGATATCTTGTCGTGTAACTTGAAGTCAATTAGTGGATGGTATCCAGGATGCTCATTTCGTTCAATCAATCAACAGAAAAATCTAAATTAAATTAAATATTTAATAAGACCCGTTGCACAAGAGGCGGCTGTCGTGGTCCAAATGGTCTAGTGAATAAGGCTTTGGCGTTTGAGGCTGTGGGCATTGGGTTCGAGCCTCGGTGGGAAGATCATCACTCACCAGGGCATGCAGGTAAGGACCGATTTTGGAGAATTTCTGAGTTAGTGTAGCTTTAACTTCGATAAACTTCTTGCAGCTACCTCAGATTTAACAACGAAATCAACAGGTGAATAGATGATGTAACAATGGATCCCTCTGAGTAACCTCTCTTGACTAAATAATTCACAACAGACTTAGTCAATACCATCTTGCCCTTTTCTTGTTAAATTGATGATAAGTTTACATACACCGAGCGCGCGCTTTTCGACTATTACGCTACATTTTGGTCATAAATAAAATATCTTATTACTCTAAAATTTTATGCAAAGTGTTTGCGGAAATTATCACAATTATTAACCTTTCGAACACTGAATCCAAAAAATACAATCTTATTGACAGATAATACACATAACTCACTGTTTGGATTTGTGGAATTTTTAAACATAAACACATCTATAATTGTATATATTGTTGGATTTATATGTTCAAGTTGCTCCAAGTCAGTGAGTTTATGGTTAAGATATCATTTTAGTTACATATACTGAACTATATTGCATGTTGTCTTATTGTATAGTTGTCGTCGCTTTTTGCCCTTTTTTCTGTGAACTGTTTCCTTTGTTGATGTTGTTCTCATTGTTTGTCCGTTATTTTCTGATTTTGAGGGGAGCAACCCAAAAAGTTGCTTCTCTCTAAACTTTTACTTAATGTAATCATTCTTTTCTCAGGCGTGAGGCTAGCAACCCCACCCTGTAAACAAAAATTGCTACAGAATCTTCAGTATGCTGAACCTCCTTGCACCAAAAGAAAAAGTCTGTGTAGGAACATGGAACGTCCGAACTATGTACGAGACTGGAAAAGCTGCCCAGATCGCCAACGAGATGAAAAGATACGGAATACAAGTGCTGGGAATATGTGAGAGCAGATGGAATGGGAGTGGACTCACCAAATTGTCAACAGGTGAGTCAGTGATCTACTCCGGTCACCCAGAAGATAACCACACGCACACCGAGGGCGTGGCTATCATGATGTCACCAACGGCAACGAAAGCCCTGATACAATGGGAGGCGATTTCGTCCAGGATAATGACCGCCAGGTTCAACTCCAAAGGAAGGAAAGTGTCAATCATACAATGTTATGCACCCACAAACAACGCAGACCTCGAGAAGAAAGAAGAATTCTACAGGCAACTACAGGCAACAATGGACAATACTCCAGCTGGCGACATGAAAATACTAATGGGAGACATGAACGCCAAACTGGGACCAGACAATACGGGAAGGGAACTCATCATGGGTAGAGAAGCTCTAGGAGAAATGAATGAAAACGGAGAACTCTTCGCCGACTTCTGCGCCTTCAACGAACTGGTGATTGGTGGCAGTGTATACAAGCACAAAGATATCCACAAGGCTACATGGGTGTCACCAGACGGGCAAACCAAAAACCAAATCGACTTCATCTCAATCTCAAGGAAGTGGAGGCGCAGCCTACTGGACACAAAAGCAAGAAGAGGAGCAGACGTTGGCTCAGACCACTATCTCGTACAAGGGACAATCCAAATCAAATTAAAAGCTTTCAGGGAATCAGGAGCTGCAGATAGACCACAAGCCAAGTTCAACACTCAAAAGCTGAAGGACCAGGCTACAAAGGACATCTTCATTGCAAGCATAAAGGACAAAGCCGAGACACAAATCAACACTAGCGAAGAGGTCGGCGTTGAAAAGCACTGGAACAACTTGAAAACGGTGTGGAGCCAAACCTGCATAGAAATTCTAGGCAGAAAAAAGAGACAGGACAAACAGTGGCTCACTACGGACACTTGGAAACTAATAGAAGAGAGAAGGACAGTGAAGCAAAAGATTATCCAGTGCACGGACGAGCAACAAAAACAGGAGCTGAATGCAAGCTACAATACACTGAACAAAAGAGTGAAGAAAAGTGCCAGGGAAGACAAAAGAAAATATTATGAAACCATGGCAAACGAAGCAGAACAAGCTGCAGGCAAAGGAGACCTCGCCACACTCTACCAAACAACTAGGAACCTTTCGGGCAAACGTTCGACACAGATTAAGCCAATAAAGGACGACAATGGAAAGTCAATCACCAAAGAGGTGGAACAGAGAAAGCACTGGGTTGAACACTTCAAAAGACTTCTAAATCGTCCGCCACCTACAACACGTCCAGCAATACCAACAACGGAAGCAGAACTACCAGTGAACACTGACCCCCCGACGAAATCAGAAGTCCTGAATGCAATCAAGATGCTTAAAACTGGGAAAACACCGGGACCAGATGGAATCCCAGCAGAGGCTTTGAAAATAGACCCAGAGACAACAGCGGACTTGATGACACCACTACTGGAGAAGGTGTGGAAAGAGGGCAAAGTACCCGAGGATTGGAAGAACAGTTACTTATTCAAACTTCCAAAGAAAGGAGACTTAAGTCAATGTAAAAACTGGCGTGGAATTATGCTTCTGTCCATTCCAAGCAAGATACTAAGTCGCATCATCCTGGAGAGAATCAAACAAGCCCTAGATGAAAAACTTCGTCCGGAACAGGCTGGATTCAGGAGAAACAAATCATGTATTGATCAAATCGCCACTCTACGGATCATCATTGAACAAAGCTTGGAATGGCAGTCACCTCTCTATCTCAACTTCATCGACTTTGAAAAGGCCTTCGACAGCGTCGATCGAGAGGTCATTTGGAAACTACTTCGCTACTACGGGGTCCCATCGACAATTATACACCTCATCCAACAGTTATACGACAATGCTGCATGCCAAGTAATCCACAACGGGAAACTTACGGAAGCCTTCGAAGTGAGGACGGGAGTGAGGCAAGGCTGTCTACTATCACCAATGATCTTCCTGATTGCAATTGATTGGATAATGCGACAGACAACGGCAACCAACGAGGGAACAGGCATAAAATGGACTGACACAAAAGACTTGGAGGATCTGGATTTCGCCGATGATATATGTCTGATTTCCCATAAACTGGAAGATATGCAAATGAAAAGTAACAAGTTGGCAGAAGAAGCATCAAAGATAGGACTTCACGTGAACATAGATAAAACAGAGATGATGAAGATTCCTTGCCAACATCAACAGCAACAACAGACCACAATAAGCATAAATGGGAAGAACCTGAAAGAAACAACCTCCTTCACCTACCTGGGAAGCATCGTCTCAACTACAGGCGGAACTGACGAGGACATCAAAGCCAGAATCGGAAAAGCAAGACAAGCTTTCATTACTCTCAAATCTGTGTGGAGGTCAACAGCAATCAGCATCAAAAATAAGATCCGGATTTTCAACTCCAATGTGAAGTCAGTGCTACTATACGGATCAGAGACTTGGCGAGTCATAAAGAGCATCTCAAACAAACTTCAAACCTTCATTAACAACTGTCTCCGCTCAATACTCAAGATCAGATGGCCAGAAAAGATCAGCAACAGGGATCTCTGGGAGCGAACCAATCAGGAACCGATTGTGAAACAAATAGGCAGAAAGAAATGGAGATGGATTGGCCATACGCTGAGGAAACCATCAAGTGACATCACTAGACAAGCCCTCGAGTGGAACCCGAAAGGGAGGCGGCGAGTTGGTCGTCCAAGGGTGACTTGGAGGAGGTCATGTGAAGAGGAGATGAAAGCATGTGGGCAGACCTGGAGCAGGGTGAAAAAGTTGTCAGAAAACCGAAGTCAATGGAGGTGCGCAGCTGAAGCCCTATGTTCCTCTAGGAACTAAAGGATACAATAATAATAATAATAATAATTACATAGTGTTATTAGAAGATGGAGATTATCTGAAAAGCTGTGTGATGTATTTGCGCTATACATTTCCAACAATCTGATCCCCCACACATTTACTTGTCAAGTCGATATGCATGAAAAAATTGAGGGCAATTAAATTAAACAAAATGACAAAAAAGGATTTAAGAATGATTAACACAACGTTTGGTAATCCAACCAGATAAGGATTACCAATCTAGGTTAAGAGTAATAATAAACTGTTTTTGAATACAGAGGGAGGGGGGTTAAGTTTATGAATACCTATGGCCTCAGCGTATCTCGATAAGCGCCCTTGAACGTTCTTATAGATAACCTTAAAGGCTGAGTTAACACCAGTCTCGATTAGGTGTTTAGCCACAGACGAAGTTGGTAGTCTGACACCTGCATCTATTGGTTTTTCATAACTCATTTGTTTTTCTAACCATTTTGGGATATGCTCTCCCACCCTCACATGCAAGGCGTGATTACTCCTCCCTATGTATGTGTGACCACACACACACACACACACACACGAAAATTGGTAAGTTGTGTGGGATGTGACATAATCACTTGTGCACTTTTGAGGTTTGCAGTGGAGCATAATTTTAGCTTTCTCGACAATTACAAACTGGGCTGCATAATGGTTTCTACGGATGATCGAATTCAACTTTTGTCTCAAAATCCTACTGTTTATTTCCCTGTTATGTGGTAATTTCATGAAAACATTTTTCTTAAGGGCGGTATGGATTGTAGGGTTAGAGACTAATTGACTTCTACACCTGTTTAAAAATTTCAAAGGATGCCCGTTTTCAACAAGAGTATCCATCGGTATTTCATTGTCTTTGTCTATAGCATCAGCCATACAAATACGTCGAATCCTCTTAAACAGACATTTCACCAAGCCTCTCTTATACTGTAATGGACAGAAACTGTGAAAATTAAGGTACCGCCCTGTTTAAGTGGGCTTTCTGTAGATTGATCGTCTTAGTGAACCATCATCTCTTCGACTCAGAAGTATGTCTAAAAATGCAAGCTGGTTGCGACTTTCTTCCTCGCATGTAAGACTAATATGATTCTGTACAGAGTTATGTCTGTCTAATAGACAACTCGCATCTTCATGATTGTCGCACATCAAAATGATATCATCTATATATCTCTTATAAAAGGGCAATGGACTAATGGACTCTCCACAGCAAAGCCATCCATTTGTCGAAAATGTTCACCCTCAAACGTGAAATGCACGTTGTCTGTACATGATAGTAATAAATCTTTTAAATAAGTTAAAGGAAAAGGAAATGTAAAACAACTAGAAGATATATAGTCACAAAGAATATCAACAGTCTTAACCAATGGTACAACAGTAAACAAAGAATTAACATCAAATGAATACATTTTCCTATCTTTTATGTTCATATCTACAAGACTGTCAACAAGTTCAAATGTATCTTTTATATAATACCCTTCGTATAAGCTGTTGTATTCTTATTATATTTATGATTACTACAACTAATACTTTATGCAGCTAGCTGCCAACCATATCGGTGACAAGTCCCACCTTCTGCTTGACTTGCACTCCCTTTAATGCTGGAGAATAAACATTTCATTATCGAATAAAAGTAAAATTTAATGTGATACTACTGAGTTCTGGTGTGTTTCTTCACCCCACCCCACCCCCACCTTCCACAGAAGTTAAAAGTTACGCATGTTGAGTAGAGTATAAAGTCTTTCTCACCTGCTTGAGCTTCTTCAAATTTGTCATTTTCAGCTAACCAGTGGGCATACGGTAGATATACTTTCTCCGTATAGTCACGATGTTTCTCAGCTAAACTGAATGCCTTTAAAATTTAAACAGAAATTTTTAAAAAATATACAAATTCTGATAAATAAAAGTTATTTATCTTTACATGTGTCTGTTTTTCAAATGTTTACATTTCTTTCTCAACTCCTTTACGCTCCCAGTGGAACACAGGGTGGCTTCAAGCTAGAGGCCTGAAGTTTCTGTAGCAGTGGCGTTTATTTTTACACGATGGCGTCGCTAGCCGCCTCATGTCCAACCTTCTCTCTTTACCAGTCTTACTATTGGCTAAGTGAGGTAAAGGAGTGCGTCGGTGGCCAGGGATAGAACGCCGGACTACCTGCGTGATCGGCAAGCACTCTACCACTGTGCCACCGACGCACCAAAATCTTTACATACAATAAATTAATTCATTAGGCTTTTTTATATTTCTACAGCATACAGAATGTAAGATGAAACAACTTTTCAAAGATCTTTCTCTTTCAGTCGTACATCGGTCAACTCAGATCTTTGAAAGAAGCATACTTTTAATAATATGTGAGTTTGTGGCACAGTGGTATAGTGATCACTAGCCACATTTGGTAGTCACGGGTAGGTTCCATTTCCTAATGACGCGCTTTTAAATCTAGTCTGTTGAAAGCCTAGAAAAGAAGAAAAGCCGGTCAGCCTCACGGCCGTAATAAAACAATACTATTTGTTACTAAATTCTAAAAAGCTTGAAACCTTATATCTAATCTGAACACGAAAAAACAAAACAAGCAAAAGATTTCGTCCCGAAACAACATTTATCACGGAGATTACTGAAAACCATGGACAACCAGAGATAATCTAAATATTAATCTCCAACTGTTTGATGGATACTGGATAAATCTCCTGAAAATGTTGTGAGAACTCTTGACCAGTGGGGCCCACCATGTCAAGGCAAAGTGGATGCGCATTACAAGGCATTGGTTTAGGGTGGCTCTATATCATGAACTAAGAGAGTTCGAATTCACGGGTCATCATATTCCGGTCCAAGTGGTAGAATCTTCAAGGGTTTCGGTCCCAGTAGCTTGAAGGACCCACGTTCGATCTCTGGTGAGAATGCTTGAATTAATCACAAGTATTCATTTCATTTGGTCTTAGTGTATGTACGTAGTAAGTTCTTTTAACATTTCTTAACAAACTTTGGCTGTAGATTCAACAATGTGAAAATACTTTGATTTGAAACTAGTAACTGGTGTGATGTGTCTAGTTCTTTCTTCGGTGCAGACTGAATTCTATCAGTCAGGTTGTAATGTGGTCACCATTCTAGGTAGCTCGCCATCACGGTGCACATTGATTTGATGATATTAGATGGTTGGAGATAACCGGCAGGAAGCCTTGGACCTAGGTTTCTTGCTAGGTCCTGACTGATAGAATTCAGTCTGCACCAAAGAGAGGACTAGACACGTCACACTAGTTACTAGTGTCAAATCAAAATATCCACTACAGTCCTACAGGGGGTTGATCGCAAGCCCGAATATCTCAGTGGTAACGTCTCTGACTGCAGCACTGGATGACGTGAGTTCGAATTTCAGAAGGAACATGAGTTCCTTCACGGTTGCAGATACGCCTTGCTGACTGGTGAGTGCCAACAAGCACGGAACCTAGTTGGGAGGCTTCCTGCCGATTGCCTCCAACCATCTAAAGTGAAAATACGTAAATTACTTTAGGTATTGATATTTTTTAAATCATAAACTACCTAGATAGGATATGCTAAATAAGTTGATATCTTCAAAACTATAAACTTTGTTGGTTTTATTCACAAACTTTTAATTCAAAATGTTGAATGAGTCATTGTTTTGTGATTTGTGTTAGAAACATGAATTTCTCAACTGTAGGCATTTCTACCAGCAGATATATATATATATATATATATATATATATATATCAAACATTTTGAAGCTAAAGATCACATAGCCGGCTAGAAAGGATTAACGACAGGGAAATGTGGGAACGAGACAACCAAAACAAATATGTCGAAGAAAGTGGAGATTGAGTGAACAAATGCCGAGGAGACCATCGAATGACATCACGTGGCAGACAGTCCCTCAAGTCGTGGGTCTCTGGATGATATGGAGGAGATCTTCTTAGGTAGAGATGAAAGCTTATAGGCAATCGTGGAGCCAATTATTTAAGACTAAACAGAACAGGATGAATTGAAGATGTACTGTTGAAGTCTTTTATTCCATTCAGAAGTCAACGGAATAATGATAACAGTATTTCGAACGTTCATCAGGATAGATTTCTCTTGAAGTACATACATGCTTATCAGTCGCTTACAAACCTACCTTATTCCCACGTATCAGTATGATAAAAACACAAAATTGTTCAACCATCAAAGCAGAAATAAAATCAGTGTATTGAAGTGATTCATAGTAAAACTTACCTCCTCCCAATTATGTGATTCCACGTATAAGTTTAACTGATTTTCAATATCACCATATTTAGCATAACAGTCAGCTGCAAAGGCGTATTCACCAAGTCGAGCTAAACTTCTTGCACAACGTTCTAGATATTCATGATCCCCTTTGTCTAGACGTCGACTAATATCCAATAGGCTAATGTAGAGTGAAGAAATGAAAATCATTCAACGTTAACCTTCAGATAAAATCCAAATATATAAATGCGTTTTCAAGAATTAGTTTGTAGGCATTATGTTTGTTTCAGGAAACAACGGGTCGATATCAGTTAGACAACCCCTGTAAACCAGGGTGTACTGGACAGATATTTTATTCTAGTTTGGGACTAATTGGCAGTACGCAATCACTGGTATCTTGTACCCAGGACCCACCTGGTTACAAGACAAGCTTGTAGACTATTTAGCCACTTAAACTCGATTTAACGCTTCATGAATTCTAACTTCTACCGATTCATGAATTTAGTGCGACCGTCAACCATTGTCATCGGCGGGAAGTCTACCCTCACTCCTGAATGGATGGACATATAAGCATGGAAATAAGTATGTGCCTGACAGTGAGAATTGTTTCTCCAGTCTCTTATTCTACCGTGGTCTTAACATCTCCATCATTCGTTCCCCATGTTTTCTCATTTTAATTAATTAGTTAATTCACTATTACCACTCTCATATGTTCCTTTTGTACATTTTCTCATCCTCTTCACACGTGCTGAATAGACAGTCAATTACCTTTCTTCTTTCTCAAGAAGCAAGTTTAACCTTGTCAAATCTGTAATCCTTTTCTCTTCCACGAGTCTGAGTAATACGTAGCTTTTTAATTTTTTCTTTTCAAACCCACTTCTGAGTAATTATATCAATTATGTCACCCTTTTTCCCTACTACTCCATAATGGACTACTATACGTTTTTCTTGAATATAAATACGGCTGTAAAGCCTCTGAAGAGGATCTCATCGATAAAGAAAATTTTCTTCGTTGAATTATCCTTTATTGTCTTTATTGAGAAGTCTTATCAAATAAGACTCATATCATTGACATTATCAGTTACGTAAGTAATCTTTTTTCAATACACAGTCGGTTAGCAAAACAAAATTAGGTGTACTAATGAAATTAACCCTGAATAACTTCTGAGACTCAGGGATTGCCTTGTTGCTGTGGAATAATTTCGCTGACTTAGGATATGCAGATGATATAGTCCTTCCTCCCTCCTAGGTGAAGATGCTGACAAAATTCAGAGTCTTCTGAATACACTGAGCTGCAATCTACGAATGTTTGGCATGCGATTCGCTTTTGTCAGATGAAAGATGAAGCTACAGGACTGTACTACATTGACTGCTAGCCTAGAAATACGGGAAGTGAAGTGGTAGAACACGTTGACTAATTCACTTATTTGGGAAGTTGCATCAGACAATGCCAGTGGGTTGACCGCTGACGAAGTCTCAGCTCGGATACAGAAGGCTCGTTTCGCATATGTCAGTTTACGCTGTCTCTGGCGTAGACGTGATATCCGACTGGCTGTCGACCAAAGAAGGGCGTGTGTAATGCTCAGCAGTCCGCTCCGTCCTTCTTTATAGCTGAGTGAGACATGGCCATTGAAAGTGGAAGAAATGAAAAGGCTCGCTAGCTGTTTTTGATCAGAGGTGTCTCCCATCTGTATTAGGTTGTATAACAAGGTGAGCAATAGTGAGGTTAGGCGTCGGTCGAGTCCTAGGTAAGGAAGAGAAGTCAACAGACGAGGCTTTGAAGTTAAACTGATTGAGATAGTTAGGAAATGTGTTACGGATACCTGCTTAGCCATCGCCTTCTTCGACAGGCAGTGTTAGCTGACATAGGATAGATCAGGTTGGGAAACAGCCAGTGGTAGTCAATCAAAACATGGCATCATCAGTCAATGAAATCCATAACACTTAGTTTAAGCCAAGTAGAAAGGTTTAGATAAGCTTCCTGGTTCGGGTCCTCAGGATGGTAAAAACCAATGAAGTTTGGCTCAAAATCTTCCTCAATGGCTGGCTCAGATGCATCCACTCCTTGTGGCTGATAATTTCCAATAAAACTATATGGTTATTCGATATTACCGTTCGTTTTAACTCATATCTCTGTTAACAATCTCCGTTTTGAATTTCTTTTTACTTTCTTCTCTTGCTCTGTGTGCTTTATGGAGTGTGGTGACTCGAACTGCTGCACATTGGTGCAAAATTCTATGGTGAAACTGTAACCTTTTAAACGGGAGGATATATATATATATATCTTGAAAATAGACGTGTCTCTTCTGGTTTTGAAAAATCACAGTGGTTACTGATCAATTTATGCTATCTTTTCCGGCATAACTTTTGAACCAAAGGTTATTTTGCAATGCGGTTTCTTGCATCGTATAGAGCATTGATACCATATAAACTTTTCCGCCATATGCCATCGTTTCCGAGTAACACTGAAAAAATGATGATTTTTGGCAATTTGTACTTAGCCGCAAAACGGCTATATGAGGCTATATATGGGTAAAGAGCGTTAGTAGGTTTAACACGCATATGTGAGTCGTAGTTACTCCTGCTCTTACTTTTGGACATAGCCGCCACAGCAATCCTAGAGGAATCCTATAGGAGCCTATGGGAAATTCAGTCTTTCCTTCATAACTTTTCAACGGGACAATATTTTTCAATGCGGTTTGCTTTATTTAATAGAGCTCATTGATATCTACCATTGATAATTTATATTTGTTTCGTGGATATTTTGACTTTTGTGAAATTTGGACATAGCCGCCACAGCAATCCTATAGGATTCCTTTAGGATCTTCAAAGTGAATTTTGACTTTAAATGGTTTAATGTATTCAGTTTCAAAATTTATTTAAAACTGTATCAGCAGTTAACAAAAACGAAATAATATTTGAACATTTAACCCAATATCAAGTCAACTTCTAATACTGAACAATCAAGAAAAAAACTTACATATCAGTCCATCCATGTTGATTGGATAATTCAATCGCTTTTATATATTCACCTGCATCAATATACATTTTAGCTGCTGATCTATGCTCATTTGTTGATTTCGCCCAATCAGCATGTTTAGCTAATAATAATTTCCGTTCATCAGTATCATTATCACCACTCGCCGTCATTGCTTCACGTGCCTCCTCGAAACGACGTAGATCAGTGTACATGTCGATTATTTTATGATTCCCGCTTGAATTTGGTCCAGCTCGAGCATAATAACCAGCTGCTTCAGTGAAATAGCCCAAGTAAGCTGAGATATCACCTAAAGCAATCAAAGTATTTGAATTGGCTATTGGCTCTTTATCACTCCATTCTCCTCTTTTATATCTTTCCTAATTAAAGGCATAAAAAAAGAGACAATTGTTTAATGAAGACTGACAATTTCGTTGTATTATTGTTGAAACACTAACAACCATAGTAAAAGTAGTTAATCCTATTTGGACCTTTCTGTTGATTACTTGGATCAAAGTGCTCGGCTTCAGGTTGACATGTCGTCGCCTTGTACAGATGCTTCTACGATGTCTGATAATTTAACTTAAAGTAAACTAGTCGATGGGGACTAACAATGGGATCCAGGATGCACATTTCATCCAATTTTAGACCCGTCACCAGATGTACTTGGATTCTGCAGTGGTCGCCTCCATGTGCATCTATCAGTTCACCTGCTCTTGTGGAGCAAGGCACATTGGCCGTAGTCAGAGAACGCTTTCCACACGGATACGAAAACATATTCCAGCATGGTTTTACACCTGTTCGACTTCTGTCACTCGGTCAACCCTGACCATGATTTCAAGATCATATATAGAATCCATGCTAACTTCCCGCGTTTCCTTCGTTACAGACTTCTAAAGACAGCTGAGGCCTTGGCAATTCATGAATTCAAGCCAGCCAGACCTTTGTGTACAAAAGAAGTATATACAATCCCTACTTCTGCCTTGGCCGTAGAGGGATAGACGTTTATTTATTTTGTTTATTTAGTTATTCTATGTACTTTTCACTTATTACTACGATTATTACTATTACCTTTGTTATTATTACCATTCCCACTCTGAATTGTTTCCACTTGACCCACTTGTCATTCTAAACCCAAAATTATTCATTTCTACATTTTTTTAAAACAATTAGTTCCCTTTATGAATTTTATTTTTGTTTTTACAATATTGAATTCTATCTTATCAAATTTCACACCATGTTATGTAACATAATTTCTTTATAAAACCATGTATATATACGATTGTACAGCTTGATAATAAATTCGTTGTTGAAAAGAGTCTTTTCGCTGAATAATGTGTTCTTAACTAGTGAATTCATCAGTTTTTCTATTGGTTCCACAGGATCCTTTAAACGACACAGCTTGTTTCTAATTGATATTTTGGGGGGTTTAAATACCAATTTTATTCATATATACTACTAAAGAATTCTACATAAGGTTTCCAAGGTTCTTTCTTTGTATTGAAGTCCTACTGGTGACTCAAACGCAGATTTCTCCATGGTTCTCTAACTGATGTTCAGTTCATGATGAAATCCTTCAACAAATTAGACAAAATCCCTACAAACAAATACTTGATTTTTCAAGTATTGGTTTTTGTAGGGTTTTGTAGCGTACGCTGAGATCCCAAACTAGGACGAACGCTCCATACTCCCAGGTTTTAAATCCTCCATGCAATCAAACAAAATCCCTACAAAATCAATACTTGAAAATTCATCTGACGCTCACTAGTGACTGGCCCTATTCAGGCAGTTAACCTGGGGTTCTAGTGGGAAGCCGTGACCAGTAGGGTACAGCAGGTCGAAGATGAGGCAGTAACTCATCGAAGAAGACATTGCGAAGTGGTCGCGCTATGTCGTGAACTGGCAGAAGTTAGAATTCAAGGACCATTGGATTGGGTCCCAGTGGCTCAATGGTCTGCGAGCTCGCCTTGTAACCAGAAGGTTCTGGGTTCGAATCCCGGTGGGTGCGTAATGCTGAGGAGTCCCAAACTAGGACGAAACAGCTGTCCAGTACTCCCAGGTTTTCCAGTGGTTCTCTAACTGATGTCAGCTCATGATGAAATCCTCCATGCAATCAAACAAAATCCCTACAAAACCAATACTTGAAAATTCATCTGATGCTCACTAGTGACTGGCCCTATTCAGGCAGTTAACCTGGGGTTCTAGTGGGAAACCGTAACCAGTAGGGTACAGCAGGTCGAAGATGAGGCAGTAACTCATCGAAGAAGACATTGTGAAGTGGTCGCGCTATGTCGTGAACTGGCAGAAGTTAGAATTCAAGGACCATTGGATCGGGTCCCAGTGGCTCAATGGTCTACGAGCTCGCCTTGTAACCAGAAGGTCCTGGGTTCGAATCCCGGTGGGTGCGTAATGCTGAGGAGTCCCAAACTAGGACGAAACAGCTGTCCAGTACTCCCAGGTTTTCCAGTGGTTCTCTAACTGATGTCAGCTCATGATTAAATCCTCCATGCAATCAAATACTTGATTATAGTTTCTCACACACTTTGATTTATTTTACTATTTGACTGACAATGACCTCTGACCTTTGCTGTCAGTTAATAATGTACATACAAACACCCTCTCCCCAAATTACTGTATATCTGTAAAGTGAAATTAGGAAAACAGATCACTTTGTTAACTTAAGTGATCTTAACTACATCACTTGGGAATATTTTTTTTCGTGCACAAACATTATTTAGCTAGAAATTAAAGCCTATTCAACTGTTGGGCTACCTAAACACCATGGAGTGGCAAAGTGGCTAGGTAAACTCCTCCAATCGTTATACAAGATGGTAGTAAATCATAGTGTTAAAGACGTTTTTGAATTTATTGCTAACGTGGATGATATCCACGTAAATGGGAAGCAAATGCTTTCTTTAGATGTAGCATCACTGTTTACCAATGTACCACTTATGGAGACTGTGGAATTCATATGCCAACAGATACTAGAAAAACAGATCGACATAGGAATCCCAGTTATCAGTCTGAAAGAGTTGTTTTTAAGATGTCTGTCTGTCTGGATTCAACATAGAACTTGGCACCGAAGTGCAGTAGTTCCAGCTACCACGTTCCAAATAGCACACAGAGGTAGACAAGAAGATGAGTGAAGAGAATCAATAGAGTTTGACAGATATAAGAGCGAAACAGAATGGGTAATGGTAGAAAGGAATATGAAAGATTACAGAGACTGAATACATCTGCGCTGGCCACTGACAACGATTTTGATCCATGTCACCTATTGTCTCCAGCCATTGATTCCTAGAGTCCCGAGGGCCCCAACCCGGTAGTCTGCATCTCCCTACCTGACTCAGTTTAACTGTCAAGGATTTCATGGATTGATGAGGCCATGTTTTTGTTTGGCCACCACTGGCTCTTTTCCAACCTGCACCTATATCAGCTAGCAATGCCCGTCGGGGGAGGCGGTGGTTAGGCATGCGCAGCACGTGACCTAGCCATCTTAGTCTATGTAACTTTATAGCCTCGTCATTGATTTTCCCTCTTTGCCCAACACTCTACGCCTAACGTCGACATTACTTACCTTATTAAACCACTTAACGTGAGACAGAAATCGCAGACATCTATGATCGAAAGCAGTCAACCTTTTCATGTCTTCAACTTGTATTGGCCATGTTTCAGAGCCATAGAGAAGGACGGAGCGAACTGCTGAGCAGTACACACGTCCCTTGGTTGATAAACGGATGTCACGCCTACGCCAGAGATGGTGTAAGTCAGCGAAAGAAGCTCGAGCTTTTTGGATCCGTGCTGAGATTTCGTCGCCAATCAGTCCGTTGGTGCTGATACAACTTCCCAAATAGGTGAAGTGGTCAACATGTCTTATCACTTCACTCCCTATCACTAAGCTAGGGGTTGACGTAGTCCAGTCCTGTAGCAGCATCTTACATTTTGCAGGGGCGAATCGCATGCCAAACATACGAAGATTGCTGCTCAAGGTGTTCAGAAGACTCTGCATTTTGTCAGAATCCTCCCCTAACAGGACTATGTCATCTGCATATTCTAAGTCCATAAGACTATTCCCTGGTAACAAGTCGATTCCTAAGTCATTACGTTCAGTTAAGGATACTTCCATCAGCATATCTATGATGAAGTTAAACAGAAATGGGGAAAGTGGACATCCCTGTCGGACACCACTGGTTGTTACCAATTCAGATGACAATTCCCCATAAGCCCTTACACGACTACGTGAGTTTGAATAGAGTGCCTTGATTAGTGCAATGTACTTTCTTGGCACTCCCTTCACAGTCAGACATTGCCATAGTACCTTTCGATCCACGGAGTCGAAGGCCGCCTTCAAGTCAAGAAATATGACAATTGTTGGACGCCGAAAAGTGTGTCTATGTTCTAGAATCTGTCGAAGAGTGAATATATGATCTATGCCCTCTACCTGGTCTAAAGCCTGCTTGATTTTTCCTCGTTGGTTCCTCCAGAGTTCTGCTTAGTCTATGCATGATTACTGAGCCTAGGATTTTAGAGACTATGTTCGTTAGGCTGATCCCCCTATGATTATCACACGAGGACTTGTTTCCCTTCTTGAATATCGGTATAATAAGTGACTTACCCCAGTCTGATGGGACTGTCTCTGATTCCCAGACTTTGCCTAGTACCTCAGTTAATCTACATACTAGTATGTCACCCCCACATTTAAACACCTCCGGAATAATTCCGTCGGGTCCTGCCGCTTTGCCTCGTTTCAAATTACAGATAGCTTTTGTGACCTCACTTACAGACGGCGGACCAGTGTCTATATCCCATGTGGGTGTGTGCTGGATGGCGGGGAGGTTCAGTGTGGCTGTAGGCAAGTTAAATTGTTCCTCAAAGTGTTCTTTCCAGCGTTCAAGGCGTCTATCCTGGGAGCTAATTAAGGAGCCATTTTTCTCAGAAATAGTCTCACTTATGATTTGCCTTCTCCCACCTGTTTCCCTGATGAGTCTAAAGAGTTGCCTAGTGTTGCCTATCGCTGATGCTTTTTCCATCTCTTTTGCCTTTGTCAGCCACCACTGTTCACGGTCCTTGCGGAGACTTTTCGTAAGTTTCCTTTTGTGCAGCTTTCGCTCCTCATTGAATTCACATTCAACAACCTTTATTACAGGCAAATCGACGGTATTGCCATGAGTTCTCCATTGGGGCCAATTTTGGCGGATATATTTCTTGCCAAGATTGAAAATGGTCCATTGAGACAAGTAATAGAGAAAACCGATTCTTATTTTCGTCATGTTGATGATACGTTTATTATTCTTGATGTGAAAGCTGACAAGAATGAAACGTTAAAAAGTTTAATGATGCACATCCATCGCTCATCTTCATTTGTGAAGAAGAACATGATGGTAGACTACATTTCCTTGATGTCCAATTGAGCAGAAGAGGTCTATAGAAAACCTACATCTGTAGGAAAATATACACATTTCCTCAGTTTTGTAGCAATCCGATACAAAGTCAATTTGGTCAGATGCCTCACGAATAGAGCAAGACGTATCTGTACAGATGACTCCCTACAAAATGAGTTAGGATACATCCAAAATACGCTTGTCCAAATGAGTTATCCTAGTAGATTTGTAGGGAGACACATTAATACCAGGTACAATAAAGAAAAACTGACAACAGTTGAAAAGAAACAACTGTTCATGAAACTGCAATTTAATGGGGACGTGGTTAGTGAAGTCTTGCATCTGAGATTATCGACAGCAATAAAACGGATTTATACTGCCGCCACCCTCTGTTTGTCATTTTCTAGCCGACCAACTATGATTGCTCAAGTGAAAGATAAGCTACCTAGCTGTGCCACTTCTATGTGTGTCTATAAATTTAGTTGCTCTTGTCGAGAAAGCTATATAGGGCGAAAAACTAGACAGCTTAACAAAAGCATTAATGAGCATCATAATTCACGGTTTGGAAAAGGTCAAATAAAATCTATAAGGAGTTCTATTTTGACTCATTTGATTGATAGCGGTCACCAAGTGGACAAAAGTAGTTCCTTCAAAGTTATCTATCGCATTCCATCGAGCCTTTCGAACGGAATTCGAATCCGTCTTTTACACAAAGCCGAAGCTATGGGAATTCGAGAGAACAATCCTAGTCTTTGCATGCATCCCTTGGCCTAGGTGAATTCTATTCAAAACCCTCCCAACCTTTTTATTTTCCATTACCTTCGTACTTTTATGATATTGATTTAAACTCTGATTATATGTCCACTTCACCTTTAGTATTATGTAACTTTTAAGATTTGACCTAATTTATTTATGGAATTGTCTACATATACATATATTACTACCTTTGTTATTCTTATCGCCACCTGCATAAACCTTATTATCAATATTTTGTCATCATTATAATCATCGTTATAAATTTCGTTCAAAACATTTACCACATTATTATTATTATCATTATTCGAACCAAAAAATCACCATCATTGGTTAAAAATGTTTATATATAAATTTATGTAAATTAGAGTAAAGCCTGAAGAAGATCTAATTGAAAACAACAATATTGTTCGCTTATATGTCTTGTTCTAATATTATAAATCGGAATACTTAAAGATATACTGCATCTAATTTATCGCGCTTCATTTGTTTTTACGCATTAAAGTATAACGTCAAGTGGTATTATTTACTGTCGTGAATTTTTGAATTGTTCAAGACCTCTAAATGACTTTCACGTTTCTAAGAAAAAGTATCACGCAGGTTGGCAAATAGCATTAAAACACACATATACATCGTACTACTTACTGTTCCTCTTATCTTCAGTATCAACTACCATTCTCTGCCCAACAAGATTATGCATCTGCAGTCTCTTTTCACCTCTCTGATACTTATCACAATACTGCTATAATCACTCAACAAGAAACTTGGCTTCACAAGCATTATGGTGACAATCTTGTCTCGCTAAATGGTTTCACGTTATTCTGACAAATCGATTTCATTCCATAAAGAAATGTGGCGGTGGGGTTGTAACTTTTATTCATTCACTGCATGAATAAATCTATGTATGATTCATATTCTTGAGTGACTTTATTGATTGTATTACTGTTAAATGTTATCCCATACACTTATCAACCAATAAACACATTTTTAGAGAGAAGACAAATAGTTCAGCGAAGAGTCTCTTTTCGCCGGCAGTGAATTCATTTTCTTAGCTGTACTATCGTAATTATATATGGGTTATTTTGTATGTATGTGTACATTAAGTTTGTCAAACAAAAATACGATTGATTATGGTTATTTTAACTGAATGGGTGAGAATTGGTAAACTTTGTGTAGAGTTACGTAACGCAAAAACGGCCAGTAAAATTAGGTGTTAATGAACCTAGTGTAGTAACAAAGGTGATGAGTTGTCACAAACAATTGTTAAAAAGGTGTTACAGAAACAGACTGCCTTCGGTAGATTTTTGTTTACTTTGTAAATGACTCTAAATGATGAGTCAGTTGAGATGCTGTGGCAGGTACTGACGAGGTGTTCAGTTATGGCACTTCTGATTGAATCATTGCCTCCTAATTGCAGCTATGCTGGATGATGTTCCCTAACAGGTTTTGATAAGACCCGCATAGAACGATCTATGCACCTAACTCCGCACGAGCAGGTAAACTGATATATGCACAGTGAAGTGGTCATATGCGGATGTCTGTCATTTACGTTGCTCTGAAGTAGTGGGTGGCTGGGGAATATCACTCTTAGAATTGCTGCAGTAAATTTTTTTCTTCAGGGAACTGGAGATTCTACTTTTAAGGATATCTTCTGCTAGGTCTCCAGTGAATTCCGAATTCAAATAAAGTGTTTTCTTTGGCACTGAAGTGCATTCTTCCTTTTTTGGCTTTGGTTTCATGTTCTTCTCCACGAAACGCGGTGGGTATCGATTTTGAGCCAGGATGCTTTTGAGAAATAAAAGCTCTTCTTTTAAACAGCCATCGCTACAAATTCTTCTGGTACTAAAGAGATGATGATAGGTCTTTTACGACTGATAGGTATCCAACTGTAAAAGTTTGTCAGTTGGCCAAGAATTATGAGCAATTGAAGAAACAGGTAAACAAACAAAACTAAGTCATCAAAAATCAGCGAAGTTGTTACCATGATAGTAAAAGTGGTTGAGTAATTCTCGTTTTTGTATGCACATCTTCGGTTTTTTCTAGGTGAATGGCTAGAGCTTCAACGATACAAAGAAGACAAAAACGTATTACCTCTGGTAGGTTATTCTTGACTCTGTAGATTACTTTGAAGCAGGAGGCGTTTGTTGAGGTGGAATGATCAGTGTTAACCAGGTGTTCAATTACTGTACTCCTTACAGCACCACTATTGCCTTTGCGTAAACATGCTGGATAATCTTCTTGAATCCTCTTCGATAGGATGCGCGTCGAACCACCCATGCACCTGGCTCCACAGTATATATGAAATAGAATAACCCATATATATTTGCGATTGTACAGCTAAGAAAATGAATTCGCCAAAAAGAGACTCTTCACTGAACATGTTTTCTTTTCATTAACTTTGAAGTCTGCTGTCTAGATATAATTATCAGACAATAGCTACTGCTCCAGAATAATAAGGCTTGTTCACTGAAACTGGTAAACTCAGGGATATGCTTTAACATCACTCGGTAATATATTCAGAAAAACGAGATAACTTACTTCCAACTGTTGAATAAACGTCAGCATGAGTATATCCTCTAACTGCATGTAAGCGTATTTTGCCACCTAAAGAAAAGAAATTCAATAAAAATAAGTATCACTGTAACTTGTTGACCACGATATCAGTAGAAACGGAATTCTCTCACTGGTTATATTAAGCATTTATCATATTCCTGAAATGCTTCCAGATTAAATTCTTTTCAAAGCCAAGTTTAATTCATTCAGAAACTAACACAATGAGTTTTGCAGGTCATGTATCTAAGAGTGATGTAATCTGAAGTGGATTGATGAAAATTTGATAGATGAGAGGATATCGGAAAAACTTTAGCAGCCACATTGATAAAAAGTAATCTCTAGTTAAGAACGATGTGACTTTAAATACCGCAGAACCGTTTGCAGACACATGATCAAATGCTTTTCACAGCAGAAAAACGTTTCAGGCAGCTGGCTATTTGTTATAACTCCCTTTGGTTCCGAGTAAAGCATAGGGCTTCAGCAGCATATCTCCACGTCGCTCTATTGTCTGCAGTCCTCTTTAGCTGCCTCCGTGAGTGTCCATAAGCTTTCAACTCCTCTTCACACGATCTCCTCCATGTCACTCACGTACCTACATCCAAATCACCGTTTCCTATTCGGGTTCCATTCTACGGCCTAGTGCGTGATATAACTCACTGGTGTTTACAGCGTCTGCCCGATTCATTTCCATTTTCTTCGGCATATTTGTTGGACGATAGCTTCTTGACTTGCTCATCCCCAGAGTTTCTTGTTCCTAATCCTTCTAGTCAACCATTTGATCTTCAGTACTGAGCCAGGGAAGACAGTAGTTGATAAAAGCCTGAAGCTTGTGTGAATTACTTTTGGCGATGCGTGCACCAACTCTCTTAATCATATAGGAGAACTGAATTAACATTAGTATTGAAGATCCGAGTTTTGTTCTTTATGTGGATCTTGCAGCAGATCCCCACAATGACTTCGGATTAATGAACGTCTGCCTTGTCTTGGGCCATGGATATTAGCTCGTTTGCAATGGGTATTAGTTGTGATTATTTGTGTTGTTTTATAATTCCCGTCGTCTTATTCATAATGGACTGAAATGCTTGTTCTCGGTTAACTTATTGCTTCTTTATATAATATATAGTGACTTCTGCAAGTTTCTGACTCCCTTCCGGTAACCGTAAGGTCCTGGGTTCGAATCCCGGTGGGTGCGTACTGCTGAAGAGTCCCAAACTAGGACGAAACAGCTTTCCAGTACTCCCAGGTTTTCCAATGGTTCTCTAACTAATGTCAGCTCATGATGAAATCCTGAAACCAATCAAATCCCTACAACAACTATCCCTTATTATTTATTTCATTTCTACTCATTGTTACTGTTCTTAACTTGAGTTTCTTTCAATTTTAATTTAATTGTACTCAATCCCGTCAATTATATAGTGGTGAAAGCTGTCTGCTAACCGAAATTGGTAGACAGAAATTTACGTCAATGTTTACGTCCTTAAATCTTGGTCATGACAAAAAAACAAGAACAAAGACTAACTCAGCAACCAATCACAGCAGACTTTGCGTGGGCGGATACAATTCGCAGATATATGGTCTGACCTTCAAAGAGACGGCCACAAAAAGATGACAGAGTAAATTCCAGTGAGAAAACGACCAATCAGAAAAGACTGTTTCTCTGCTAATAATAACGTACATAAAAATATATAAATATCTGTTGATGATTTTATCAATAAACTAATTGTTGTTTGTCCCTTGTTTTCTGTCGTTACAACAATACGTCACTTAGTTTATTTGCTTAATTTTATTTCAGTTTCTGCCCGACTAATACTGCTTGTGTGACGTAAGCATTGTCTAAATATTACAGTTTTAATGACAATTCACTATAAATATGCAACTGTACAGCTTGTGAATGACATCTCTGAAAAGAGTGACTCTTTAATAATAATAATTTGCTTTATTCCAGAATCAGTATTAGTGGTACAGTGCGGAATTTTCAACACGTATCTACAATATTGCATCTAATTTCATCGCACATTTAAAAGGAGTATTTCAAAAAATTAATATTTAAAAATTAACAAAAAAAACACGAAAATGACAAAAAAAGTGCAAAAAAATACCAAGTAGAAAGGAAAATAAACAACAATAATAAATAATATCTCAGTATTGGGTGGTGGAAGCTATGATATGTTTATGCGTGGTGAACAGTAAAAACTATAATTATAGAAGAAGTATGAAATGTTATTAAGAATGTTTATAGCCAAGATGATCAGTTAATTTGATTGAAGTACACTAAACAATCATAAAATAAACATTTCAGGGTTTTTATTGTCAACGTTAATGTGGTGTTTGTAGTGGTAGTGTGAGTAATCATGCATCATACAAAAATTTTAGGATGGTGATAACGGCGTTCACAAACAAGATTGTCAGTTTTAATATTGCTGCACAAAAAAACAACCACAAAACTAATATTACATGATGGTTAATGATAGGACAATTTTGTAATACTCATACTGATAATATAGTCGGAACCAGTAGATACACAAAAGAAGGAATAGAATAAAGAATAAAAAAGTAAGCCAATGATAATAATTTTGGGTAGCTAAGTATGTTTAAGAAGGTTGTTCACTATAGAATACAAATAAGGGAGAAATAAAAAAACCTAAAATTATGTTCTAACAACAGAGTAAATTATAGGTTTCGCGCTTAACATTGTCTCTGTCACTTAGAACACGGGCCAAATATGGTATCGTTGAGTTCCTATACTTAGCTGTACGAGCATATATTGTTTTATACTGATTTCTGGTTCTACCTGATGGGATGCAAGGAGAGAGTTGGGAAGAGAGGGGGTGTTCGGGGTCGGAGAGTATGGTTTTAGACCATTTTTCGCATGTATTCAGATCCCTTCCTTCTCAGGATGGTATAGCCCTTTTTTAGTAGCCCAGGAATGATAAATGGGGAGCAGTAAAGTAGAATAGGTAAGATACGAGAATTGACAAATTGTGAAAGTAGAGGTGTGACTCTTCGATTGTTTCCTACAGACTGAATTCTATCAGTCAAGTTTGAAATGTGACCACCATGCTAGGTGGTTGGTCATCATCGTGCAGTATGCATTATTGAGATTAGATGGTTGAAAGAGATCGTCAGGAAGCCATGAACCTAAGTTTCGTGCTTGTCAGCACTCACCAGTCACTAAGGCGTGTCTGCAAGCTTAAAGGAGCATATGTCCCTTTTTGAGAGTCGGACACGTGTCACCCAGTGCTGCAGTCAAACACAATACCACTGAACTGAACGCCTTTTCAGCGAGGATTTTTAATTGACATGCGAAGAAGCAAACATCAAAAACATAAAAATTGACCAGAAATCTTCATCCTTTCAGATTTATAAAATATCTTACTATTTAATTTATCCACTATATATACATATATTTATATATAAAATTTTCTTTTAGTAAAAAAGCGAAGAATAAATTTTAATTTACCTTTAGATTAAGCTTGTTTAAAGCAATTCGTCCCATCATTTTCCAATCAGGATCAGTAAGTCCATAACATCCAAGTTGATAGGCTTCAGTTAACTGACCAGCGCCCAGATAATGATATACAGCTGAACATAATGAAATCTCTACACGATTGATAATGTTTTCATGTAAACAATAGACTAGGGAACCTGTAAACCATAGTGTTGTACCCTGTAAAGTAAGTGGGGTGAGAAAAAAAATGCTCGCTCAATGAGAAGACAGATTTTTCAAAAGTTAGTTTGTAGGCGTTTGATTTGTTTTTAGTTTGATCACTGATTGATGTCAGAGAACAATTGGAAACCACTGGGACATCGCTTTCGTCCTAGTTTTGGACTCATCAACAGTAAGTACCCACTGAAGTTCGAATCCAGGACTTTCTTGTTATAAGGTAAGCTTGTAGACCATTCAGACACTGGTCAGTTTGTTGGTTTTTGCATGCCTGCAAGTCTTCGAGCATGTGCGACATTGGACATATATCATTCACGTGCGAAATCCGGATCTTCTAGAGTCTTCTTTTTCGTGGTCCAGAGTATTCCTGTCTCCTCGTTCCCCAAAGTCTGACGCATAATTCAGTCCACCACAGTTAAGAATACCATCGGTGATAATAGGCAGGCAGCCTTGTCATACTCTTGTAGTCACTTCGAACGCCTCGCTGAGTTTTCCGTTGTGCATCACCTGGCACATGCCACTACTATATGGCTATTTGGAACGTGGCAACTCGAACTGCCGCACTTCAGTGTCAAGTTCTATGTTGAATCCAGACAGACAGAGTACTATATGGTCATCTGTTGAATGAGGTTGATAAGGACTTGCTCACTGCACACCGTAGTGTTGAAGTAGTTTCCTAATTACTTGGCGGTCAACACTGTTGATCTTTTTGAAGTCGGTGAAGTTGAGGTAGTGGGTTTACTGCCATTCTATGCTTTATTCTGTGATGATATTACCTAGTATCCAATAAAATTAAGCCTTCCTTCATAACTCGTTGAAACGTGTATGTTATAGTGATGCTGAACCGTAAACAGCAATACTCCTCCTTTATTCACTGTAGTAAAATACTGATAGTATACTATTATTATTAGTGTTCCCTTGGGTTCTGAGTGGAACATAGGGCTTTAGCAGGAACGGAGTAGATTACTGACTCTCCAGTTGACAATTTCGATACGCCACATCCCTTCCATCTACTCTCTCTCTCAGATTCCGAGCACTACTATGAAGTATTTTCTCATTTCTTTGGCTATCTTTACAGCCTTCCCAGGTTAGTACATTGTATGAACATCCCAAATCCCCATTCTTATTTTTGCTTTCATCGAAAGAAGATATATCGACTGACTGGCTTCCCAAAAGATTTCAGCAGCCCACATCAATTCGTCTTTCCGATTCCAGTAAAAAAAAATTAGGTTTGTTTTTTATATAGTCAAAATTTTTCTTGTGTTCTGAAGTTTCTGTAGCAGTTGAGACTGATTTTCCAGAGTAGGCTCGCTGTTGTCAAGCCTAAAACCCCCATTTTTCCAGGGTTTGGAACCGATTTACAATATCCAGTTAAAACTTTTAAGATCTTAACAACAACAGATTTTCACACAGGTACTGGAGTATTGAATGATATGAGAATGAAGAAATATTGCATATCAGGGAACACTGACCAGCTGACTTTCTCTTTCAGTTATCAAATTTCACACTTTAATGTTCGACTTTCTTATATATTCATTCTGAAATGAAAAATAACTCACTGTATTCTAATGTTGAATGATAACAGTTGAAATTGACTACATTTGGGCTCAGAGTTTCTTTAGCTTCAAAAAAAAATCATCTGAGCATGAAACTATTCGTCAAGAGTATGTATACTTTTCGAGTTTAATTCTAAGAGACTAAGAACAGGGTGTGTTGAAGAGTTTCAGGATAATAGGGAAAAGAAAACACTTACTCACAAACTTTTAAAATCACTGTTGAAATAATAAATTACCTTAGTATACTGACTGTGACTTGGGAATTGTCCATTCTTGATAAATAATAAATTATTTCCGCTATAGGCCAGTAAATCATTATTAGTTGTACTCCAAACCATACTACGCACATTTGGTTCCTAGAGAGGAAAAAAGAAGGTTTTTAAATAAGTAATAATTGCAAATATTCAAGTTATTTCTTTCTATGACATATTACTTACTCCAACTTTGATATTTTTCTGCTTTACATCGATTGTCACAATATTGCATCAACATACTGAACTAATATATTTGTGCGATGAAGTTTCTGTAGCAATTTGGTTAAGTTTTGGGATGGAGTCGCTAGCACCACGCCCCAACCCTCCCTCTTTATCCAGGCTTGGGACCGGCTAGAAAACTAGCGAGGAGGCCACGGGGTGACAACGCGTCAGGCCATTGCTCGAGTGGAACCCGAAAGGAAAGAGGCGAGTGGGTCATCAGTGCAAGAGTGACATGGAGGAGATCGTGTGAAGAGGAGTTGGTTGAAACAGTATGGACTAAGATGGATGCAGGTGAAAAGTACAGCAGAAGACAGAAGCAAGTGGAGACATTCAGTTGAAGCCCTATGTTCCACTAGGAACCCAAGGGAACAATAATAATATAACCGAACCAATACATCATTCTCTCGCTTAGCACTTAACCTTCGGCAATTATTATATTACTGAATTTTTCACTCTGTTTACTACTTCAACTTCTCTGCATGGCTCAACACACAGATCTGCCTGTTTGCCTCCGTGACAGACCAGTCTACTTCCTGTTACTCTGGTTATACATTTCATATGGTTGTGTTCTCCAAGCTGGATAGTTAATTTGCGAAGCTTTCATCACCCTACTAGGCAACACCTTCAGTGCATACTTTAATTTGAAGTGAGCTTTTAGATTTCTCCACGAGTTTATTAACCATCTCTCCTGGTGACGTTGGACATGGCTGGTTGTCTCTGTGTGTTTTCACACTCTCTAAGCTACTTTTATTGGTACTGATTGTTTCTTTGACTTCAACTTTGACTATTTGTGTGTGAGGTTTCCTTCTTATCCGATTGGTAACGTTGTCCCGGTCGAATTGATGTCCATAGTTGTCTGTATGTAGTGGATATAGTGGATATCATGTCTTTTGACGGCTAGCTTATGTTCATGGATACGAAGATGAACGCGACGTCCACTTTGGCCAATGTAGTGTTTTTCGCAGTTGTTACAATTTATTTTGTAGATGATGTTGGTTTTATCTTCTTTCCTTGTTGAGTCTTTTGGTTGACACAGAACTGAACATTCTATCAAGAATTATTCCATGATAAATAAATAAATAAATGACAACATAAAATCATACAATCATCATTTTAATTGTCTGATACAACGACCTAACTAAGATGTAAAGTATTTGTTATGGAAGCTGTGCGTTGATGTCCTCGGACTTTACAGACTAATTCGCCTTGATGGAAAACTAGCATAGAATGACATAATTCTGCTGTTATAGAGCAACAAAATATTTCGTAAACAAGTTTGTCACGATTAGTTGATATTGGATAATTGGAGGCAATCGGCAGGAAGCTTTGCAACCAGGTTTTGGGCTAGTCGGCACTCGTCAGTAAATCGTATCTGCAACTCTAAAGGAACCAAGTTTTAAGGCTTCCTGCAGATTGCCTCCAACTATCTTATATTAACAATCTAAAAGGCACCTTGATGGTGGGCTACCTAGTGGAATGCTGGCTACATTGCAAACCTGACTGACTGATAGAATTCAGTCTGCAGTAAACAAAAGGACTAGATACACATCACACTAGTCACTGACTAGTGTCCAATCAACGTTTGTCAGGGTTGATTGATTTACGCAGCAGACAGTTGAATGTTTTTTTCATACAGAAATTGACCTAGTGAGTTGAATTAAAATTTTAAAAAAGTAGTTTGAGGAAGCAGCTAGCTAACTGATACTGGCGGAACGGACACTAATAAAACATGCTACAATTGCGACGCTGATAGGAAGGAATTCAAAAGATTATTAAGACTGCATATGACACCCTAATTGAAAACAGCTATCCCGAAAAGTTCATCAAGAAGCACATATATAAAAGAGCAGAAAACGACTTTTCTCCATCTGTATATAACAAGCCTTTATATATATGACTGCAATTCAAGGATGGCGCAACTAGTGAAATAATTACTTCAAAGTTAATAAAATCTATCCATCAAAGAAACTTTTAATTCTGGTGAACTACAAGTCATGTTTTCTACATGACCGATGGTGGTTCTTCAATTGAAAGATGAAGCACCTAGGCTAACCACTTCTAATTGTATCTACCAATTCAACTGAGTTTGTGGAGCGAGTTATATTGGCCGTTTCTTTAGGAACTTGATTTTTCGTGCTCACTAGGGAACACCTACCAGTGTGGCTGAATAATAATGTAGTAAAAACGATCAACAGTTTGATATTAGACATTTGGTCCAGCACTGAACAATCCTTCTCTATCGTCTACTGGTACCAAACATCCAGGTACCACATCCTCCGAACAGAAGAGGCCAACGCGATTCGCATCAAAACAGCCAGTGCTTTGTGTGTAAAAGGAGCAAGTCCAGCCACTACTACTGCCCTGGAGACTATAAATTCGTGAATTTGTATTATTATCTTTCCTAATTTGCTTGTCTGATATTCATTCATTCATTATAATGTGTATATATAACTGTAGAGCCTGATGAAGAAGAAGATATCGAAAAGAGTATTCTTTGTTCAGTAACCATTCTATTGAAAAATTTTAATGGGCATTTTTATTCAGTTTAAATTCCATATAGTTTTTTTCTAGTAAGACATTTCTAAAGGGTACTTTTACATAGTTTCTTGACTCGTTTGCTTTTATTCTGCCTGTAGAATATTACTGAAAATCGTGGCATCAAGGTTATTTCAGTTGTATAACCTTCATTCAAAATAACCTAAGCAAAAGTTTGCCTGATATTACTACTTATATTTACAAAAGTGTTATAAAAAGATTCCAAAATACAAAAACTAACCTGAAATAACATCTCTTTAGTATCTAGAGAAAATACACTCATAGTTCCATTATCATCAAGTGCAGCAAGTTTATCTCGATTTCTGCTTATGTCTACAGATGATATTCCATTCATCAGTTTAGTCAAAACCATAGGAAATGTGTTATCTAAGACGATTTGAATCACCTGCGTATAAAATGCAAAATTAAAGAATTAAATAAGTTTCAGGATTTCATCATGAGCTGACATTAGTTAGAGAACCATTGGAAAACCAGCTGGGAGTACTGGACAACTGTTTCGTCCTAATTCGCGACTCTTCAGCAGTACGCACCCACAGGGATTCGAACCCAGGACCTTCCGGTTACAAGGCAAGCTCGTATACCATTAAGCCACTGGGACCCGATCCAATGGTCCTTGAATTCTAACTTCTGCCAATTCACGATATAGCGCGACCGCTAGCCAATGTCTTCGGCGAGTATTTGTCCTCACACCCGACCTGCTGCACCCTACTGGTCACGACGTCCCACTGAAATCCAGGTATAGGGCCAGTCCCCAGTGAGCATTTCATTGGTTTTCAATTAAAAAGTCATTGTGCACAAACTTAGTAAGTAATTAGTGACTACAGCTCAGTTTCCAATCATCTTAACTTAATTAACTGACATTTTCGTCAGTCGATTATTATGTGTAAAACAATACAGCCATGAAATGTGACATTACTCACTAGAAAAAGGTGAAATGATAAGATTTTGATAATTTGTCTGTGTATATGCGTCAATTAAGTGTTCATTTTTGAAATGAGAATTGTTTGTTTCAATACAATTGACAGATTCGTACAACGAATTCACGATAAGGTGCAACCACCAGCACTACAACAACAGTGACCGCTGCTACTACAGCTACTTCTACTAATCGAAGACAAAGAACTACACGTAATACTGTTGGTATAAGTTCTTCTGACGCATCGACCAGTCGTACTCGTCGTCTTCGGGGAAGACCTCCTTCTTCTCTAACTGTAACTACCACAACTACTACTATCACAACTTCTAGAACAATATCAGCTACTACTGGTACTGTAACAGTATCTTCTACTAGTCGTCGTACAAATACTATGGCTAGAAGACGAAATCAAAGGAATGTCTTGGAGAGACAATTCTAGTCAGTCTAGCACTGTTTCGCTTACATCGGCTGTTGCTCAGTCAATTGACAGTAGATGTAACCAAAATGAATTAATATCAAATCCACACAATGCTCAAGCGAACATCACGTGTTCTAATGGAATCAGTGAGGTTAGTTGCTTAGCCTTTACAAACCACCTAAACATTTTCTTTGTACTAAAGACACGAAAAGGCTAGCTGTCTTTGATCATAGGTGTGTCTGCGTTCTATCTCCCGTATGCAGTGGTATAATAGGGAGAGCAATATTGATGTTACGCGTCGGTCGAGGGGAAGTCAATAGACGAGGCTGTGAAGTTACATCGACTGAGATGGTTAGGACATGTGTTATGCATACCAGCGATACATCGCCTTTCTCGAAAATGAGCCATGTCAACTAGCTAACATAGGATTGATCAGGTTGGGAAAAAGGGAGCTTGTGGTGGTCAAACCAAGATATGGCTTCATCAGTCAATGAAATCCACAACAGTTAGTTTAAGCCAGCCACGTAGGTAGGTGTGGACTGGCTTTCTGGTTGTGACCCTTGGGACGGTAAACACCAATAGCTGTAGATAACTGGCGATATGGCTCGAAATCGTTCTCAATGGCACAGATGCATTCGCTCCTTGTGACTTATAATACCCAATAAAACTATATAGTTCTTCGACATTACTATTCTTTTTGCCTTATATCCCTGGTTACTGTCTCTATTTTCCATTTCTTTTTACTTTCTTCTCTTGCTTTGTGTGCTACATAGAGTGTGGAGACTTGAACTGCGCAAAGTTCTATGTCGAAAACAGACAGACAGACAAGCTAACATGGAATAAGGCCATTATTATAACTATTGCAACGGTAGAAGACGAGAGAATTGGTAAAGAATGTTTATATGCAATTTGGTATCTTTATATAGCCAAATTATGTACACGCTTTTCTTCAAGTCACCATTTGAACGATCTTCTTTGTGGTGCTGTTTCTCGCCTTCCTTCATATTGTGTCTCTTTGTGTTCCTTTCATGTCTCCCACGTATCTCTACAACGCTGTATCATTTCCTTCCTCTGACATAAAGTCTTTACCCTCCTATTTGATGTGTCTTATGCCGATGAACATCTCTTCACATATATACTATTAATAAATCTTATCAGTAGCACACGCCACACTATCAGTACACTTTGTACAGCCTTGTGATTAAGTCGTCTGTTCTATTATCGAAAATTTAACAATTACAACTGGACAGAAAAATGTGGTAATTAATTAAGTAAATATCGTGAAGCAGAATGACTTACTTGTCCATTTTTCAATCCTAGGAGTAGACATTCTTTATTCTGTAGACCACCAATTATACGAAGACATTTCACGGGACTGTCAACTATCCATTCACGTTCTTTAATACCCTAAATAGAAAAGAAGAACTATTAGAGTTGCTGCTCAGCTCTCAACAACTACTGTGTGAAATTGAATTCTTTCATATATTGAGAAAGTTATGACCTTCTTCCCCTCTGTTTGCCTCGAAGTTTTTCATCATTTGGAATGGTTAGTGTTCAATCCATTTAACGACTTGTCGCATTTATCCACATATTTTTGGGATTGTTTATCTCACTACTCACAATAAATGAGTAGTACTGTCACAGCCAATTTATGTTTTACATCATCGAATACTAAAGAAGCCAACAGCATTACATCAGTTTTCAAAATAAATTACTGCGCGAAGTTCAAGAATAGAGTCCCAGGAGTGAGAACGCTCAAATGACCGCATGCTAGTGGTCGGCTGAAGAAACTTACGATATACTCGGATATGTAGTTCCAGTGCTTCAATGAGCCTGCAACCATATTCATAGGTCATTGATGGATATATATTTAGATATATGGGGGTTAGGAAACGAACGAGTGTTCTTACTGGTAAGTGACACTAACAGTTAATTGTCTTCTAGGAACTTTCTTTGCTAAATCGAAACTTTCTTTGACGAATATACTGTTTTTTTTTCCATTACTGGATTTTGAAGTTCGGAGTGAGGTCAGCTGCCCCTCAGTAAGAAAATACGCTGACGTCTACTGTTCAGTGGTTTCAGTTTTGTCGAGATTTATCATCATGGAAAATGAACAGTATTACACTAGTGTAGGGAGGAGTCCGTGTTATCGTTCATATCGACAAAACAGTGCTTATAAATAAGAAATACAATCACAGACGTGCTAGAGCTAACAACGCTTGGGTATTTGGAATTTATGACACCCAAATTCAGAAAGAATTCATTGAACTTATTCCACGTAGGAGTGCCGACATTCTTCTGCCTATTATTCAAAGACTCGTTTTGCCTAGTACTACTGTACGCACCGATTAACTGGCAGGATATAACCGATTATCGGATTAAGGATATATACATAACCGAGTTAACCATTCCTATGATTTCCTTGATCCTAGAACAGGCACTCATACCAATTCAAGGGAGGGTTTCTACGGAAGATTAAAAAATAGAATAAGAGCAATAAATGGCTCTCAAAACCAAGTACTTTTTAATAACCTGGATGAATACATGTATAGAAATTGGTTTAATTTAAAAACTGAAAAACCTCATTATAAGTGTGACATATTTTTACGTTATATTAGAGAAAAATATCCTGTTCAATCCATTTTCATGCCTTTTTAATCTAAATATACGTAATGTTTTGTGCAAAAATCCCTCATTTTTCTGATTGGTAGGCTCAAGGTCACTCGTGCGTTCGCATCCCTTGGGACGCTCTATTGTAGAACTTTGCTAATTCCAGTGTACTGGTTCACCATCATCCTTGTTATACACGCTGATTTTGAATACATGGTTTTCATCTACGCAGGCAAGGATACCATCATAGAAAAATTCGGCAGTAGGAATTCTCGTTATATTATTCCATAATCTGCGGTAAACTCAGAATCCAGATTTCTTGTAGATTAGTACCCATCATCAAAGATCCTGACTCACTTCACCATTCAGTTTTATGGCTATCATATATCTCGAGAAGTAAAATACATCCATACAGTTAATCAATAACTCTGACACTTAATTTCAACCACAGTATTAACTGATCAATAAAATTCTATCAACACTGGCGTTTGAAGTGTATACGCTCTACACAGATTTGTTTGGTAAAACACATAGTGATGATACAGTATTACTAACAGAATGACGTTTTGAGCAGAGTCTATTGCTCACAGTCATATCAAAGCATTAACTTCACACAGAGAAGGAAAATCAAAGGCTTCATGTAGGATACTTAATAAGGTTAGAATTAGGGTGGTATTTAAACTAACCAACCAACCAACTCTCATCCAGAGACAAACCCTACTGGCTTGCAGACTCAATAAATTCAATTAGGAAATGGATGATTGTGAGGTCACTTACATAGGCAGACTAGTAGATCAGGGTCATCTGGATTACCGGAAGATAGAAATTTTGCCAGAATGATTGACCCCGCTAAGATAGATAATCTAGAAGAAAGCTCATCCATTGTGACTCAACCACACACAATAGGTTGCGACAGAGTAGAAGTATTTAAAAGAAATGTAGTTAAGTGGAGAGAGAGAAACAGAGATTGTGGTGAGAGCTGTCTGCTCGCCAAAATTAGTAGACAACAATTTACGTCAATGTTTACGTCTCAAATCTTGGTTATGAAAAAAAACAAGAATAAATCCTAATCTTGACGAATTCAACAACCAATCACAGCAGACTTTGCGTGGGTGGAGACGATTCGCAGATATATCACCGGAATGTTTAAGAAACGAAAACAAAGAGATGACAGAATAACCTTGAGCAGGAAAACAACCAATCAGAAGACGCTGCTTCTCTACTAACAATAACGCCAATAATGACGTACATGATAATCTATAAATATCTGTTGATTTTCTCAATAAACGATCTGTTGTCTGGCCTTTGTCTTCTGTCGTTACAAGACTAATCATAGGATCTTTCTCCATCGAATCAACACCAAAAAAAGGGCAATCAGAATGACCCATCTCCTATCTTGGATATATGCATAAATTGCAACGAAAATCAAGAGGAAGTGTTAATGCACTGATAGAATTATGAGCAATAAAATGTGCTCTAAATGTCACACATTTACTAATACTCAATCACTGTGTGTTACATAAAATAAAATTCACTATTATGGCCTTATATTCCATCAAAGAGTTCAAATCCTACTCAATAACGAAGTTTGTACTATCCATTCCCTTTCAAGTGATCTGTTGACCGATAGAACTCCTTCATAATTCTGATTAAATGACAAAAATAATCATAAGTGTCTATCAGAAATAATCAAACTTCATTTCTGCTAATGATCAAAATCACATTCTACATATCAAAACAAATAATAATAATAAGCCGAGTCAGAACACCAACAAGAAACCGTCATCAAAGACTACAAGAAAATTCATCCTACCATATATAAAAAATACCTCTGAAATAACAGCTAGAATATTAAAGCCGTTTCAAATACATATAGAACACAAGACAGTCAGCCAGTCCAATCACTTCATTCGAAATAATGCAAACCGAAAGATCCAACAGAAAAAGGAATAAAATTAATACCATTTACAAAATAAATTGTATGAACTGTAAGAGACAGTACATCGGCCAAATTGGGCGTCCTCTTCGAATCATAATCCAGGAACACAATGCATGTAGATAATTACGGACACAAACTTGATTAGGAGAATATCAAATTTTAAATAGAGGGAAGAGTAAAGTGCCAGGGAACTCCTAGAAGCCTGGTACTCAAACGAATATGCAATTAACAAACATGTTAATATAGACCAAATATACCAACAGAAGGCTGAGTACATCACTAGCCGTAGCCTATCCTGCTGCCAAGCTCGTTCCCGTCTATCGAACAACTTGCTCTTTGGTGCAATCAAAAATCGATAGATATCCTTCTCATGTTACCTCCAACTGTGTATACAAATTTACATGTATCTGCGGGAGCAGTTACATTGGAAGGACAGAAAGAAGGGCATATCTACGATTTTGTGAACATGTACCAAAAAGCTTACGTCTAAAGGGAACAAATGCTTTAAACAGTGCCATCACCAGGCATCTTCTCGACACGGGTCATGAGGTGGACGTTGAAAAGTCGTTCAAAATTATCAATAAGCAAAATAGCTCAATTCTCCTTAAGTTTGCTGAAGCCATTTCCATCAAGCGCCTGAAACCTGATTTATGCGTCCAGAAAGAAGCGGTTATCAGCCTTTTTTGCCCTGGTAACTGGATAATTTCACCTCTCTTTCCTCCGAATGTGAAATGCTAAAAGTTTCCATTGTGTTTGATTATTATTGTTCGGAATAGTGGTTAATATTGCATATTTATATATGTATATATTTTTAGTGTATGCGTATATTGATCGATTGATTTTTTTGGTTAAAATGAACTCTGTGCAAGTATGTTAAAATTGTTGTTGTAGATATATTAATAATGTCTTTGCCATGTAAGCAGCTGACGAGAAGGCAACGAAATAAAAGATGGTACCATTTTATTCTGCTAAAACTGTAGTTCTTGCATTGTTCAAAAAAGTAAATCACATGACGAGGAATTTCAAAATCCAATTCAATAAAAAATGATCTGTACAGATGTAAATCGACTACCAGTCACGAAGATGACTACCAGGAGACGCAATTTATCATTCATGGAGAATTCGAATCAGTTCATTTTATGTTAAAACTTGCGCTGAAGAGAGATGTTGTTCAGAAGGACGATGAAAACTTCGCATTTAAACCAACCAGCTAACAGAACACAACTAATTGCACATCAAAAGAAAGCATAAAATTTTGTCAAATAACTCACCTGGAAATTGATACACGTTAAACAAGATTCATAACAAATAATCAGACTGTTTGTAAATATGGCTAAATGATGACAATCGAAATTTTGGGTTAATTTCTCACGAACTCGATAATGCATATCTCTGAGATCATCACTAGGTGATTCATAAATTAAAATTTTATCTGAAAGTTGAATCTACAAAAGAATTGAAAAAAAACAACAGTTAACAGTGAATGACTAGATAAAATTAAGATGCTGCTTCTATTAAAGCTGAATATTTTCCCTTTACAATAGTGAACTACTTAAATCTTGTGAGTAATACTGTTGCCCTCGTTTGAGGCTGAGCTTATCATTGCTGTATCTGAGGGACGACATTACCATTATTATTATTCTCTTAGGTTTCGAGGGGAACATACGACTTCAACAAAACGTTTCATCCTGTTCTCTGCAGCCGTTTTTAGCTGGCTTCACGATTGCTCATAGGCTTTCATCCCTTCCTCACACGATCCCATCGGATCTTCCGCCCATCGTTTCCCAATAAGGTTCCACTCAAAGGCCTGGTATGCCCCACTTCTTGCAGAGTCCCAACTTTTTTTGATTACAGCTTGATTCCACACTGTATTTTTGGTACAAGTATGGAATTTTCAGCATGGATATCGGTAGGCCAAACTTTGCAGGCCGACCATAGATATCACGTGTGCGCCGGCAGTTGCCCTTCTTTGGTAGTTTGACAAAGTAGCCCTTCTTCCAATCAGTAGACATCTTTCCTTCCTTCTAATGTTTTGCAATAGTGTTGTCAGCATATCCCTACACTTTGTGGGTCGTTTTTCAGTGGTTCACGAGGAATTCTGTCCGATCCAACTATCTTCAGGAGCTCGATTGCATTCAAGACCTCTGCTTTTGTTGGGCGAGTTGGTGTTCAATGCTGGTTTTGTGGTTGTTGGTGTTATTTCTGGACTCGCTTCAGGTGATGGTCAATTCGAGAGTCCTTCAAAGGGATCAACCTAAAATTTCTTTCGTTTCTCCTAGAAATAAATTTTTTCTTTCCTAGTGACCTCCTTCACTTCTCTATTGAGTGCGTTGTTCATTGAACTGAACATAAAATGAACTGATTCGAATTCGCCATGAATGATAGAATTGTGTCTCCTGGCACCTATCTTCATGACTGGTAGTCAATTAACATCTGTACTGATCATTTTTTATTGACTTGGATTTTGAACTTTCTCGTCATGTGATTTACTTTTTATTAGTTGGTATATTTGGTCTATATTAACATGTTTGTCAATTGCATATTCGTTTGAGTACCAGGCTTCTAGGAGTTCCCTGGCACTTTACTCTTCCCTCTATTTAAAATTTCGATATTCTCCTAATCACGTTTGTGTCTGTAATTATCTACATGCATTATGTTCCTGGATTATGATTCGAAGAGGACGCCCAATTTGGCCGATGTAGTGTCTCTTACAGTTCATACAATTTATTTTGTAAATGGTATTAATTTTATCTCCTTTTTCTGTTGGATCTTTCTGTTTGCATTATTTCGAATGAAGTGATTGGACTGGCTGACTGGCTTGTGTTCATTATCTATTTGAAACGGCTTTAATATTCTAGCTGTTATTTCAGAGGTATTTTTTTATATATGGTAGGATGAATTTTCTGGTTGATATTGTGACTGAATTTTAAACGTTTTTTTTTGATGAAATTGTGAGGATATCATTTCTTTTTGAAGTCGGTTACTAGGTGGTATGCTTCCTCCATTCTCCTTAACACAGGAGTGCTACAGTCTGTTTGAGCTCTTTTAAACAATGTCCAAACGTTTGCATATCACACCTACTCACTCAATCCTTATTATTTGTCATTGTTCTTGTGAAATCCTAAATTCAAACGTTTCTCTATGCGATTGTGTGATGGCGCTGATAATGTTTTAATCCACAATTCTGATTTTGTTTGAATGAGGTCAAGGTTAACCGTGGGGATTTTGTTTACGGTGTGTGTCTCTCTTGTGGACAGAGTTTTGAGTCCACTGTATTGTTAGGATTATTTTTTTCTTTATTCATAGGAACTTCTTAAAGTTGATTTCTGTTTAATCATTTTGTTGTATAGCTCTTGTTTTGTATTTGGGAAAGACCTGCATCTCTGTATAGCTTCATAACATTATTGTTGAGGTAATTTTGGTCTTTGATATTTCATTACTACTATTTAGTAGTATAGCAAATTGTATTGCAAATAACTGTCATTTTACAATCGTCATGACATTTCCGGACTGTGAGTAACTGAAAGAAGTTTTGTTTATCTATATGGTTGGACGCGAAGATTGGTTTCCAGCGTTGAGAACTCAACACGTAGATTTTTTTAGCTACATTTGCTTCAGGCAGTAGGCAGTTGGATAGGATAGCCAGCTCCCACACTCAATATGTAGGAATCATAACTGGATACATAAAATACTTTTGTTCCGGGCAACCCAATTCTAACACAATCGATAAACACTCTGACTTTAGAAGTTAGTTGGCTGGATGGTGACTAGAAGTGTAATCCAGCCAGAATGTGCATTTCCTCCTATTTGGGGCTCGTCATCTGGATGTACCTGCATTCCCCAGTGAGTCAGTGATGATGTTCCCACCGAGGCTCAAACCTAGTGTCCATAGTTTCAAACGCCAAAGCTTTATCCACTAGACCACTTGGGCCTAAAGAGAGCCACTTCTCCTGCAACGGGTCATATTAATTATTTCATTCAATAGTTACCATCCACCAGTTAACATCGTCGAAGTATCTTAACAAGAAGCCTACATGTCAACCTGAGACCGAGCACTTCGACCCAATCAACCGACGGAAAAATCTAAAACTGAATTAAATACCCTGACTTCATTCCTAACTTATTGAATTATAAAGCGTGCCACCACGCCAAAACGACTATAGTTTAATTAAACAAGAATGAATCTTTTTAACCTAATTCAAAAAGAAAACAACTTACAGCTAGCAGATTTTTGAATAATGATATCTTCTTCACATAATCCCTGCATTTAATACGTGCTAAATAGATACGGATAATTAAGATATTATATATGTCTAAGCAAAGTTCACATTTAACAGTTCAAAAAAATTTGGCCACGGCTATATGATATTCATTATAATAAAGGTATTTTGTATTCCCCAATGAATGAAAAACAAAACGATATTGTTTTTACTGACGTTTCGCCATCTAATGCTAATAGATTCATCAAAGTATTATTAAACCAGAATTTACAAAATCTCAGATTATATAAATAGCAACTTAATCATCGTTGCTCAACATGGGGTCATTTTTGCGTTGTCAAGTTGGACAATTGGTACAGATAAGGAAACCAGGTGTAGATTGTTGGATTTGATAAGTGTGTAAAACTATAAAAACAGCATATGTTTACATGGAATTGCTTACCACATTCGTGTTGATTTTGTCACTTCATTGGGGAGGGGGGGGGGTGTTGTAACCAGGTCAAACTCTGTTTTAGTCCATCATTCCTATTCACCAGAAAATTTGCTTCTGATGATCTCAGACGTTCTTGGTGATTTCTGAAATACTTTTTCTGGATGATGATTTCAATATTGTCAAAATCAATTTTGTGGTCTGATTCTATAGCGTGTAGGTGACCCATGAGTGATGATTTTTCAAGCTTTTCTAGTTCACTAACTGGATTTCTTGGTGGTCGAACAGATGCTCTACGGTGTTCATTTCTTCTGATATTGATTGCTCTCTGGCAATGTTTGTCCGATGTATATCGCATGATATTCGAGCAAGCACTTGATTTTATAGACACAATTAAGTAGAGAATCTTTAGGGATTTGGTCTTTTATATGGACAAGGTTGTTTTGCAGTGTGTCTGGTGTTTTGAAGAAAACTCTGATGGTGAGCTTATTGAGTGCTCTTCTGATATCGTCTGATGTCTCCGCCCTATATAAAATGACAACTGTTGAAGTTCTTGTTTTTGGAATACGTTTTCGATCATACTTAATATCAGTGTTGATTTTGTTGATGAAGTTCGTTGGGTAGTTGTTTTGCCTGGGAGTTTCAGTAATGTTTGATATTTCTTCCTCTTCTTTTTCTTTCTTATCCTTTATCATCAAGTGTGCTCGTCTGAGGAACGATGATTAAGTTGTTATTTATATGCTGAGATTTTGTAAATTCTGGTTTAATAATACTTTGATGAATCTATTAGCATTATATGGCGAAACGTCATTAAAAACAGTATCGTTTTGTTTTTCATTCATTGGGAAATACAAGAAAACCTTCCTTTATTATAATAAAAGTATTATCGATAATTTATGAGAATCTGACTTTCTAAATCATGCTTATTGCTATTTGTAATCAACCAGCCTCCATAGTGTAAGGGTAATTTTAGTGTAATCGTCTCCTAATTCAATGTATCATCTATGCTAACAGGTGATCTGATCGGATGAAGAGGGTAAAGAGTCGAGATTTGTTCTTATATGTGCTAATCTCATTCTCAGAATACCCAATCCTCAACCATGACTTCTAGCGATTTAAATATATTTGTCTATTTGGAAAACAAAGGTATGAAGACGCAAATGATGGATATATTTAATTGTATTTTGTATAATGATATTTCTATCGAAGGGGTTCGAACCCAGGACTTTCTGGTTACAAGTCCTGGGTTCGAACCCCTGTGATGGGTGCGTACTGATGAAGAGTCCCAAACAAGGAAGAAACAGCTGTCCAGTACTCCCACGTTTCTCAATTTATTAATCTAGACAGTTGCCCCATGCCCAGCACAGTACTCCCAGTTGGTTTTCCAGTAGTTCTCTAACTGATGTCAGCTCATGATGAAATCCTCCATTCAATCAAACAAAATCCCTACAAAAACAATACTTGGAAATTGAGTAACATTTGTATCCATGGGTTATAGAGAAATATGGAGGTTTTCAAATATATCATCACAAACCGACATCGGTAATAGAGAACCAGTGAAAATTTAGGCATAATGGACAACCACTGGAACATGGATAGTGGTTAAATGATGGTATGCTAACCTCGTTACCTAATATCCCATGATTCGATCGTAATTGGAGTTATGAGCACTCACTGGGAAGAGGTCTCCAACTAGGACGAAACACATAGTTGCCATTAGTTTTCTAGCTGGTGTTGATTCATCATGAGCTGACATTAGTTACATAACCGTTGGAAAACCAACTGGAAGTAATGGACAGCTGTCTCTTCCGTCCTAGTTTGGGACTCTTCAGCAGTACACACCCACCTAGATTCGCACTCAGAACATTCCGGTCACAAGCTGAGCTCGTTGATTCGTAACTTAATCTAACTTGAATTACGGAAATAAGAACAAACAGTTCACTGAATAGTCTCTTTCCGGCGAATTCATTCATTTAGCTGTACAGTAGAAAGTACATATAATTATTTGTTTGTAATATATGTGTACATTATGTTTGTCGAACAAGAATAAAAATTGGTTAGGGTTATTGTCTACATAGTGAATGACCAGTATTGAATGTTTATTAAATTCCGGCACTTCTTATTGATCCACTGTCACCTTTTCGTAGCCAAGAGGGAGAAACAATGTTCTTTGACTCTTTTAGATAAAACACGCATTGAACGACCTATGCATCTCGCTCCACAGGAGCAAGTGAATTGGCATAAACACACATAGAAGTGGTCAAATACGATATTTTATCTTTACAGTTGTTAAAGAACATTGGGCAGCATGAGAATATCAATCGTGATTTAGCAGCAGGCATTTCATATTCTTTTGTTTAGGATGCCGCCCAGAAGGTCACCTGTGAGCACCACATTCATGAATAGCATCTTCTTTGGCATAGAGATGGAGCATTCTCTGTTGGTTTTAGACTTTATGTATTTATCTATAAAGCGTGAGGAATGGTAGCCATTCTCAAATAATGTCTTCCTCAAAACAGTATAGTTTCAAGTTCAACTATTATCACTATTTTGTGCATATTTTTTACATGACATTTATCATTATTATTATTATTATATCCTTTAATTCCTAGAGGAACATAGGGCTTCAGCCACGCGTCTCCATTGCCTTCGGTTTTCTGCCAACTTTTTCACTCCGCTCCAGTCTGTCCACATGCATTCATCTCCTCTTCACATGAACTCCTCCAAGTCACCCTTGCACTGACGCCCAACTCGCCGCTTCCCTTTCGGGTTCCACTCGAGCGATGGCTTGTCTAGTGATGTCACTTGATGGTTTTCTCAGCGTATGGCCAATCCAATCCATCTCCATTTCTTCCTGCCTATTTGTTTCACAATAGGTTCCTGGTTGGTTCGCTCACTGCCAGAGATCCCTGTTGCTGATCTTTTCTGGCTAGCCATCTGATCTTGATTAGTAGTGAGCGAAGACAACTGTTAACGAAGGTCTGAAGTTTGTTTGAGATGCTCTTTATGACGCGCTGGCCAAGTCTCTGATCCGTATAGTAAATGGCACTGACTTCACATTGGAGTTGAAAATCCGGATCTTATTTTTGATGCTGAGTGTTGTTGACCTCCACACAGACTTCAGAGTAATGAAAGCTTGTCTTGCTTTTCCGATTCTGGCTTTGATATCCTACTCAGTTCCGTCCGCCTGTAGTTGAAACGATGCTTCCCAGGTAGGTAAAGGAGGTTGTTTCTTTCAGGTTCCTCCCATTTATAGCTGATTGTTGTCTGTTGGCCAGGAATCTTCATCACTTCTGTCTTCTCTATGTTCACCTGAAGTCCTATCTTCTCTAGAGGATTCTTCTGCCAGCTTGTTGCTTTTCACTTGCATATCTTCCAGTTTGTTGGAAATCAGACATATATCATCGGGGAAATCCAGATCCTCCAAGTCTCTTTTTGTGTGACTCCATTTTATGCCTGTTTCCTCATTGCCCGCCGTTGTCTGTCGCATTATCCAATCTACTGCAATCAGGGAGATCATTGGCGATAGTATAATCATTTTCTTAACTAACCTTTTGTTCACTCTTTTCACCAAATACATAATTTATTTTGATACTTGCCTCCATACTCTTTCATTAACATCCAATTCTCTTTGAGTGTTTTCGCATTTCGTGACCCTAGTCAAAATGTACTAATCCTCAGCCCCTTCCTCCCACTCTGTTTTTACAATTTCTTACAATGTTCAACCCTTTTTCTAAAGAAAAACAAATATGATGGAGAAGATTTGTAGCTCAGGTGGATGATTTTGATTTAGTTGTGTTCTCTGAGCTGGATAGTTAATTTGCGAAGCTTTCATCGCCCTACTAGGCAACATCTCCAGCGCATACTTCAATTTGAACTGAGCTTTTAGATTTCTCCACGAGTTTATTAATCATCTCTCCTGGTTACCTTGGACGTGATTGGTTGTCTCTGTGTGTTTTCACACTTCAAATTAATGTAAGCGGTGAAGATGTCGCCTAGTAGGGCGATGAAATCGTAGCAAACTAACCATCCAGCTCAGAGAACACAACCACATCAAAAAAGAAAAACAAGTCTCCCTTTACTGTTTGACTAAATTCCATTTCAATGGTCATGTCTGATTAGGTTAAATATTCCACCCTAAAACGAACGTTTCTGATGACATCGATGACCAGAGGTCGAGTTCAATAATGTCTTCAGTCAAACGGTAGATTTGAATGCAAAGAATGTGGGCTTACACTTGTTAAAAGAGTGAGTAATTTTAGATTAACTGAAATACACTTCCCCCCCCACACACACACTCTTTTAATCTAGATATCATATAGACTGGATGAATACCAGAAGAATATACTATTATAGCAGTAACACTATTATTCTAAGAATTATACATACTTACAGCAAATTTTGAAATCCCTAATTATTCTGGAATTTGTGCTTTGTGATAATTATCAACAGATAGGCTTGTTATTTCAAGACATCTAACTCAGTCTTCAAAACTCCAAACCTACAACGTCAGTTAGACACTATACCTCTAGTCTGTGGATATAAAGTAGACCTATGGTCGGAGGAAATATCAACATTATCAAAGATTCAACGAAATATTCAACAGATCCTATATCATTTACACCTCTCAAAGATTATGAGGATACCCTCAACATTTCTATACTGTATATTGCTTCAAAACGTTATCAGGTGTCTATTTTTTGAAATACCGCCATGTTTAAATTGGCTGCACCTTACTAAGAATATACTGAACACAGTAAAAAGGATGAAGTAGACACACAGAGAGGGAGAGAACCTTTCGCTTGGTCTTATTCCTCATAGTCTTACCTTTTTGTTCAGTTATTAAGTGTTGTACAACAACATCTGTAAGGGATTCACGATAGGCAAAACGATCTTTATAAAAACTCTGTACAGGTTCTAATATTAATTGTATAGCTTCTATTGTTCCATCTTGACAACCAACAACCTGAAAAAAAGAATTTAAAAAAAAAAAACATTTTATGCATCAAATAATTAACACTTCAGAAATGATAGACTGTAAACTCGATCACTGGATGACAAATAATCTTGTTCATCAAAATCTGTTTGTCACATATCAGATGAGATTATGATTTAGTTGTCTTGTCTGAGCCGGTTAATTTAATCATGAGGCTTTTGTCGTTCTTTTAGACAACATCTTCCTTCAGCGCAGGCCTTAATGTAAAGTGAAATTTTTGAATTCTTCATGAAAGCTACAGTTGTATTTCCTAACAACCATTGTCGTAACTGGGTGTTAATTTACATCTCTATTGATTATTATTTTATTGACTTAGAATTTGAACTATTTTTTCATGTGGTTTATACTTTATTATTTGATAAATCTGATGTATAGTAACGTGTTTTTGGTAAACGCTGATTCATCTGACTACCAGGCTTCTAGTAATTCCCTGACAGCTTCAATGTTTCCTCTGTTTAAAATTTCTACATTCTCCTAATCAAAATTAGTGTCCGTTAATAAGAAAGAATACATAACACGTCTTTCCACAGCTAATTTATGTTCATAGATCCTGAGTCGAAGGTGACTCCCACTTTGACCAATGTAGAGTTTATCGCAGTTTATACAATTTATTTTGTAAATGATCTTGTCTTCTTTCGGTGTTGAATCCCTTGATCTTCCAATATTGAATAAAGTGATTGTGTTAGCTTGTGTGCCATTTCTGTTTCAAGTGGTTTTAGTACTCTAGAAGTTATTTCAGGGGTATTTTTTGCTTATAGTAGAATGAATTTTCTTATGGTCTTCGAGTGTGGTTTCTTGTTGGCACTTCGACTGAAGTTTAAACACTTTTTGATGGGATTGCATGGGTATTCATTTTTCTCGAGAACAGCTAGTAGATATTTCTCTTACATCCTCTTCAGAGGATTTCTGTTTACTGCTGATATCAAATTATAGAATACTGAATCAGTTCTCATCTTGGAATACCACAAGAACTTGTGAGATGGACAAAGAGACAAAAAGTGCACAGAAAAATGATTCTTTGTCAATGTGTATTTTGCATGGAGGATTTCATCATGAGCTGACATCAGTTAGAGAATCACTGGACAGCTGTTTCGTCCTTTTTGGGGGTCTTCAGCAGTATGCACCCACCGGGGTTCAAACCCAGGACCTTCTGGTTATACGGCGAGCTAGTAGATCATTGAGCCACAGGGACCCGATCCAATATCCAATGCATGAATTCTACCTTCTACTAATTCACGACATAGCGCAACTATTGGATCGGGTCCCAGTAGCTCAATGGTCTACGAGGTCGCCTTGTAACCAGAAGGTCCTGGGTTTGAACCCCGATGGGTGCGTACTGCTGAAGAATCCTAAACTAGGATGGAGGAGACAGTTATCCAGTACTCCCAGACAAATTCAGCGAAGAAATTGTTCTTTACCGATGAAATCATGTTTAGAGGCTGTACGGTCGTATTTACACTTACTAAAAGTGCATAGTGGTCTATTATTGATTAATAGGGGGTGACATAATTGATATAATTACTCGGAAGTGGCCTTAGAAGTAAAAAAAACAACTAAAAGTTGCAAATTACGTGGTAGTCAATGGCACAAAGATAGAAGTTTGATAAGGTTATAAAAGGAAAAGAAAGACTCAAATTTTTCTTTAGAGAGAACGACTAGTGAAGAGGTTAAGACCAAGATAGAATAAGAGACTGGAAAAACGTTTTCTGTATACAGAGTTCGGGGTTGTATTGACGAATTGCCAGCGCCTCCGCTATACACTTTTAACCTCCATGCGTCATTATGTTGAATTAGAAAATAATTAATAATAATAATATATTCTCATTTTTTGTACATGAGGGACGCCAGTTTACAGGCATCATCAGTTCGACAAATTATACATACGATTAATAAGCATATTTAGTAATGATAATATAATAAGGTACATATTTATTCCTACCTATGTAGGACACACCAGTTGTACAGGCATGGATAAGTATTATTTAAATTACATAAATTTGATTTATGGTTAAATTACATAGTTGGTGTGATTTTTGTCTTCGGTTTGTGGGAAAAATCTGATAACTAGTGATTCAATGAACCACATCAAGAAATATAGAGATATTGACTTCGCATTAACAAAAAAAACCCAAGTATGTTTTGGATGGATTACAGATACTTGGAAAAATAAATAAAGCTTGAAGTCATTTCCCTCATATAACAATAAAATGCATCTTATAATAATATATTCTCACTTTATGCACATGAGGGACTCCAGTTGACAGGCATCATCAATAATGATAATAATGTATACACGGAGTAAGCATGTTTACAATTGTTCACTGACACAGGATATATAATACAAGGGAAGGTAATGGAATAATGACAGTGAGGACACTTTGCATAAGTTCAAACGATATTAGATGGTTGGAAGCAATCGGTAGGAAGCCCCACCTGACCTAGGTTTCGTGCTAGTTGGCACTCACCAGTCAGCAAGGCGTATCTGCAACCTTGAAGGAACTCATATACCTTCTGAGATTCGAACCCGTGTTACTCAGTGAGCGCTGCGGTCAGAGACGTTACCACTGAGCTATTCGGGCTCAGTGGCATATGTGCTAACTAGCACGAAACCTAGATCCAAGGCTTCCTGCCGATTGCCTCCAACCATCTAATATCATCAAATCAATGTGGACCGTGATGGCAAGCTACCTAGAATAGTGTCCACATCGCAAACTTGACTGATAGAATTCAGTCTGCACCAAAGAAAGGACTAGACAAATCACACTAATTATTAGTTCCCAATTAAAGTAATTGTAAGTATATAAGTGGAGAAGATTCATAGCTCCGGTGAATGATTTTAAAAGTCAATCTGAATGATTTTAGTGCAGTTGAGTTTTCTGAGTTGGATGCTTTAGTTTTGAAGCTTTCATTGTCATACTACACAACATCCTTAGAGCATACTAAACAATCCAGTTAAAAGAACACAACCACACCATAACTGTAACTAGGCAAGTGTATGTATATAAATGAGATTGTATAGCTGCTTTTGAAGATGAAATGGCCGAAAAGATATCTTTGTTGAACTTCTCGTCCTTTCCTCTCTTGTGTCCTGATTGGCATTTTAAACGACTTTGTCTTCAGTATACATACGTTCATTCAAAAATGAATTAATAACTAATTCATCTGTTGCATCAAATGTTAGCGCTGACTTAGTCTGAACATATCAAATGTGTACATTGACTGTTCACTGGAGAGTAACCGATAACATCTGTCATTGCTGACGGAATTCTATCAGCCGTGTTCAAAATGTGAACACCCAGGTAGAGGACGCGGCTTCAAATTTCAGAGGAGATATGAGTTTCTTCGAGGTTTCAGGTATGCCTAGCTGACGAAACTCATGTTCAGGAGTTCCTGTCAACTTTCTGCAACCATCTAACATAAAATTAAGTGTATTGTCTGAGCTTTTCCGTGTACACAACTTGCATACTTCACCCTAACGTAATTAGCAAAATTTTCACTTCGTCCTCAGCAGTTTCGAACAATTATATTAAGAAGCGGACGTAAACAAAGGCAGGCACAAAGTAATACAGCAGTCAAAATTTATAAAACAGTTTGCCCATCACAATCGTCATTATTGATTCTGGATTTGGTCATCTATCAACAAAAGTAAATGTCCCCAAGTAAGCTTGAAGTAGATTATTTTGTTTGCATGACTTAACTTTTGGTTAATCGGTACACTTATTGCACACTTATAACATAATGATCAGAGACTTCAACATGTAATACTGCAGAGCTTTTTGGAATTTACACTTTGACATCAAAATGTGATCACCAAACAATAGTGTATCATGTCGTCCTATATCTCAGATAAACTACACTATTATTGAGTGATGTTGTATCAGAGCATCGATTTTCTACGCAATCATTGGTGACACGTAATTGTTTTAAATCGAGGCCCTGCAGCAACACCCGAAACGGAAACGTCAAATTGGTCGTTGGAGGATGACTTAGAGGAGATCATGTCACGTGGAAATGAAAGCTTACAGGCAATTGTGGAGCTCGCTAAAAAAGACTGCAGAATCGACTTGATGTCTTCTGAAGTATCTTGACTAGCAGACATTCAGTTGTCGCTTGTTTATTGCCACACATGTCCAGCGTCTCATATCTACTATGACTTTTTCTATTTACTTCCTGTATTTTTGTAAAATTTGTCAACTTCTAATGTTACGCTTTGATATTGTCTATCAATTCACCTCCTCATGTCCACCTATACACTTGATTATTTTCACGTATGCATCCTAAACTTTACCAACTTTGAAAAGGCCTTGGATGACAACGTCGACAGTAAAATAATTTGCAAACTGCCTCAAGACTAACGGGTTCAGTGATGTAAACCTTTGTAAACTTCATTCAACGGCCATATGATGTTAACACATGACATGTGATTCACAACTAAAAACTTATTAAAGCCAATGAAGTTAAGACAGGAGTAAGACAAGTCTGCCTACTATCACCGATGCGTTATGCAACAGACCACAAGTGGGCAGAGAGGAGGACTCTAGAAGATCTGAATTTCGCGGATAGTTTATGTCTAATGTCAGATAAACTCACGGAGGTAGAGGCGAGAAAAAACCAACAAATTAGCAGAAGAGGCAGGTAGCGAAGGCAGGACTTTGAATATATATATATATATATATATAGAAGACACCTGAAAAGTATTGACTTAACTGTAAGTAGGATGGATCGGGATGAGAAAGCCAGCTAAAATCAGATCACGATAGTAAGACACACACACACACTTATCACTCACAGTGATAGCAAGATTGAGGAGATCTGCATCACTCACCACATGATGAAGTGCTATACGAATTCTGTTTAACACTGATTTCAAGTCAGTGCTTCTATCTGGTGCACGCGTCACCGAAAGCGTCTCTTCACCAGCCTGCTGAAAACTTTTATCAACACTTACGCCTCCCAAGCTCGATAACGGTGATGAGATGGGTAAGCGGAAAGGATAACCGGCAAGGAAGTCTGGGGTGCAGTGGATCAGCAGGCAAGAAACTATGGCTGAACAAACATGCAGAAGAAAATGAAAACGAATTGGACACATGGCGAAAGTGTCCTCATAATCTGAGGGTTTATGTTAGACCCCTAACGGTGAGGCCGTTGGTCGGTACTAATGAAGAGTCTCAAAGTGGGAAAAAACAGCTGTCTGTCACTCTGTTATCTTCAATGTCTCTCAAACTAACACCAATCTGTGATCATCAAACTTGAACTAGAGAGTGGAAATTTACCAAATTTTCATAGAATCCAATAGTCTGAGAAGAACTCTTTTTATCCTCAATCTCTTCACCACTTGAGGGAGCTATTCATTAAGAATTGATACAATAATATAATATATAGATAAAGTAATGAGAAGACGTAATTTTTCTGAATCGTGTAATGTGTTTGAGCAACACATTTCGAACAATCTGATTAAACACGGACTTGGTATAGGAATATATTAAATTAATAAAGAGGTGATAAAATAGACTTAGGTGAAGTTAAAAGGACATATTCAAGGTCAAAATAACAATGAAGATCACTAAACCAAATAACATAGGTAATAGTACATCTGCTATGGCATCAAAACAGAATTTACCAAGGAAGGTTTAATGTGATGACGAATTGTTGACTTGAACGCATAAAGGTGGCTTAAACTTTCTAATTGCTAGGGCTTCCACAAACTTTAGGATACGCCCCAAACACGTTTTATAGATAAGTTTAAAAGATCTGTTAACGTCAATTTTATATCCTGTCTCCAAAATATGTTTCGCAATAGAAGAGCTAGGTCTCCTATTCTCACTGTTAATAGGTTCTGACGATTCCATTTGTTTCTGGAGCCATTTCGGAATATGCTTTGAAGCCCATACTTGCAGAGATCGATGAGTCCTCCCTATGCATGTGTGTATGTGTGTCCACACGTACTTTCAAATTGGTAAATACAGTAGGATGTGACGTCATTTTTCGCATGTTCGAAGGGCTTATATGCATGGATATATTGGCTTCACATTCTCAATTATTATGATATTAGCTGCATAAAAAGTCTTTTTAACAGCAGCGTTCAGTCTTTGTCTAGTTATCAAGCTGCTATGGTGCCTAATATTGGTTAGCTTGATGTACATGTCTTTCTTAGGGGCGAGCTGTAGAGTGGGTCTTGGTGTTCTGACTACTTTATATCTCCTGATCAACTTGTCTCGATAATTGTTATCAACCAGAGTTTGTGTCAATATTCTTTCTTCTTCATCAAGTCTTTCTTCAGTGCATACTCGTTGGACTCTACTGAAGAGGCACCTTACTAAGGCTGTGTTGCGCAAATACATTACACGATTCAGAAAAAGTACGTCTTCTTATTGCTTTATCTAAATTCTTAAATGGAACTAATTGTTTTAAATATAATATATGAAAGAAAAAAAAAGCATATAAATAATCCGCTTACAATTTGATTATATCCTTGCCGCGTTGAACAACACCATATCCATGATTGTTGTTTATTAACACAGGCTAAACGCATCCTTCACTATTGTACAATTGACACATTTTATTTGAACCGCATAATGCGACGGATTCACACTTAGCACCGAACCAGGTTAAATTGCATGGATCAAAGCCTAGTGTCCGATCTTTACCAGTCTGTTTATGTAATGGATTTAAAATACAACAAGAAGTCTAATCATAAGAGATGTAATCTATTTTTATTATTTATAAAATATAGTCACTTAAAACATTTAAACGATAAATTAACAAACAATTTGATACCTTTAACGAAAGGGTTAATTGTTGACCTTTTTGACCATTTTCACTGACAATCTATGAATTTGGAATAACGATAGCAATAATTATTATTATTTATTTGTGTACATTCCGAATGAAACATCTGACTTTAAGCTTGAGCTTTGAAGCTTCAGTAGTTGTGGCGTTGTTTTCCTGAAGGAGTGGGGTTGCTAGCTTCACTCTCAACCTTCCCAATTTACCGGTTTAACTACCGCTTAGCCAGTTTTACGAGTGTGTCAACTGGAGGTTGAACCTCGTGCCACAGGCGTTATTGAAGAGCGTTCTGTCGCTAATATAGTGAGAGCTGGCTGTTAGCCAAAATTGGTGGACAGCAATTTACGTCAATGTTTATGTCCCCAATATTGATCGTGAGAAAAATAAGAACAAAGGCTTTGCGTAGGCGGATACAGTTAATATATAGATTATCTGACATTCAAGAAACAGCCACAAAGAGATGCAAGATTAACTTTCTGTGAGAAACAACCAATCAAAAGACTGTGTTTTTCTGCTAACAATAATCTATAATATATATATATATGAAAATCTATAAATATGTTTTGATTTCCATAATAAATGATTTGTTGCCTGGCCCCTGTCTTCTGTTGTTACACTAATAATAATGGTAGGAGCCATCGTCATTATAGCTAGTTGAGTAGAATTCATCAGTAGGTCTTTTATCAAAGAGCTGAGAACATTAACTTGGTAAATGAACCCTGTTAAACAAACTCTACCTAACCAATTAACAGTTGTATATTCTGAAGAACAATACCTTGGAAATAACTTATTAACACTGTTATTACATATACGCCATACTGGTTGATGATGACAGGCAGTGAAACCCAAGATGCTCATTTCACCCATCATGGATGCAAAAAACTATATATATTTTCCTACTTTCCCCTACACTAACCCAAAATATTCTAATCTAATAACGGAGCACGTATACGCCAAGATTGTATGGCCTACCTAAAGTGCATAAACCAGTGGTACCGTTAAGACCAATACTTGATATGCGAAATTCGCCCTACCATGCTCTAGCTAAATGGTTAGTAAATATTCTCAAACCTTTGCATGAGAAGATAGTGAAATATAGAGTTAAAGATGTATTTGAATTCGTAGACAAAATAAAAGATACTAATATCAAAGACGAAACCATGATATCTCTGGATATAACATCGTTATTTACAAATGTACCTCTGATAGAAACAGTTAATTACATAGGTGAACAAGTGGACAAGCTGTCGATAAACATTGGCATACATACTGAGATCCTAAAAGAATTGATATTAAGATGTACCATGAATGTAAATTTCAAATTTAACGGCATGCGTTACAGACAAATGGACGGGGTGGCGATGGGCTCCCCATAGGGTCCCATTCTGGCTGATTTCTTTCTAAGTAAGCTAGAAAATGGACCTCTGAACAACCTTATCAGTAAGCTCTCATTTTATTGCCGATATATGGATGATACCTTTATTCTTTGTGATAATAGTTCTGATAAGAGTACAATAATTACTGAATTCAATGAAGTACATTCGGCTATGAAATTCACATGCGAAGAGGAATCACAAGACAGAATTGCCTTCCTGGATGTTCTACTTACAAGAAAACCAGATGGTAGCATAAAAAGAAATTTGCATAGAAAAAGCACTTGGACAGGACAATATATACATTTTCACAGCTTAGTTCCTATCAAGTACAAAAGAAATTTAGTGAAGACCCTCAGCCACAGAGTTAGAGCTATATGCTCAGAAGAAGTAATTGAAGATGAATTAAGCATTGTATATGATACTTTGATCGAAAATGGCTATCCCGAAAAATTTATCAAGAAACACATGACAAAGAAAACGGAAAAGGACTACTCACTATCTGTAAAAAGAAGCCTCTTTATATACGACTACAATTCATGGGCGATATACCAAGCGAGATAGTTGCGAAGAAATTAAGAAAATCAGTTCAAAGAACTTTTACTGCTGGCGAACTACGCGTCTTATTCTCTACACGACCGATGGTGATTCCTCGACTGAAAGATGAAGTACCTAGACTAGCTGGCCACTTCAAATTGTATCTATCAATTCAACTGCGCTTGTGGAGCGAGTTATATTGGCCGTTGCTCTAGGAACTTGATTTTTCGTGCTCGCTTGAGAACATCTCCCAGTATGGCTAAGTAAAGGTGTAGTGAAAACCATTAACAGTTCGATATTGGACCATCTGGTTCAAACTGGCCACGAAGTCAGCCAGCATTGAAGAATCCTTCTCTATCATCTACCGGGTGCCTAATAAATTGCCGAAATCATCGAAGCACCACATGCTTCAAACACCAGAGGCTATTGCGATTCGCCTCAAACAACCAGCGCTTTGTGTTCAAAAGAAGCAAGTCCAGCCCCTACTATTGCCCTGGCCTTCAGTAGAAACTATAAACTCATGAATTTGTAATATTATCCTTCCTAATTCTTCTGATATTCATCTTATTTTATGTTGATGCGGTTCAGCTGTAATCTATCAGAATTATTGATTTGATGTTATTGAAACAGCAACATTAATGTTGTTCGTAACACCAATTCATTCATTCACTATAATGTATATATAACTGTAGAGCCTGATGATGAATTTATCGAAAAGAGTACTCTTTGTTCAGTATCCAGTCTTTTGAAAGTTTTATGTGTTGAATAGTCAAGTGGAAGTGAATACTTAAATAATTCTATACTGAAAATTTTACAGTCCCTAGTTGTTTGTGCTTAGTAAATAGAAATTATCGCTCTCTATCGGTATATAAACGCTTCGATTATACTTTTAACTTTGACTCGATTTTTTTTATAGTTGGCGGCCAGTAATGGAATCTACTGAAAGGCGGGAAGTCACCAGTGATCGTTTCGAAACTATTGATTTATTTCACTGACTATGATATTGTCTCCTACTGTGGTGACAGCTGTCTGCAAGCCAAAATTGTAGACAACAATTTACGTCAATATTTATGTCCCGAATCGGGATCATAAGAAAAAATAATAATAAAGCCTAACCTTTAAAAACCCACCGACCGACCAATCACAGCAGACTTAACGTGTGTAAATACAATTCGCAGATATATAACTTAACTTTCTAAGAAACTGTCACAAGCAGTATAGAATAACCTTCAGTAAAAAAAACAACCAATCAGAAGAGGTTTGCTTCTCCGCTGACATTAACGCTAATAATAATGTACATAAAGATCTATAAATATCTGTTGATTTTCTCAATAAACGATCTGTTGCCTGGCCCTTGTCTTCTGTTGTTACACTACTGTCTGTTGTGAACTGCAATTTTCGAAATGGACTAAATAACGGAGCTCTGCATCGTAGTGTACAAAATTTTGGTGATGTTCAGATTTGGAAGTTATCATCGAGATGGCAGTTTATATATGTATAAACTGAAGATTAGATGGCCAGCCAGAAACGACTTACAACAAGGAACTTTGGGAATGAACCAGCCAAGATTATTTCTTCCAGAAAATACGCCGAAGAAAATTAAGATGGAGTGAATATATGTCGGGGGAGACTGTTGTTGTTGAGTGATATCGTGCACCATGCATGGCATCAAATGGAATGAGGATGGAGAACAATGAGTTGAGTGTGGGTGCAAAGATGACATGGCAGAGATCATTTGAGAAGAAGACGAGAGTTTATGGACAATTGTTGGGCCAGACTAAGAGGCCTGAAGAGGACAAGATGAAATGTGCCGTTGAAACCGTGTGTTCCACTCAAAAAGTGAAAGAAAATTTCGAATTACGTCTACTCACTTGTCTTCCATTTAACTGATAGAATGACAACTTTTGACTCCAGTCGACAACTCCAAGTACTTCACCTTGTTCATTTCTAGTAAGTAAAAACGGCATAATTGTAAGAAGGAAAAAAAACAAGTAGAAATTTAATCGAATATACATATATAACAGTTGGAAAAACTACTTTAATTAGACACCACGTCCAATCAAAGTATCCAATGCAGTCCTACAAGAGGTTAGTAGCGAACTTGAATAACTCAGTGGTAACACTTCTGTGATTACAGAACTGGGTGACATAGGTCTGAATCACAGAGGATATGTGAGTTCCTTCAGAACTTCAAATACTCCTTGCTAACTGGTGAGTGCCGAAAAGTATGAAACCTAGGTTCAAAGCTTCCTGCTGATGGCCTTTAACCATCTAATAACAGTTAATGTAGCTGTCTGAGATTGTCTTAGATAGAGAAATAAGATAGTGATTATAATGGATAGTGACTGAATGGTGAGGTGAAAATATGGGTTTTGGTAGCATACTGAGAAGCTGACCACAATATTAATTCACATTGTTATTATTAGTGTTCCCTTGGATTCCATCCGAGTGGAACACAGAGCTTCAAGAGAACATATCCATTTCACCCTGTTCCCTGAAGTTCTATTAGGCCTGCCTCACAACTGCCCATAGGCTTTCATCTCCTCCTTTCACGATCTCCCCTACATGTCACTCTCGAGCCAAAGCCCAGCTCATTTCTTCCTATTCGGTTTCCACTCGACAACCCACCTAGCGCGCGATGTCATGAAACGGTCTCCTCAGTGGATACCCGATCCGTCTCCATTTTCTTCGGACTATTTCTTGAGCGATAGGATACTGATTGGTTCGCTCCCTAAGTTTCTTGCTACAAATTCTTTCTGGCCCGCTGTCTGATCTTCAATATGGATCTAAAGAAGGCAGCTGTTGATGAAAGTCTGCAGTAGCCTGTTCAATATGCTTTCCATGATGCGAGTGCCAAGTTTCTGACCCATGTACAAGAATTGGTGCTGAGTGTAGAAGATTTTCAAACTGAAGGTCTACCTCGACTTTCCGATCCCAATTTTGATATCCTTATCCGTCCCGACTGCCTGTATTTGAAACAGTACTACCTAAGTAAGCGAAGGAAGTGACGTCTTCCAAATTTCTCCCGTTGATAGGGATTGGTGCCCACTGCTGTTGTTCGTTGGTTGTCTTCATTACCTCTGTCTTCTCCACGCTCACCTGAAGTTCTGTCTTCAGCGCCTACCTCTTCTGCCAACTTATTGGTTTTAACCTGCAGATCTTCGATTGTGTGTGTGTGTGTGACATTAGACATAAATCATCCGCAGAGTACAGACTTCCTAGAGTCTTCTTGTCAGTCCAGCGTATTCCTGTCTTCTTGCCTTCTAGTCACAATGTGCCGCATAATTCATTCCACCACTGTTAGGAATATCACTAGCGATAGTCGGTAGTCTTGTCTTACTCCTATCAACACTTCAGAGGTTTCGCTGAGTTTTCCGTAGTGGATCGCCTGACACATGGCATTTTCATATAGCTGTTGATTCATATACAACGAGTGGAACATGGAACTTCTAGCCCGCCGGAAATCATGCCCTAATACCGTGCGTGGTTGGTGAACATTCTACCCCTGAACCACCGACGCACACACGAAAGATGGGATTTCGGAATGTGTCCACTGGGAATGGAACTCAGATCTTTCACGTGGCTGGCCAGCATTCTACAGCAAGAAGTCTATTTGATATTTATTCGGAATCACAGAACTAATACATATACATATTTACCTGAAGGGTTTCATCATGAGTTGACATTAGTTAGAGAACCAATCGAGAACCAATGTGAAGTTTCGCACAGCTGTTTCGTCAGCCTAGTTTGGGACTCTTTAGCATTGCGTACCCACCACCAGGGTTCGAACCAAGGACCTTGTGGTTACAAGGCAAGCTCGTAGACCAATGGCCAGTCCATGAATTCCGACATCTGCAAAGTCATGACATAGCGCGACCACTTCGCAATTTTTTCTTCGGTGAGTTACTGTCTCACCTTCAACCTGCTCTACCCTACTGGTCACGGCTTCCCACTAGAACCCCAGGTAATCGCCTGAATAGCTCCAGTTGCTAGTGGGAATGGTAAAATGATGTAGACAGCAGAATGTCAAATGGACATAGAAATCTCTTAAGTTTGTTATCATAAATAAAATATCAAATTTTACTGATTTAAGCATCGATGAAGTGAGTTAGGAAAGGACGAAAATCTCCCAAGAAAATAAAGAACTGGGAATGCAAAACTATCAGAATGTATAAAAGTCCTACAAACTACTTTACAAGTAGTAATGTTTATATATAGGTGAATTTATCAACCATAATTATCAGTTCCATTTACGGAGGCTGGCTTTCAAGACTGATTTTCAGTTTTCCCACAGATGCACTAACACTGTTGAAAAAATTTTTAACACATATCTTCTAAGTAATTTTTATCAGTCGTTATCTCACAGATAGATAGATAGCTCCACAGGGAACACTTTACAGAAGGTCAACAACTCTAGATGACAGACTGTGAAATGGTGTTAGTAGGAGAAAAGAAGTGTAACAGCATATTAATATCAAATTACCTTCAGAAAACTCAGAAAACATTTGAACAGTGATTAACATTTTCAGATGGAACCACCAATGAAAACGGATGGAATACAAAAACTCTTATGATCCAGACTATTTCAAAGAATATCGATCTAGAAGTGCAAATGCGCCAGCAAACTTGAAACTTATACGCAGAGCAAGTTAGTGAAATCAGATAAAAGCCTCTGTATTCTGCAAGAATGATGCAAGAAGTGTGAGACCATTAGACGGCATATATAGTTAATTTAAGATTAAGTTGGGAAAATATTACAGTCAGAGTTCAGGTGAGAATAGGTTAGGGTTGAGGTTAAGTTATAGAACGATTAGTAGTGTTTAGGGTTATTTAGGGAGGGATTAGGTAGCCTTTCGAAACCGACCAGTCGTTTCAAAGTCGTTGATGCGTTTGTTCGCTTCGATCGTAATTCTTTAACTTTGCCGTTATCTAATCGCCGTTTTCCCTTAAACCTATAGGCTGATAACTAAGGGCACAATACTGACGATAAACAACCGCTTGTTAGCAAACATGATGAACAATTTTCATGAGAAACTGGCTGCAGTGTCATAAATTTCGCTTTATCATTAGCACAAATTAACAAAATCAGCTGTCTGTCTGTCTGGATTCAACATAGAACTTGGCACCGAAGTGCAGCAGTTCGAGCTACCACGTTCCAAATAGCACACAAAGGTAGACAAGAAGATGAGTGAAGAGAATCAATAGAGTTTGACAGATATAAGAGTGAAACAGAATGGGTAATGGTAGAAAGGAATATGAAAGATTACAGAGACTGAATACATCTGCGCCATTGACAACGATTTTGAGCCATGTCACCTATTGTCTCCAGCCATTGATTCCTAGAGTCCCGAGGGCCCCAACCCGGGAGTCTGCATCTCCCTACCTGACTCAGTTTAACTGTCAAGGATTTCATGGATTGATGCCATGTTTTTGTTTGGCCACCACTGGCTCTTTTCCAACCTGCACCTATATCAGCTAGCAATGCCCGTCGGGGGAGGCGGTGGTTAGGCATGCGCACCACGTGACCTAGCCATCTTAGTCTATGTAACTTTATAGCCTCGTCGATTGATTTTCCCTCTTTGCCCAACACTCTACGCCTAACGTCAACATTACTTACCTTTTTAAACCACCTAACGTGAGACAGAGATCGCAGACATCTATGATCGAAAGCAGTCAACCTTTTCATGTCTTCAACGCGTATTGGCCATGTTTCAGAGCCATAGAGAAGGACGGAGCGAACTGATGAGCAGTACACACGTCCCTTGGTTGATAACCGGATGTCACGCCTACGCCAGAGATGGTGTAAGTCAGCGAAAGCAGCTCGAGCTTTTCGGATCCGTGCTGAGATTTCATCGCCAATCAGTCCGTTGGTGCTAATACAACTTCCCAAATAGGTGAAGTGGTCAACATGTTCTATCACTTCACTCCCTATCACTAAGTTAGGGGTTGACGTGGTCCAGTCCTGTAGCAGCATCTTACATTTTGCAGGGGCGAATCGCATGCCAAACATACGAAGATTGCTGCTCAAGGTGTTCAGAAGACTCTGCATTTTGTCAGCATCCTCCCCTAACAGGACTATGTCATCTGCATATTCTAAGTCCATAAGATTATTCCCTGGTAACAAGTCGATTCCTAAGTCTTACGTTCAGTTAAGGATACTTCCATTAGCATATCTATGATGAAGTTAAACAGAAATGGGGAAAGTGGACATCCCTGTCGGACACCACTGGTTGTTACCAATTCAGATGACAATTCCCCATAAGCCCTTACACGACTACGTGAGTTTGAATAGAGTGCCTTGATTAGTGCAATGTACTTTCTTGGCACTCCCTTCACAGTCAGACATTGCCATAGTACCTTTCGATCCACGGAGTCGAAGGCCGCCTTCAAGTCAAGAAATATGACAATTGTTGGACGCCGAAAAGTGTGTCTATGTTCTAGAATCTGTCGAAGAGTGAAGATATGATCTATGCACCCTCTACCTGGTCTAAAGCCTGCTTGATTTTCCCTTGTCTGTTCCTCCCGAGTTCTGCTTAGTCTATGCATGATTACTGAGCCTAGGATTTTAGAGACTATGTTCGTTAGGCTGATCCCCCTATGATTATCACACGAGGACTTGTTTCCCTTCTTGAATATCGGTATAATAAGTGACTTACCCCAGTCTGATGGACTGTCTCTGATTCCCAGACTTTGCCTAGTACCTCAGTTAATCTACAAACTAGTATGTCACCCCCATATTTAAACACCTCCGGAATAATTCCGTCGGGTCCTGCCGCTTTGCCTCGTTTCAAATTACTGATAGCTTTTGTGACCTCACTACAGACGGCGGACCAGTGTCTATATCCCATTTGGTGTGTGGTGGATGTCGGGGAGGTTCAGTGTGGCTGTAGGCAAGTTAAATTGTTCCTCAAAGTGTTCTTTCCAGCGTTCAAGGCGTCTATCCTGAG